CCACCACCAGTGTGATGAGAAACAAGCCAGTATCTAGTCGATGTTGGGAATTTAGAAGTCAAAAGGAAGGAAGAAGAAACTCTCTCTCAAGAGGCTGGTTTTGCTGAACTCTTAACTTTAACCACTGTTCAGAAAGAATAAAAGAGTAAAGTGTCCCTATTGCAGCAGAAGATTCCTATCACTGTTGACATGGGAGAGGAAGCGCATACACATACTGAGTGTGGAAGGAGGTATAGTCAGCACAGACATCTGCAGTCACATCAAAGGACCCACACTGGGGAGAAACCCTATACATGCCTTGAGTGTGGAAAGAGCTTCAACCACAGTGGAAATCTACGTTCACATCAAAGGATCCACACTGGAGAGAAACCCTATACATGCCTGGAGTGTGGAAAGAGCTTCACTAACAGTGGAAATCTACTTTCACATCAAAGAACTCACACTGGGGAGAAACCCTATACCTGCCTGGAGTGTGGAAAGAGCTTCACTCACAGTGCAACCCTGCATAAACATCAAAGAACCCACACTGGGGAGAAGCCTTACATGTGTGGGGAGTGTGGAAAGAGCTACACTGACCTTGGAACTCTTCATAAACATCAGAGGACCCACACTGGGGAGAAACCCTATGCATGCCTGGAGTGTGGAAAGAGCTTCGCTCAAACAGCACATCTGTATTTTCATCAGAGAACCCACACTGGAGAGAAACCTTATACATGCTTGGAATGTGGAAAGAACTTTAGTGAGAGTGGAACTCTATATAAACATCAGAGAATCCACACTGGGGAGAAACCCTATACTTGCCTGGAGTGTGGAAAGAGCTTCACTCACAGCGCAACCCTGCATAAACATCAAAGGACCCACACTGGGGAGAAGCCTTACACATGTGCAGAGTGCGGAAAGAGCTTCATTGACAGTGGAACTCTTCATAATCATCAAAGGACCCACACTGGGGAGAAACCCTATGTTTGCCGGGAGTGTGGAAAGGGCTTCACGGAGAATGGAACCCTACAGAAACATCAAAGAACTCACACCGGAGAGAAACCTTATATATGCTTGGAATGTGGAAAGAACTTTAGTGAGAGTGGAAGCCTACAGAAACATCAAAGAACTCACACAGGAGAGAAACCATATACATGCCTGGAATGTGGAAAGAGCTTCACCGAGAGTGGGAGTCTGCAGTCACATCAAAGAATTCACACTGGAGAGAAACCCTATAAGTGTCCGGAGTGTGGAAAGAGCTTCATGCGGAGGGGAAGTCTACGTTTGCATCAAAGGACCCACACTGGAGAGAAACCTTATACACGTCCGGAGTGTGGACAAAGCTTCACTGAGAGTGGAAATTTACATTCACATCAAAAAAACGCACACTGGGGAGAAACCCTATAAGTGTATGGAATGTGGAAAGAGCTTCTCAATGAGAGTGGAACTCTACATAAACATCATAGAACCCACACTGGGGAGAAACCCTATAAGTGCATGGAGTGTGGAAAGACCTTCACTGAGAGTGGAAATCTGCTCTCTCATCACAGAACCCACACTAGGGAGAAACCCAGCCTGGAGTGTGGAAAGAGCTTCGCTCGGAGTAGAAAGCTATTTTCCCATCAGAGAACCCACACAGGGAGAATGCTGGTACTTGGCACCAGAGAGGTTCTCTTAAGATGACAGAGAAACTCTAGAAATGTAGGTGAGAGCACAATGTTGGGATGTTTTATCGTATTTGGTGGTCTTGCAGAAAGGCCCACAAATCATGGACTCAAATACAGATGGTGCTAGAAAAAAATTGGTAAGGTTACATTGTGAGGAATCAATTTCTGATGGCATGAAGACATCACAAATTCCCTCCGTGATCTCCTGGCTGAATCATCCTGGCTGAATAAATTCTCTCTCTGTGACATTTTGAAGCCAGCAGAGCACGCTGGAAATCTTTTATTTCTTGCTTGTGAAGCAACAAGTTCTAATAAGGAAACTGAGAAGAGAGGGGAAGAGATGGGCAGGAAAGGTGTCTCAAAGGAAGTGGTGGTGGGAAAAAGTCCGTACTGTCTTTCTTTGCTGCGGAGATACAAGCAATATATCCATTTCAAAGCAGAACCGGCTTGTGAGTGGTTATTTAATATTGGTATATAGATCCTACAGTCTGACATACATTCACCATGAGACCATTGTTTTATTTATTGGAAATACTGGGTGATTATCCAGAAAGAAAGCATGGAAGAGCACGACAGGATATGAGAACTGCATCCAGAATCATTTATGCTCAGAGATGGAAGGAACCCATTATCCCAACGCAAGAAGAATGGCTGACACATTAAATGTAAATTAAATGTGATTGACTGATGGTGCTGAATATGGAAAGATCTTTGATCGTCTCCAAGACAGATTGGGACTTCTCACTTTTTCACAACAACAAATCTAAAATGTCAATTGTAGGGTTTATGAGTTAGAATAGTGTTACCAAAAGTAGAAGTGTGGTTAATGTAGTATTACCTAAGGGAGTGGAATACAAAGGAATACAAACAACACATAGTGAGTGTGAGGTTTGTAGAATTGCACCCTTATCTGTTTGCTAGTATCCGAGTTCCATCTCTGACACATTTAGAATTGTGCTGCGATTTTGATCTTGTGCAGTATCAAGGAGAGATGTCTATATTGTGCACATGCCAAATTACATGTTTGTACATTTTTTTAATATATATTATGGGTTCATGGAGGAGTAGACGTGGTGGCTCTGTATTTAGCAGAGAGCTGTGATTAAATCCCCACAAAAGAAGGGGATTTTTACATGGCCTTGAACAGGCAGGATTACTTTTAATATAGGTATGTTATGGCGACAATTTTTATGCTGATATTTTGTTTTGTTAATCTTATGGTTATGTTGTTTTTACTTTGTATGTGTTGTGATGTTACCTTGCAACCGCTCTGAGTCCCCTCGGGGAGATGGAGCAGTATATAAATACAGCATTATTATTATTATTGGAGAGAATTTGTGTGGATAATTGTCAGGATCCAGTTTCCGGAGCCCAGATTTTGGCACCGAAAACTAGAATCCTGACGTTCGGCCTGATAAGGAATCTGCAGCTGGTGACCTTGGAAGAAAGCAGTTGCTTGGTGGCGGGAAGCTTTGCGCGGGGTATTGGGTTTGGCGGGAGCTCACGTTTTGAATTGGTGGGAGTGTATATAAGGGAGTGTCTGCTGCGACCAGACAATCCCGGCTTTTCTGTGTCTGAGTATCTGACAGTAAAGATCTTTGTTTGTTTTCAAGCTTGTGATCATAGAATCATAGAATCAAAGAGTTGGAAGAGACCTCATGGGCCATCCAGTTCAACCCCATCCTGCCAAGAAGCAGGAATATTGCATTCAAATCACCCTGACAGATGGCCATCCAGCCTCTGTTTAAAAGCTTCCAAAGAAGGAGCCTCCACCACACTCCGGGGCAGAGAGTTCCACTGCTGAACGGCTATCTCACAGTCAGGAAGTTCTTCCTTATGTTCAGATGTTATCTCCTCTCTTGTAGTTTGAAGCCATTGCTCCATTGCATCCTAGTCTCCAGGGAAGCAGAAAAAAGCTTGCTCCCTCCTCCCTATGACTTCCTCTCACATATTTATACATGGCTATCATGTCTCCTCTCAGCCTTCTCTTCTGCAGGCTCAAAATGCCCAGCTCTTTAAGCCACTCCTCATAGGGCTTGTTCTCAGACCCTTGATCATTTTAGTCGCCCTCCTCTGGACTCATTCCACATGGCTATCATATCTCCTCTCAGCCTTCTCTTCTTCAGGCTAAATATGCCCAGCTCTTTAAGCCGCTCCTCATAGGGCTTGTTCTCAGACCCTTGATCATTTTAGTCGCCCTTCCTTGGACACATTCCAGCTTGTCAAATCTCTCTCTTGAATTGTGGTGCCCAGAATTGGACACATTGAGCCCAGCTGTTGTGAGCTGACATTTATTATTATTATTATTATTATTATTATTATTATTACTAGGGGAGGACTCCTATGGAAATCTGCAATGAACAAGTTTGGGTGAATCTGCAGTGCCATAGGATATTGTTAAAAGATGGTGTTAGTATCAGTAAAAATTCGGCCTCAGAGCAACTGCTAGGAGGCACGAAATGAAAACAAAGTGCACAGTCTTCACTCAACTTCAAAGCCTTGAAGCGGCACATTTATTTAGTTACTTTCTAAAAAAAACAAACAAAGCCCTAAACAGTTTGGGACCCGCTTACCTGCGTGACTACATCACTATGTATGAACCCACGCGATCTCTTCGATCATCTGGAGAGGCTCTGCTCACACTCCCGCCCCCATCGCAAGTGCGATTGGCGGGGACGAGGGACAGGGCCTTCTCGGTGGTGGCCCCTCGACTCTGGAACTCACTCCCCAAGGACATCAGACATGCTCCAATGTTGGCAGTCTTTAGGAGGAGCCTGAAAACGTAGTTGTTCCAGTGTACCTTCCCAGAATAAGGAAACTCTCAGCAATATGTCCCTAAACGCACTTTAGTAGTGATCTAGGATTGTCTGCACGCTCTATCCCTCTCCAAAATTTCTATCTTGTTTATATGTCACCTGATCATGCCCAGCATTATTTTTTAAATTTTTTAATTAGTACATTTGGCCCTGCCATAGGTTTTTAAGCGTCGCTGTGTTATTGTTAATGTTTATTGCTATTTTCTGTTTATGAGCTTTATTTATTGTTGTATTATTTTGCCATTGTTTTATTGTTGTATTGTGGGCTAGGCCTCATGTAAGCCACACCAAGTCCCTTGGGGAGATGGTACCAGGGTACAAATAAAGTTTAATAATAATTAGGTTCTTGTGGGTTTTTTCGGGCTATAGGGCCATGTTCTAGAGGCATTTCTCCTGACGTTTCGCCTGCATCTGTGGCAAGCAGGCTCAGCCAGGCCTTCAAATGCTAATGAAGGTGGTCAGTTGAAACATTCACACCTAGCTCCAGCAGAGAAGAGCTCTTTGCCCCACCCCAGCCATTCCACAGATATATAAACCCACTGTCCTAATTCCAACAGACCTCACTACCTCTGAGGATGCTTGCCATAGTAGTACCATCTGGTAATGGAACATAGGAATGGAACAATGGACGACGAATCTGGACTACGCTTGGATGATGAGAAGTTGGGTACGGTTGTTTTTTGTAATAATTGTGCATTGTAATTGCTTATTGGTAATTTATGGATAATGTGTTAAGTCAATTGTTATATGTTGTATGGAACCACTGCTGTTTCTACTGTTTCTACTGTTTGTGAACCGCTGTGAGTCGCCTTCGGGCTTGAGATACAGCGGTATAGAAGCAAAGTAAATAAATAAATAAATAAATACCTCTGAGGATGCCTGCCATAGATGCAGGCGAAACGTCAGGAGAAATGCCTCTAGAACATGGCCATATAGCCCGAAAAAACCCACAAGAACTGAGTGATTCTGGCCATGAAAGCCTTCGACAATACATTTAATATAATAATAATAATAATAATAATAATAATAATAATAATAATGTATGACTTATGAACCCCATATATGTATCTGTATAAAATAGGAAATGCCACCTCTCTGTGACCCCAGCACATTGAAATCTCAGGGCAAATCTTTTCATTTCCTGAGGTTGATTTTTCCCTAACTGAAAGGACTCAACAGAAACTTCTTGCATGGACAATACAATAGGTACACCTTCAGGCTTCGGACCATGGCCACCTGAAGGAAGTGCCCCATGGTGATTCAATCACTCTTCACAAAGGGGACGCCCTGCCTTCGGAAAGATTTGGGTGCCCCAACTGCCTCACACATTGCCTTCATACCCTTGGCCGAAACCAAAGACCAGATAACATCAATTGATCCCATATTCAGGACTGGAGATTACCGGGGCTTGGCATTCGTGCCAGCCAAAGATGTTTATTTCACCTGCATGAAACAATACAAAGCTATTTATTTGTTTGTTTATTTATTTACAGTGCTTATATTCCGCCCTTCTCACCCCGCAGGGGACTCAGGGCGGATTACAGTCAACACATATATGGCAAACATTCAATGCCAGTTTGACAAACAACGCTTAACAGACAAATACACCGAGGCTATTTAACTTTTTTCTGGCCGCCAGGGGAGCTGCTGCTTTTCATCATCCATCAGCGACACCGATGAAGTTCTTCCGCATTCCACATTCCCCGGAGTCTTTTTTCTTTATGGCCTCATAAATTAGTTAATTTAGCCTCCCACACAAGGTGACTGTCTTTCGGGTTGCAAAGGTCGACAACGGGCTACACAATGGCTGGACACCCACTCCAGCCCGGGCTGCCTTCGAACTCATGACCTTTTGGTCAGAGTGATCTTAATGCAGCTGACACTCAGCCAGCTGCGCCACAATCCCGGTGCAACTAATGATAACTCTTAGAGTTATCACTGGCAATTGGACAAAACATTAAGTCATTTTAATCCACTCATCGTTTCCTCTTGGTTCATTGTTTCCCGCTCAGACCACCTCCTTGCTCCCCATTGGCTGAGAAGCCGAAGCGGCGCTGGCTTTCCCATTGGCTGAGGCACGCCTGAGCCAGCTGTGCCTCCCCTCCAGCTGATTACACCAATCAGCATGAAGCCAGCAAGAGGGGGTGGGAGCGGAAAGTTTGAACCTTACAGTACTATTTACTCTCTAAAAATGTACAGTTCCAGGTTGGACTACTGTAATGCACTCTACTTGGGGCTGCCCTTGAAAACGGCTCGTAAATTTCAGCTGGTCCAACGGGCGGCAGCCAGGTTGTTAACTGGGGCTCCTTACAGGGAGATGTCAACCCTCCTGTTCAAGGAGCTCCACTGGCTGCCATTCATTTTCCAGACCCAATTCAAAGTGCAGGTGCTCACCTACAAAGCCCTAAACAGTTTAGGACCCGCCTACCTGGCGACCACATTTCTGTGTACAAACCCACACAATCTCTTCGATCATCTGGAGTGGCCCTACTCGCGCTCCCACCTGCATCGCAAGCGCGATTGGTGGGGATGAGAGAGAGGGCCTTCTCGGTGGTGGCCCCTCGACTCTGGAACTCACTCCCTAAGGACATCAGGCATGCCCCATCTCTGGCAGTCTTTAGGAGGAGCCTGAAAACGTGGTTGTTTCAGGGTGCCTTCCCAGAATAATGAACCCCTAGCATTATGTCCTCTAAAAGCACTTTATACTGATTTAGGACTGCTTGTACATTTCCACCAACGCCCCACCTCCTCTATCTTGTTCATGCCCAGCATTATTTTTTATTTGAATTGCTTTGTATTAGTATTTGTATTTTGCTTTGTATTGTGGTTGTTATTGCTTGTATTGTTGTATTGTGGGCTAGGCCTCATGTAAGCCGCACCGAGTCCCTTGGGAGATGGTAGCGGGGTATAAATAAAGTATTATTATTATTATTATTATTATTATTATTATTATTACTTCCCGTCAAAGGAGTCGTTTCTTGGCAAGTGATGCAGGCTTGACACACCGTAGCAGATGGAACGAAAAAAGCAACGGGTGCTTTTTCACGGGGAGACTGTTCATTAATGATCATTATTTGGAAGGTTAAATCACTCAGAAACAAACCCTTTGCATAAAGGGATTATATACTAGCCAAAAGCAAGCTTGTTTTCTGCTTCCTTGGAGACTAGGACGCAGAACAATGGCTTCAAACTACAAGAGAGGAGATTCCATCTGAACACCGACTGTGAGAGCCGTTCAGCAGTGGAACTCTCTGCCCCGGAGTGTGGTGGAGGCTCCTTCTTTGGAAGCTTTTAAACAGAGGCTGGATGGCCATCTGTCAGGGGTGATTTGAATGCAATATTCCTGCTTCTTGGCACGGGGTTGGACTGGATGGCCCATGAGGTCTCTTCCAACTCTTTGATTCTATGATTCTATGATTACATCACTTCAGGCACATCAAAGAGCAGTGATACATCTGCTTGACCCAACCAGGCCTGGCATTCTGTTCTCCAAAGGCACACCGGAATAGCCAGGTCTTCAAGTTCTTCCTAAAGACTGCCAACGTAGGGGCTTGTCTGATGTCCTTGGGGAGGGTATTCCAAAGTCGGGGGGCCCCACAGAGAAGGCCCTGTCCCTCGTCCCCACCAAACGCGCCTGCGACGCAGGTGGGATCGCGAGCAGGGCCTCTCCGGATGAACGAAGTGAGCGCGTGGGTTCATAAACGGAGATGCGGTCACGCAGGTAGGCAGGTCCCAAACCGTTTAGGGCTTTGTAGGTAAAGCACCTGCACCTTGAATTGGGCTCGGTAGGTAAACGGCAGCCAATGCAGCTCCTTAAACAGGAGGGTTGACCTCTCTCTGTAAGGAGCCCCAGTTAACAACCTGGCTGCCGCCCGTTGGACCAGCTGAAATTTACGAGCCGTTTTCAAGGGCAGCCCCAAGTAGAGTGCATTACAGTAGTCCAACCTAGAACTGTACATTTTTAGAGAGTAAATAGTACTGTAAGGTTCAAACTTTCCGCTCCCACCCCCTCTTGCTGGCTTCATGCTGATTGGTGTAATCAGCTGGAGGGGAGGCACAGCTGGCTCAGGCGTGCCTCAGCCAATGGGAAAGCCAGCGCCGCTTCGGCTTCTCAGCCAATGGGGAGCCCCAGTTGGAGTTTCTGAGCCGTTTTCAAGGGCAGCCCCACGTAGAGCGCATTACAGTAATCCAACCTAGAGGTGACTAAGGAATGGACCACCCCGGCCAGATCAGCCTTCGCGAGGTACGGTCGCAGCTGGCGCACGAGTCTCAGTTGTGCAAAAGCCCTCCCGGACACCGCCGACGCCTGAGCTTCAAGCATGAGCGATGAATCCAGGAGGACTCCCAGGCTGCGGACCTGAGAGTCTATGTTCCTGTGACTCAGGTCACATAGAAACAACAGTGCACGTGCTTTTGCAGTGCCTGTTTTATAGAGACATTTGATCATGTCTCATCTTACTATGGACAATTAAATATCCAGGACGCTCTGGACAATTCCATGTCGATCTGCTGCTCTCACACACAAACTCGGCTGTGACGTACAACGTCGCTAAGTTCTGCACGGCTGCAATTAAAATTCGGCGGACAACGATTGAGGGTTAAAAAAACCAAAGCTTCTCCTGGAATATAGATGGGAAATCAGATATAGACTAATATCTATAGGGTTGGATATTCCTCCCCTTCCCGGTGCCATCCTCACTCTCTCTCTTTAGACTGCGTCGGATGATCTTTTGGGTTGAGTTAAGCTTTAATAACTTCTTGCATTGGTTTTTAGCTTAGATTTCAAAATTCGTTGGAGTTTGAAGTCTATAACCCTTTGGGCTTGATGTGAATGTACGGGACTGGGTCCCAATATTGTGATCTGGATTTGTATATACACTTTGTGCAGGTCATGGACTGTAATAAAGTTTTGATTGATTGATTGATTGCCCTCCCTCACAAAACAAGATGCTCCCCCCCCCCTGCAAAAAAAAATCCCAAATAAGAAAAGACACACAAGAAGAATTATTTTCTAATTCTATTTCAGATTTTTTATTTAAAAAAAGCAAAACCAAGGAGTCTGTTTGGCTCACAGGCCGGAATACAAAAGTGGGGGAGGGGGGGGCAATAATGCCTATCGCAACCTGGAAGGAAGGGTCTTCCTTGGAGGGGGCCACCCACCCTCTGCCCTTCTTGTGCAGTTTGTTTGGACCTCAAAGAAAGAGAATGGGGCCTAATGAAGGAAAGGGGGGGGGGGTCAGGAAGGAATACAGTGAAAGACGGGGGCCCTCTTGGTCCTGGCACGAGCCCTGCCTGCCAGGCCAAGCAGCCCTTCTGTTTGGTCTTTGGTGGTGCAGCAGCAGCCCAGCTGGGCAGCACTGGGACCAGTTTGAGGAAACCAGTCTGCTGCAGAGAAAGAGGAGGAGGAGGGTCAGTAGCGGCCGAGGACGGTGGCCAGCAGCGCCATCCGGATGTACATGCCGTTCTCCGCCTGGCGGAAGTAGGCCGCCCGGGGGTCCGAGTCCACCTCCATGCTGGAAGGAAGGAAGGAAGCAAAGAGGTGAGGCCTGTCAGTGTGTATTTCATGTATGATGTATATTTAAATGTAATTCCATGTAGTAGGAATGTGATTGTAATATAACTGTATTGCCAGTAGAGTTAAAAACAGCAAAGTAACTAGCTGTGAGAATGTGACCCTGAATTCTTGGTGTGTGAAACATTAGGGAGTGCCAGAGATAACTCCCTGCCAGCTGCAGTTTTGCTTTCCTGCCTATCTCGTTAGTTCTGTGTTCTTCACGTCTGGTTTGCTGATGGTGTGTGTTGGATTTATGAACTGCTCAAGTAAAGCTGAAACCTGCTTTTTACCGGTGACTCCAGAGTCCATTATTCTGAGCTTCTGGGATAGTTCTGCTAGTGCTAACAAGGCCACGGGGTCATTAAAGGGGAGACTCATGGGGTGGCCTTACCCAGCCCTCCAAGGGAAAGGGGGTCAGCACACACACTGGTCAGTGGGAAGGGGAAGGGTCCCCCTTACGCTCACAAGAAGCCCTCGTGCATGGGGGTGGGATGAATGGAACTGTATGGTTGGGGTCTGGATAGGGACTATTTGGGTCTGGCAAGGCTGACCACACCACCCTCAAAATGGAACCTGGGAAATGGCATTATGGAAGGGACAAAGGAGGTGAACAATGACCTTACCTGTGGCAGAAAAAGTGCTAATGAGAAATCCAGAGAAATTGTGGTGTCACGAAAAAATGTTTACATAGTCAAGAGAGTTGATGAGGTTCCAGCAGGTCTGAGCTGAACGACAGAGGTTCTCTAAACAACCCAATAATGGATAACCAAAAATTGCTACCTAAGGAGACCTTTTTCCTTTTCGATTGTGTGCCAGATCTGGGAGGAATGCAGAATCGCAACACCCACCTCCTTCCTCTCAACAAGCCTGATCGACTAAACGGAGAGGGATGGTGAGCATGAATATTGAATGTGAGTGAATGAATGCATAGTGTATGAGATGTTTTATATAATTACTAGCCGTCCCCTGCCACGCGTTGCACTGTGTAATATATATATGTGGGTGTGTATATATATATGTATGTATATATTTGTGTGTTTATATGTGTACATGCATATTGTGTATATGGGTGTATATATTTGTGTATATATATTTGCTGCTATTGTCAATGTTTATGCTATCTGTGTTGAGATTTATTTTAATTGCTTTGTATTGTTGTTGTTATTGCTTGTTTTGATGTATTGTGGGCTCGGCCTCATGTAAGCTGCACCGAGTCCCTTGGGGAGATGGTAGCGGGGTACAAATAAAGTTATTATTATTATTATTATTATTATTATTATTATTATTATTATTATTATTATTTGTGTGTGTTTGCGTATATATATATATATATGTGTGTGTGTGTGTGTGTATTTTGTGTGTTTATATGTGTACATGCACATTGTGTATATGCGTGTGCTTGCCTATATGCATATTTGTGTGTAAATATGTATGTATGTATGTATGTGGATATGTATATGTGTGTGCATGTGTATATGTATATATACTGCTTTGAGTCCCTCTAGGGGTGAGAAAAGTGGTATAGAAATACTGCAAATAAATAAATAAATAAATAAATGTATGTGTGTATATGTGCATATTTGTGCATATATGTACGTGTGTGTGTATGAATGTGTGCATGAGCATATGTATATGAGTGCATGTGTATATGTATATATGGCGTATTTTGGGGGGTTTTTAAGTCTGTTCCGCTGGGGTTTTGTGTGCGTACGTGTGTGTTAAAGGGTGATGAACACTCGTTGGACTGGGTTGTTGTAGGTTTTTTTCGGGCTGTATGGCCATGGTCTAGAGGCATTCTCTCCTGACGTTTCGCCTGCATCTATGGCAAGCATACTCAGAGGTAGTGAGGTCTGTTGGAATTAGGAAAAAGGGTTTATATATCTGTGGAATGACTGGCTAGACCAGTGGTTCTCAACCTTTCCAACACCGTGACCCCTAAATATGCTTCCTCATATTGTGGTGACCCCCTTTGCCAGCCGGCGGGAGCGCAAGGGACGCGAAGGAGGCCTCGCACAGCCATTTTGAGGGGGCGGGGCCAACCGAGGCGCCTTCGCAACCCCCAGAAAATGGCCCAGCGACCCCTCTGGGGGTTGCGTCCCCCAGGTCGAGAACCGCTGCTCTGGACCATGGCCATATAGCCCCAAAAAACCTACAACAACCCAGTGATTCCGGCCATGAAAACCTTCAACAATACACTCGGACTGTTAGGTGCCTTGTGTCCAAATTTGGTGTCAATTTGTCCAGTGGTTTTTGAGTTCTGTTAAACCCACAAACGAACATGACATTTTTATTTATATAGATAAAACCCTTTGTCTGTGTAACCAATATAGTGTTTATAAAATCTAGTATTGGAGTCTGTGAGTTTACTTCTTCTGAAAGTGCCTAATGCACCCTGTCCCATTGAAAATGGATTAAAGAACATTGTAAAGGTTCAAATAGTTTTCCTGATGGGGGGGGGGGAGGAGTGTCCTTTTGGGGGCCGCCCCCTACCCTTGCCCCCTGGATGGGGGGGGGGGACTTTTGGGCCCATGCCTCCCAGTTCCCCCCATCATCCGTACCTGATCTCGTTGACGCGGGGCATGGGGTGCATCACCACCATCTTCTTCTTGGCCCGGGTCATGATGTGGGGCGTCAGGATGAACTGCCCAAAACACTGAATGAAGAGCAGGAGGCCAAAAGAGGAGGGGCCAAGTGAGGTCAAGCTGCCCTTCTGTCTCACCCCCACAAAGCCCCCCCCCCCCATGCTCCCCAAGAGAAGCACAGGCGCCTGCAGGACAGTCAGTTGGGCCAGGACGTACGGCCCAAACTCAAAGAGCCCTTGGCCAATGGAGTTGAGGATAAGAGCAGAGCCCACTGCCCCACTTGCAGGGACAAGCCCCCCCCCCCACTTCCTTCCTCAAGACCCCTGGATTCCCCCCACTCACTGCCTCGTATTCCTGAACCGTGGCAAAGCGCTCCTTCTGGATGCGGGTCACGTAGAGGACGTCCGTGTCCGGCAAGGCCTCCTCAATGCTCTCAAACTCCTCCTGAGGACCGGGGGGGGGGGAGGGGGGGGAACAGTGACCAAAAGGAGGACACAGTTGCAGTGGCAAACCCCTTCCTTCCTTCCTTCCTTCCTTCCTTCCTTCCTTCCTTCCTTTCTTTCTCCCTTCAATTCCCCTTCCCTTTTTTCCTCCCTTTCCCTTCCTTTCCTTTCCTTCGTTCTCCTTTCCCTTCCTTACTTTCTCCCTTCCCTTCTGTCTTTCTTTATCCTTCTTCTCTCTTTCCTTTCTCCTTTCTCCCTTTCTTTCTTTCCTTTCTCCCTTCCCTTCTGTCTTGTCAGCAATATGTCTCTCTCTTTCATCCTTCCCTTTCTCTTCCTTTTCTGTCTTTCTTTCTCCTTTCCCTTTCCTTTCATTCTTCCCGTCCTTATCTTCCTTCCTCTTTCTTTCTCCTCTTCTCTTCTTTCTCTCTTCCTTTTCTGTTCTTTCTTTCTCCTTGCCCCTTACTTTCCTTTTCTCTCTTTTCTCCTTCCCTACTGTTTTCTTTCCCTTTCTTTCCCTTTTCTCTTTCTTTCTCCCTTCCCTCCTTCCTATTTCTTTCTTTTCTCCCTTCCCTTTCTCCTCCTTTTCTTTCTCCCCTTCCTCCCTTCCTTCTCTTTCCTTCTGCCTTTCCCCTTCCCCTCCTCACCTGCTTGATCCCCTTGGAGGCCACGAAGTGGAAGATGTCGGAGGGCATGCGCAGGTTGGCATCTTTCTTTCTCCCCTCCCTCCTTCCCTTCCTGTCCTATTTATCTTTCTTTCTTCTTTCTCCCTCCCTCCCTTCTTCCTTTCTCCCTTTATTTTTCCCTGACTCTTTCATCCTCCTTCCTTTCCTTTTCTACCTCTTCTCCTTCCTCTCTCTTTCTTTCTTTCTTCTCTCTCCCTTCCTTCTCTACTTTCTTCTTTCTCCCTTCTCCCTTCCTTCTCTTTCCTTCTGCCTTTCCCCTTCCCCTCCTCACCTGCTTGATCCCCTTGGAGGCCACGAAGTGGAAGATGTCGGAGGGCATGCGCAGGTTGGCGGGAGAGACGTAGCGCAGGCTGACGCGGTAGAGGGTCAGCAGCCGGGCCAAGGAGTGCACCGTCCGGCCGTGCTTCAGGTCGCCCACCATCGTGATCTGGGCACAAGGGGAGGGGGGAGGGAGGGAGGGAGGCAGAGAGGGGTCAGCCCACCTGGTGCTGGTGGTCTTGGGGGAACAGGAAGGGATGGACAGCGGCTTTGGCCACCGAGGCTCTTAAGCAGAGCCTGGATGGCCACTCGATGAACTGTTTTTATATGCATTTCAGAACTTATTTATTGCATGTTGCTTGGTGATGGTATTTGTTGTATTGCATAGCATTGAATTTTTGCCGTTAGCCATTCTGAGTCCCTCCACAGAGGTAGAGAAGAACACGATACGAAGTTCTATATAACTAAATAAATAAAATGCACAATCCAGATGGACATCCAAACCGGGTGTCCCTCGGGTTCCCGGGAATTCCTTACTGTCATGCCGTTGACGGTGCCCAGCTCCTCCCGGATGGTGAAGATGTCCAGCAGCGCCTGCGTGGGGTGCTCCCCGACTCCATCGCCCGCGTTGATCACGGGTTTCCGGCAGTGTTTGGCGGCCAGCTGGCACAAAGCGGGAGAGAAAAGGGTGGGAGGTGGTTATGGTGGGTGGGTGGTCTCACATCGCCCCTTACAAGACACCCGGGGCCACCACTGGCTTGCCCTGAGCAGCCCCCCCTCCTTTTACTCCCCTTGGAGATTGAAGCCCAGAGCTTCCCTCAACTTCTCCTCATTTGCTGACCCAAAGGAGGCCGAGTAGGGCAAAGGGATGCATTGGAAGGCCCCTGGAGACCCAGATCTAGGTCTATGAGTGGTCTTCTGAGGGGGTGGAAGTCCATCAGGGAAGCACGGAGAATGGGCAGAGCAGCCTCAGGCCCTTTCCTTTCCCCCCTCAGCCACTTCAGCTGCTCCTCAAAAAGATTAAGGCAGGCGTTGGGCCCTCCAGGTGTTTTGGACTTCAAGGGTCAGAAAGTTGTGTGTTTGTTTTAGAGGCCAGGCTAAGTACTTCAGCCAGCAGCAATTGTAATTGCTGAAGCTCATTCCCTCTCCTGCTGGTACTAGAACAGGCATGGGCCAACTTAGACCCTCCCTCCAGGTGTTTTGGACTCCAACTCCCACCATTCCTCGCAGCCTCAGGCGCTTAAGCGTTATATCTATTTGTTGAGATATGAAGGTAGGCATCTTTTAGGTCTATCACTCTATCATCTAGCTTAAGCGGCTGACGGGGAAAAGGAAGGGGCCTGAGGCTGCGAGGAATGGTGGGAGTTGGAGTCCAAAACACCTGGAGGACTGAAATTTGCCCCCCACCATTGAAGCCCCATCTCACCTCCACGGCGCCCGGCTGCGGGTGGCGCAGGACCAAGACGTCGGCGTAGCAGCTGAGGGTCTGGACGGAGTCGGCGAGGGTCTCTCCCTTCTGGCAGGAGGAGGTGGCCTCGGAGAAGGGCAGGACGGAGCCCCCCAGGCGGAACATGGCCGCCGCAAAGGAGCTGCTGGTCCGGGTGCTCGCCTCGTAGAACATGGAAGCCATCACCTTCCCCTTGAGCAGGTCGAGGCCGCGCTCCTTCTGCACCACCATCCTCAGGTTGTGCGCCACGTTGAAGAGGTGGGAGAGCTGCAGCAGCAGAAAAGGAGACACCACCAAAAAGGAGGCATGGATGCATCCCATTATTCCCTATTCCCTAGGATGCAAGGCAACTTGCATATTTCTAAGCAGAGGCTGGATGACCATCTGTCAGGGGTGCTTTGATTATGCCTGGCAGAATGAGGTTGGATTGGATGGCCTTTGGGGGTCCCCTCCAACTCTCTAGCCCTATTTTGCCATAATAATAATAATAATCATCATCATCATCCTTTATTTATACCCCACCACTATCTCCCCAAAGGGGACTCGGAGCAGCTTACATGATTGGTTCATCAATACATTACAGCAACATAAAATATAAACAACAAAATAACATCACAATAAAATAAACAAACCAATCAAGCGAAATAAACAGTACAAAATAACATAATGGAAAATAAAAACACGGTGGGCCGTGATGGATTGTCATCTGTTGGGGGTGCTTTGACTGTGCCTGACAGAACCAAGTTGGATTGGATGGCCTTTGGGGGTCCACTCCACCTCTCTAGCCCTATTTCGCCATGGTGGATGGCCATCCCTCCAGGGGTGCTTTGATTGTGGATGCGGTGGCCGGAAGGGCCTTTGCACAATTAAGACTCGTGCGCCAACTGTGACCGTACCTCGTGAAAGCGGATCTGGTCAGGGTGTTCCATGTCTTAGTCACCCCCAGATTGGACTACTGTAATGCGCTCTACGTGGGGCTGCCCTTGAAAATGGCCCGGAAATTCCAACTGGTCCATCGGGTGGTGGCCAGGTTGTTAACTGGTGCTCCTTACAGGGAGCGGTCATCCCTCCTGTTCAAGGAGCTCCGCTGGCTGCCGTTCACTTTCCGGTCCCAATTCAAGGTGCAGGTGCTCACCTACAAAGCCCTGAACGGTTTGGGACCTGCCTACCTGCGTGACCACATCTCTGTATACCAACCCACACGATCTCTTCGATCATCGGGAGAGGCCCTGCTCATGCTCCCACCTGTATTGCAAGCTCATTTGGTGGGGACGAGGGAGAGGGCCTTTTCGGTGGTGGCCCCTTGACTCTGGAACTCACTTCCTAAGGACATCAGGCTTGCCCCAACTCTGGCAGTCTTTAGGAGGAGCTTGAAAACGTGGTTGTTCCAGTGTGCCTTCCCAGAATAATGATCCCATGGCACTTTGTCCTCCAAAAAGCACTTTATATCCATTTAGGTCTGCTTGTATGTCTCCTGTATCTTGTTCATGCCTAGCATTATTTTTTAAACCTTAATTCAGTGTTTCTCAACCTGGCGCAGTGTTTCTCAACCTGGGGGTTGGGACCCCTGGAGGGGTCGGGAGGGGGTGTCAGAGGGGTCACCAAAGACCACCAGAAAACACAGTATTTTCTGTTGGTTATGGGGGTTCTATGTGGGAAGTTTGGCTCAATTTAATCATTGGTAGGGTTCAGAATGCTCTTTGATTGTAGGCGAACCATAAATCCCAGCAATTACAACTCCCAAATGTCAAGGTCTATTTCCCCCCAAACTCCCCAGTGTTTACATTTGGGCATATTGAGAATTCATGTCAAGTTTGGTCCAGATCCATCATTGTTTGAGTCCATAGTGCTCTCTGGATGTAGGTGAACTACAACCCCCAAACTCAAGGTCAATGCCCACCAAACCCTTCCAGGAGTTTCTGTTGGTCATGGATGTTCTGTGTGCCAAGTTTGATTCAATTCCATCGTTGGTAGTATTCAGAATGCTCTTTGATTGTAGGTGAACTATAAATCCCAGCAACTACAACTCCCACAGGACAAAATCAATACCCTCCCCCAATCCCACCAGTATTCAAATTTGGGTGTATTGGGTATTTGTGCCAAATTTGGTCCAGTGAATAAAATACATCCTGAATATCAGATATTTACATTGCTATTCATAACAGCAGCAAAATGACAATTAAGAAGTAGCAATGAAACTAATTTTATGGTTGGGGGTCACCATAACATGGGGAAGCGTATTAAGGGGTCGTGGCATTAGGAAGGTTGAGAACCACTGCCTTAATTACATTTGGTCTGTAACAATATACAATAATATAGATGGGTTCCTGAGTGAAATGTATATAACAAAAATACCACTTGTATAACATAAACAATGATATAATTCAACAACAGTATATAAACATGCTGCACTGTTAACCTCACAGCGACAACAAACAGTATGGTGCAAACTTTTAGTACAGTCGTATTTTCTTATAAGTAGCCTGAGTAACAGCCTACCACAATTCAACAACAATATATATACATGCTGCACTGTTAACCCCACAGCGACAACAAACAATGTGGTGCAAACTTTTAGTACAGTCGTGTCTTCTTATAAGTAGCCTGAGTAACAGCCTACCACAATTCAACAACAATATATATACATGCTGCACTGTTAACCTCACAGTGACAACAAACAGTATGGTGCAAACTTTTAGTACAGTCGTATTTTCTTATAAGTAGCCTGAGTAACAGCCTACCACAATTCAACAACAGTATCTAAACATGCTGCACTGTTAACCCCACAGCGACAACAAACAATGTGGTGCAAACTTTTAGTACAGTCGTGTCTTCTTATAAGTAGCCTGAGTAACAGCCTACCACAATTCAACAACAATATATATACATGCTGCACTGTTAACCTCACAGTGACAACAAACAGTATGGTGCAAACTTTTAGTACAGTCGTATTTTCTTATAAGTAGCCTGAGTAACAGCCTACCACAATTCAACAACAGTATCTAAACATGCTGCACTGTTAACCCCACAGCGAAAAACAAACAATGTGGTGCAAACTTTTAGTACAGTCGTGTCTTCTTATAAGTAGCCTGAGTAACAGCCTACCACAATTCAACAACAATATATATACATGCTGCACTGTTAACCTCACAGTGACAACAAACAGTATGGTGCAAACTTTTAGTACAGTCGTATTTTTAACAAAAATACCACTTGTATAACATAAACAATGATATAATTCAACAACAGTATATAAACATGCTGCACTGTTAACCTCACAGCGACAACAAACAGTATGGTGCAAACTTTTAGTACAGTCGTATTTTCTTATAAGTAGCCTGAGTAACAGCCTACCACAATTCAACAACAGTATCTAAACATGCTGCACTGTTAACCTCACAGCGACAACAAACAGTATGGTGCAAACTTTTAGTACAGTCGTATTTTCTTATAAGTAGCCTGAGTAACAGCCTACCACAATTCAACAACAGTATCTAAACATGCTGCACTGTTAACCTCACAGCGACAACAAACAGTATGGTGCAAACTTTTAGTATAGTCGTGTCTTCTTATAAGTAGCTTGTGGGACACGACTGTACTAAAAGTTTGCACCACATTGTTTGTTGTCGCTGTGGGGTTAACAGTGCAGCATGTATATATATTGTTGTTGAATTGTGGTAGGCTGTTACTCAGGCTACTTATAAGAAAATACGACTGTACTAAAAGTTTGCACCACATTGTTTGTTGTCGCTGTGGGGTTAACAGTGCAGCATGTATATATATTGTTGTTGAATTGTGGTAGGCTGTTACTCAAGCTACTTATAAGAAAATACGACTGTACTAAAAGTTTGCACCATACTGTTTGTTGTCGCTGTGGGGTTAACAGTGCAGCATGTTTAGATACTGTTGGTGAATTATATCATTGTTTATGTTATACAAGTGGTATTGTTGTTATATACATTTCACTCAGGAACCCATCTTAATTACATTTGGCCCAGTCATAGATTTTAATTGTGCACTGTATTTGGTTTAATGCTTATGCTTTTTGTGTTAGAGATTTATTTTAATTGCTTTCTATTGTGTCTGTTATTGTGTTTTGCTTGTATTGTTGTATTGTGGGCTCGGCCTCATGTAAGCCGCACCCAGTCCCTTGGGGAGATAGATGGTAGCGGGGTATAAATAAGGTGTTATTATTATTATAAACAGCAAACAATAACATCAAAATAAAATATATAAAATACCAGAAAATGTAATAAACAGATGCAAAATAACATGATGAAGAAATAAAATAAAAGCACGGTGGGCAGGCCAAACGCACAGAATAAGATGGATAAAACTCTGGGTGAGATAAGTAAATGGAGAATATGTAATCCAGTGATTCTGGCCACGAAAGCCTTTGGGAACCCATAGCGAGAGAAGGCTGTGGAGAAGCACCATGATGAACGCAGCCCCCTTTCCGAAGGGGTCGTCCTACCTGTCCTTTGGTGAACTGCTGGACGGAGAGGACGTGCTGCCCGACGAGTGGGTGCAGGAAAGGCGAGGGCTGTGGGTGGGGGGTGCTCTGTGGGGAGGTCTGCCGGGGCAAGGGGCCCGAGAGGAAGAGGGGCCCGTCGTGCACCAGGGGCAGCTCTGCGCGGGAAGGGCGAGGACGGCGAGGGAGGAAGGCAGACAGAGGGAGAAGAGGGTCAGTCTCTTGGCAGAAGCAACACACACACACACATATACGTATGCTTCGGGTCTAACCTATGTTCGAGATCGCATCTTTTTCTATGAACTGGAGGGGAGGCCCTCCTTTCGGTCCCACCATGAAATCGACAGGGGAGGCCCTCCTCTCGGTCCCACCATGGAATCGACAGGGGAGGCCCTCCTCTCGGTCCCACCATGAAATCCACAGGGGAGGCCCTCCCTCTCGGTCCCACCATGAAATCGACAGGGGAGGCCCTCCTCTCGGTCCCACCATGGAATCGACAGGGGAGGCCCTCCTCTCAGTCCCACCATGAAATCCACAGGGGAGGCCCCCCTCTCTGTCCCACCATGAAATCCACAGGGGAGGCCCTCCTCTCAGTCCCACCATGGAATCGACAGGGGAGGCCCCCCTCTCGGTCCCACCATGAAATCGACAGGGGAGGCCCTCCTCTCGGTCCCACCATGAAATCGACAGGGGAGGCCCCCTCTCGGTCCCACCATGGAATCGACAGGGGAGGCCCTCCTCTCGGTCCCACCATGGAATCGACAGGGGAGGCCCTCCTCTCGGTCCCACCATGGAATCGACAGGGGAGGCCCTCCTCTCGGTCCCACCATGAAATTGACAGGGGAGGCCCTCCTCTCGGTCCCACCATGGAATCGACAGGGGAGGCCCTCCTCTCGGTCCCACCATGAAATTGACAGGGGAGGCCCTCCTCTCGGTCCCACCATGGAATCGACAGGGGAGGCCCCCCTCTCGGTCCCACCATGGAATCGACAGGGGAGGCCCTCCTCTCGGTCCCACCATGGAATCGACAGGGGAGGCCCTCCTCTCGGTCCCACCATGAAATTGACAGGGGAGGCCCTCCTCTCGGTCCCACCATGGAATCGACAGGGGAGGCCCTCCTCTCGGTCCCACCATGGAATCGACAGGGGAGGCCCTCCTCTCGGTCCCACCATGGAATCGACAGGGGAGGCCCTCCTCTCGGTCCCACCATGAAATCGACAGGGGAGGCCCTCCTCTCGGTCCCACCATGGAATCGACAGGGGAGGCCCTCCTCTCGGTCCCACCATGGAATCGACAGGGGAGGCCCTCCTCTCGGTCCCACCATGAAATTGACAGGGGAGGCCCTCCTCTCGGTCCCACCATGGAATCGACAGGGGAGGCCCTCCTCTCGGTCCCACCATGAAATTGACAGGGGAGGCCCTCCTCTCGGTCCCACCATGGAATCGACAGGGGAGGCCCTCCTCTCGGTCCCACCATGGAATCGACAGGGGAGGCCCTCCTCTCGGTCCCACCATGAAATTGACAGGGGAGGCCCTCCTCTCGGTCCCACCATGGAATCGACAGGGGAGGCCCTCCTCTCGGTCCCACCATGGAATCGACAGGGGAGGCCCTCCTCTCGGTCCCACCATGGAATCGACAGGGGAGGCCCTCCTCTCGGTCCCACCATGAAATTGACAGGGGAGGCCCGCCTCTCGGTCCCACCATGAAATTGATGGGCCTCATGTAAGCCGCTCCGAGTCCCTTGGGGGGATGGTGGCGGGGTATAAATAAATAAATAAAAATAAACTTAATTTGTACCCCGCTACCATCTCCCCAAGGGACTCGGTGCGGCTTACATGAGGCCAAGCCCACAACACAGCAATAACAAAGCAAAACAACAATAGTACAAGCAGTAAATAAAACTCATAACAGCAAATAAACAATAAACATTAACAACAGCACGAGGTAAACCTCGGTGTGAAAGAAGCTTTGTGTGAGAAAGTTCAGTGTGAGTTAAACCTCAGTGTGAGAGACGCCTTGTGTGAGAAAACTCCAATGTGAGGTAAACCTCAGTGTGAAAGAAGCTTTGTAAATAAAGTTTTATTTATTATTATTTATTATTATATTCCTGATTTTCCCAAAAGGTTACGTAGATTTCCCTTTCCTGAAAGGTTACGGCATCATTTCCCAAAAAGGTCATGATTTAAAAGCTCATGTCTTTCCAAAACAAAGAAGGGGGTGGGGCTCTTTGCGGTTCCCTCCCACACCTGTGATTCTACAATTACGGAAGGCTCACCTGGCTCGGCGGTCCTCTTGATCACTCTTTCCCGGAGGTCATCAGCTGCCCAAAGGAGAGAAGGAGAGCGCAGGGTTTACGGAGAGGCAGAGGCATCCCGCCACGCCCTTTGCAGCCCCTTCCCCACTCACAAAGGCAGTCACAAACCCCACTGCGGTCTGGATGTTGGCGCCTCACCTGGGAGCCCGGGGTCAGAGGCGCGGTGGATACGGGGGGCCAAGTAGAAGCGCGTGTCGCCCACCGGAGGGGCCCTCCGGGGACTGGCCGCTCGGGATCGCAGGGCCTCAGCTTGTACCGAGGGGTGGGCGCGCTCTGGGGTCTGCGGGAGGGAGGGAGGGCAGAGAGAAGGGGTGAGGGTCTGGGGGGTCTCATCCAAACCCCCTCCCCAATGCCCAGAGAGGGAGGTACACCATCGACATGACTCTTACCTTCATGACCTCTTTGGGGGGCACCGGGAGGGGGGCTGTGGTGGCGGCGGCTGCGGAGGGCCACTTCCGCACATCCTGGCCGTAACCTGGGGGCACAAGGACCTGCAAACACAAGAAGGGAATTAAATGCCACTCCCAATGACAGAAATATTAAATATTAATTACGTATTTTTTATTACAAAAGTGTGAGTCAAGCACTGAAAGAAATGAGTAGACCGAAGCCTGTTAAGAGTCAGTGCGCAAAAGATAGTGGCAGGTAAGTGGCAGGTAGTGTGAGGTAAACCTCAGTGTGAGAGAAGCTTTGTGAGAAAGCTCAGTGTGAGAGAAGTCTTGTGTGAGAAAGCTCCAGTGTGAGGTAAACCTCAGTGTGAGAGAAGCCTTGTGTGAGAAACCTCAGTGTGAGAGAAGCCTTGTGTGAGAAAGCTCAGTATGAGTTAAACCTCAGTGTGAGAGAAGTCTTGTGTGAGAAAGCTCCAGTGTGAGGTAAACCCCAGTGTGAGAGAAGCCTTGTGTGAGAAACCTCAGTGTGAGAGAAGCCTTGTGTGAGAAAGCTCCACTGTGAGGTAAACCTCAGTGTGAGAGAAGCCTTGTGTGAGAAAGTTCAGTGTGACGTAAACCTCAGTGTGAGAGACGCCTTGTGTGAGAAAACTCCAGTGTGAGGTAAACCTCAGTGTGAGAGAAACCTTGTGTGAGAAAGCTCCATGTGACGTAAACCTCAGTGTGAGAGAAACCTTGTGTGAGAAAGCTCCAGTGTGAGGTAAACCTCAGTGTGAGAGAAGCCTTGTGTGGGAAAGCTCCAGTGTGAGGTAAACATCAGTGTGAGAGAAGCCTTGTGTGGGAAAGCTCCAGTGTGAGGTAAACATCAGTGTGAGAGAAGCCTTGTGTGCGAAAGCTCAGTGTCTTTGCATTATTACTATTATTTTACCTGTCCGTCGATGTAGGCCACCTCTCCGCGGAGGATGACCCTCCGGACAGTGCCCTTGACTCGCATCCCTTCGAAGGGCGTCCAGCGGGACTTGCTGAAGGTGGTGCTGGGGGGCACCAGCCACTCCTGCTCAAGATCCACCTGTTAAGGGAGGGAGGGAGTGGTCAGCTTAGAGGTCAGAGGCACCGGACCGGCCCACCATGGCAAAGGGTGGTGGGAGGTGGGTGCCCCCCCAAGAGCTGTCATGGTGCCCCCTCCCCCTCCAAAGCCCCCCCCCAACACACCTCCACATAGGTGTCCTCCTGGAGGGGGAGGCCAAAGATGCGCCGGGGGTTCTCGTAAAGGCGGGCGATGATGTCCTCCACGGTCAGACGCCCCTCGGAGACGGCCGTCAGCAGCAGGGGAAGCATGGTCTCAAGGCCGGGGAAGCCCGGGGGAGGGTCCTTGCCCAGCTTCTCCTCCAGAGTGTGGGGGGCTGCATTATTTGGGGGGGGGGAGAGAGAAAGAGGAGTAGAGACGGTTGAAGTTGGGTAAAGTACCTGGCAGATTCATGGCAAAGTCAGGAGCAACTACAATCATAGAATCACAGAGTTGGAAGAGACCACATGGGTCATCTAGTCCAACCCCTTCCTGCCATGCAGGAAAAGCACAGTCAAAATACCCCCAACAGATGGCCATTCAGCCTGTTTCAAAGCTTCCAAGGAAAGAGCTTATTTATTTATTTATTTATTTACGCTTTTATATTCCGCCCTTCTCCTCACCCCGCAGGGGACTCAGGGCAGATTACAGTGTACACATATATGGCAAACATTCAATGCCAATTTTTGACATACAAACATATACAGACATACACAGAGGCTATTTAACTTTTTCTGGCCGCCAGGGGAGCTGTCGCTTTCATCGTCCATCTGCGACGCTGATGAAGCACTTCCGCATTCCCCGCATGCTTCCCCGCTGATGAAGCACTTCCGCATTCCCCCATGCTTCCCCGCTGACGAAGCACTTCCGCATTCCCCGCAGGCGCCCCCGCGGATGCTTGGCTGAGTCTTCTTTATTGGCCTCATAAATAGTGATGGAGCCTCCCCCACTGGAGGGGGGACCGAATTTGCCGTACGGACAGAGCAAGGGCGGGTGGGGGGCAAGGGCGACACAGCGCACACAATGGTGGAAACCCACGCCACCCCGGGCGGGCGGAACGCAATGACCTGGGGGGGCAGAGGGCGAATGCAGCGGGACACCAGACCACGGCGCCCAATTGCACTCCAATGCAGAGAGTTCCACTGTTGAGCAGCTCATATGGTCAGGAAGTTCTTCCTGATGTTCAAGTGGATCTCCTTTCCTTTCATTTGAACCCATTGCTCCACCCTCTTCCTTAGGACACCTTTTCTCATATTTATACATGGCTCCTCTCAATTTTCTCTTCTGAGACTAAACATGCCCAGCTCTTTAAGCCGCTCCTCAGAGGGATTATTCATGGTCTTTAGACCTTTGATCCTTTGAGTCTTCCTCTGGAAAGGAAAGGGCCTGAGGCTGTTAGGAATTGTGGGAGTTGGAGTCCAAGACACCTGGAGGGAAGGCCGAAGTCGGCCCAGGCCTGGTGTCAAGGCCAGAAAATTATCCCACAGAGACAGGTGTGGGACCCCCACAAACAGAAGGGGGTGTGAGACAGATGTGGATGAGAGTGACCCCCACAAACAGAAGGGAAATGCGTGATGGGCCTGGGCTCTCACCGTGGTCCGTGGCGAAGCAGTCGATGGTGGCCATGTTCTCCCAGAGGGCTTCCATGTCCTCGCGGCTGCCCAGGGTGGGGCGCACCTGGCCCCGCCCCTCCCCGATGCGCCCCAGGTCCTCCTGGCAGAGGAAGAGGTGGTGGGGGGCCACCTCGCAGGTCACCTCAATGCCCTTCTGCTTGGCCGCCTTGATGATCAGGATCTGGAAGGGTCAAGAGCAGAAAGTGGTGCAATGGGCTCAACTGCTGACCTGAAGGTGGGCAGTTCAAATCCGCGGGGACGGGGTGAGCTCAACAAAACAACAACAAAACTTTGTTTATATACCGCCCTATCTCCCCGAGGGGACTCAGAGCGGTTTCCAAGTAACATCATCAATACATACAAAGTAAACAACATAAACATAAAATTAACAAGGCAATATAAGCATAAAAAATCACAATAGCACATATATATTTAAAATAATCCTGCCTGTTCAAGGCCATTTAAAAGGCCGGGCCAAGGCTAGTGCAATTTGTAGAGGGCCCGGGAAAGTAGGTGCAATGCTATAACAGGCAACAACAATAATAGGTAAAGTCTATGGCGGGGTTTAAAGATTGTTATTGTTGTTATTATTATTATTATATGCTGTAATTTCATTTCTGGGGCCTAATAGCTTTTAGTCCAAGCTCCTGCCAACCTAGCAGTTCGAAAACATGCAAATGTGAGTAGATCAATAGGTACCACCTCGGCGAGAAAGGCAAAAAGACACTCCATGTAGTCATGCTGGCCACACGACCAGGAGATGTCTATGGGGAACACAGGGTCCTCAGCTTGGAAATAGAGATGAGCACTTCCCCCAGAGCCAGAGATGAAAGGAGAAGCCTTTGCCTTTGTTTGTGTTTCACTGTATTCTCATTTGTAATAAGGCATTCAATGTATTGTCGAAGGCTTTCATGGCTGGAATCACTAGGTTCTTGTGGGTTTTTTCGGGCTATATGGCCATGTTCTAGAGGCATTCTCTCCTGACGTTTGGCCTGCATCTAGGGCAAGCATCCTCAGAGGTACTGAGGTCTGTTGGAACTAGGAAAAGGGGTTTATATACCTGTGGAATAACCAGGGTGGGACAAAGGACTCTTGTCTGCTCTTGTCTGCTGGGAATGTTTCAACTCACCACCTTGATTAGCATACAATGGCCTGACAGTGCCTGGAGCAATCTTTTGTGAGAGGTAATTATATGTCTATTAATACCTCCCAGCAACAGATTTTCCCAGGCTCAGGCAGGCCTTCAAATGCTAATGAAGGTGATCAGCTAAACATTCACACCTAACTGCAGCAGAGAAGAGCTCCTTGCCCCACCCCAGCCATTCCACAGATATATAAACCCATTTTTCCTACTTCCAACAGACCTCACACCTCTGAGGATGCTTGCCATAGATGCAGGCGAAACGTCAGGAGAGAATGCCTCTAGAACATGGCTCTATAGCCCGAAAAAACCCACAAGAACCTAAGGCACTGAATGTTTGTTTGCTTGTTTACGACACCCTTCTCACCCCGAAAGGGACTTGGAGCGGCTTTACAAGTAATATGTAAATACAATATATTATATTATTACCATAGCACAATATTAGTATTATTTATAATACTAATAATATATTATATTATTATTATTTATAATATTAGTATTATTAGTATTATTGTTCTGTTAGAAATGTAATATAATTGGCTGGTTGCCCTGACACGACAAATAAATAAATAAACAGTATTATATATTATTATATTATATTATATTATATATTATTATATTATATTATAGTATTATATATTATATATTGTACTGTAATATTATTAGTAATATTATATGTAATATAAAATATATAATATTGTATTATTATTATTAGTATTATATTGTATCACATTATAATATCAATATTATATATATACACAACATATTATATTATATTATGTTATATTTAAATCATTTTATGTACATGCGGCCCGCTCACTGTCATTATGTTTGGTTTACTGCTTTTCCCCCCACTTTTGTTTATTGTAGTCATATGTTCTGTATTTTATTGCAATGTTGTTTATTTTATTGTAACTTGATAACAATAATAATAATATAATAAACTTTATTTATACCCCACCACCATCTTCCCGATGAGGACTCGGGGCGGCTTACATGAGGCCAAGGCCAAACAACAAATTACAACAGAATGAAACCAAAAATGCAAACAATAAACAACAACGTCATAATTACATAAAACATGAATCATAATGATATAAAATTACAGTAAACGCAATCACAGTGACAACTTGTATCTTATTTTATTGTAATTTGTAGTTTGGGTTTGGCCTCATGTAAACCGCCCCGAGTCCCCATTGAGGAGATGGTGGCGGGGTTTAAATAAAAATTATTATTATTATTATTATTATTATTATTATTATTTGCTGTAATAATCTGAGTCCCCTTGGGGAGAAGGGCGGAATATAAATAAAGTGTCATTATTATTATTATCATCATCATCATCATTGTCCTCATGGTCAGGCATTATTATTATTATTATTATTATTATTATTATTATTATTATTATTATATTATAAGCTGTAATCCGGTCTGAGTCCCCTTGGGGAGAAGGGTGGAATATAAATAAAGTGTTTATTATTATTATCATTATCATCATCATCATCATCATCATCATCATCATCATTGTCCTCCTGGTCAGGCATTATTATTATTATTATTATTATTATTATTATTATTATTATTATTATATTATTATATTTATTATTATTATTATTATTATTATTATTATTATTATTATTATTATTGAATCATAGCATCCTAGATTTGGAAGCGGCAGGTATTATATTATTATATGTTATTATTATTATTATTATTATTAAAATCATCATCATCATTATCATTGTCCTCCTGGTCAGGCATCATCATCATCATCATCATCATCATTATTGTCCTCCTGGTCAGACATTGACCTTTCCCCTCTGGCAGAAGGAGAGCCAGCCATTCAGGGGTGGAAGTAAACATCTCCCACCCAAGCAGCGCAGGAAGTGGAGTGCTCAGGTCTCGGTTAGCTTCCGCCTGAGGAATTCCAAAAGTCCCACTTCCCTCTGAGATCCATTTGCATCCTGGCCATCAAACCCATCATCCACGCAGGGCAGCCTACAGTCCCATGGAGTGGGATAATGAGGGTCTAGGTCCCCAGTTCCACCACTTGAGACGGAGTGGAGCAGCTGGGACCAGCCAGGTCCAGCACTGGGTTGCTCTCCTCCACCCTGAACAACGTTGGCTTCTCAGCAATGCCATTACGTGTCTAAGCTTCTTGTAGTGCCCAGAAGAGTCCTCCCCTTCCCCTTGGCCTCACCTCCTCCTTGCGCGCCACGTGGCAGATGTGGACGGGGCGCTGGTAGAGCTGGGCCACCATCAGGATGGCCGCCACCGTCTGCTTCTCGGCATGAGCCACGATGGGAAGGTGCTTGGGCCACTTCTCAAAGTGCTGGAAGGAAGGAAGGGAGGGAGGGAGGGAGGAAGGAAGGGAGGGAGGGAGGGAAAGGAAAGGAAAGGAAGAGGGTGAGGGGCGCCTTATGGACGGAGGGAACCCACGCAAAGCCCCCCCCCCAACCTGGAAGAAGTAGTCGTGAGGGTGACACTTGGGGAGGGGCACCCACCTCCATCCAGAGAGAGACGTTATCCATTTTGAGGTCCGAGAAGGTGTCGTTCAGGTACATCTTGAGGCCGGCCGCAGCTCCTGCCACCGGACCCAGGGACCCGGCGTTGTCCGAAGAGGCCCCCAAGAAGAGGGCAAAGTCGCAGCGGGCTCCGGCCTCCGCCAACTGGAGTGAAGGGGAGAGAAGGGACGGGTTGACCATCTCAAAGAGTGGAGAGTGGACAAACCCAGGAACACATAGCATTTGTTTGTCTGATTGACTGACCTGCCCCATCTCTACCAGACACCAGCCTGACCCCTTGCCCCTTCCTCCTGCCCTTCAGGTTGGGCCTCCTCATGCTTAATAATAAAGCTGGACCAGAGAAGCTCCATTGGCCCAATCTGCATCAGGTGTCTCTTGACTCACAGAATTAGAGGGGATCCCCCTGCCAAGCAGGAAGGAAGGCCCAATCAAAGCACCCCCAACAGATGGCCATGCAGCCTCTGCTTAAATATCCCAGGGAAGAAGACTCCGTCGGACTCCCAGGCATCAGCATAGCCCACTGTTGATCCCCGTTTCCTTTTATACGCAACAGTTATAATAACTGAAACAGTACAAAAAGGGGGAAAAGGAGGGAAAGATATGGACCATAATAGGATATAGTATGCAAATAATGTAGCACTGTTAGTTAAATAGTTCTATACATAAATCTATTGTATTACTAATTGGGGGGGGGGTATTCTTTAATAAAGTAAAAGGGGGAAATTCCAACTTTAACCTCTTTTCTGACAAGAGGACCAAACTGTCCTTCCAGATCTGCATTAGTTTCTTTTCTCTTCTCTTCTTGTCCCTTCTCTTCTCTTCCGGCTACTTGGAGGACTCCTTCTCCTTATTTTATCCATTAACTAATTTGAACACTATTTTTTTCTACTCTTAATGGTAGCCAACTTTATGCATATCCTAAAGTTAATTTCATTTGTTAAGTAGATGAGTAATATACATGTAAATATTTATATGTTTTTAATCTGGAGGAAACCCTGACCTTGGGCAGGGATGGCCTTGGTTCCAATGTTTTCCTCCTCCTCCTCCTCCTCCTCCTCCTCCTCCTCCTCCTGTTGTTGTTGTTGTTGTTATTGTTGTTATGTTTATTTAAACCAGGCATGGGCCAACTTGGGCCCTTCCTCCAAGTATTTTGGACTTCAACTCCCCCAATTCCTAACAGCCTCAGGCCCTTTCCTTTTCCCTCTCAGCCGCTTAAGTTAGACGATAGAATGATAGACCTAAGAGATGCCTACTTTCAGGTGGCAAGAGGTAGATAAGAGAGTGATAGACCTAAGAGAGGCCTACTTTCAGGTCCCAATAAATAAATGATAGAGTGATAGACCTAAGAGATGCCTACTTTCAGGTCGCAATAATTAGATGATAGAGTGATAGACCTAAGAGAGGCTTACCTCCAGGTCACGATAAATAGATGATAGAGTGATAGACCTAAGAGAGGCTTACCTCCAGCTTGCGACAAATAGATGATAGAGTGATAGACCTAAGAGAGGCCTACTTTCAGGTGCCGATAGACGAGTGATAGACCTAAGGGAGGCCTACCTCCAGGTCCCAATAGATATATAGATATAATGCTTAAGAGGCTGAGGGGGAAAAGGAAGGGGCCTGAGGCTGTTGGGAATTGGGAGAGTTGTAGTCCAAAACACCTGGAGGGAGGGCCCAAGTTGGCCACACCTGATTTATACCCTGCTTTTTCTCTCTTAAAGCGGCTACTCACTGCCTTGATTAGAGGGTAAACACTACTCCTGGATCCATGCTGCTCCCTGCCCTGCCCTTTCAAGGCTTACCTTCTGTGCAAGGGCAAAGGAGGCGGCGTCGATGAGGGCTGGGCAGGTGTTAGGCATGGCGCAGACCATGGTGACCCCTCCGGCCAGGGCGGCTGCGGTCCCAGAGGCAAAGTCCTCCTTGTGGGTGGCTCCCGGCTCCCGCAGGTGCACATGGACGTCAATCAGGCCTGGGAGCAGAAGGGAGAGTCAGTGGAGTGGGAAGGGGATGCAAGGAAGCCCCCCCCACCTCACACCATATGCTTATCAGGCAATACTATGCACCTTTGCTCAGAAGGAAGTCACATCTGAGTGTCTTCCAAAGGGGAGCAGGGCAGGCTCAAAGGAAACAGCCCTGAATATGGGATCCGAAGCCCAGGACCTCAGAAAGTAGGAAATGAGATGCGGTCTGCAAACCAAAACTGGGCTGTTTTGGTGCTGAGCTCTAGGGGTCAAAGGGCACACCCAAAACCTGGGCTTGGCCAATGAGAGGCACCTGGAGCTCTCTGCAGGGGGCAAAACATTTGATTGTTGTATTATTGATAGTTGTTGATATTTCGTTGTGCTATTTCTTTATTGTAAACTGTGTTTTTATATGTTGTACACCGCCGTGAGTCGCCCTAGGGCTGAGAACGGTGGTCAACAAATGCAGTAAATAAATAAATAAATAAATAAATAAAACACACTCCCATCACTCCTGCAAGGGCTCTTTCAGCAGGAAGGAACACAACTGCAAGAGCTCTATGTGAATCCTGCTTCTTTAGTAGTGGCAAATGCTGTGTGTGAAAACAGAGGGTTTCTGGCCAACCTTTGGAGTACTGGGTTTCTCCCTAAATGGGTCAGAATGCACTCATAATGGTCAAGCATGCTTTGAAAAATTTCCCAAGGATGGTTGAAGTTTTGAGGGGGAGCATCGCGGGTCCCCACGCCCACCCATGGCTTCCCCCAGAGTTCAGGCCCCCCATCTCCTGTACTTGGAGTGTTCCCCTCTCCCCTCCATGTGCCCTACCTGGCAAGCGGATGAGCTTCTGGGAGGTCATGCAGTCCACGTGCATCTTCAGTGGAGGCGGGCCCCCAATCTGACCAAGGGCCTGCAGTTGGTTGGGGACATAAGGAGGAGGGCTCTCACCTGCCCACAAGCTGAGGACCCTCACCTTCCCACCTCCAGTCCCTTCTCCTCAGGTTGCCTAATGTGTTCTTTCCCATGTTAATCAAGTCCCTGACAACCTCTCCCTCCTGTCTTTCCTCCTCCTCTCTTTCCTCCCTCCTTTTTTTTCTTCCTTCCTTCCGTCTTTCCTCCCTCTTTTTTTCCACCCTTTCCTTCCCCCTCCCTCCCTATCTCCCTTCTTCCCCCTTCCTTCCTTGGATCCTGGGACAATTAAAGGGCTTTCTTTCTTTCTTTCTTTCTTTCTTTCTTTCTTTCTTTCTTTCTTCCATCCATCCAAACCTCCCCTTGCCTTCCTTCCTTCCACCTTTTTTCTCCCTCCCTCCATCCAACCTTCTTTCTTTCTTTCCTTCTTCCTTCCTTCTTTTATTTATTTATTTATTCGGAGTGCTTCTATCCCGCCCTTCTCAACCCCCTAGGGCCAGGCATGTAGCTGGGGGGGGGGGGGGCTTGAGGGGCTTCTCATGATGGTTCGCAAGAAGGCCTTCCTGGTGCATTATTTAAACTGTTATGTTTATTCATATCATGATCTGATCACCATACTCAATATATCCCATATGCATGGGGGTATTGGGATAACGATACAAAAGGTTTGCTAGGCTAGACCCTCTTTCACTCAGACTCAGCCCCCCCCCCGAATCAAACTCTCCTGAAAAAAACGCCCCCCCCCCCCCGAATCGAAATCTTGGCTACGGGCCTGCCTAGGGGGGACTCAGGGCGGCTTACAAAAGGCACAATTCGATGCCCAACAATTCACAAAATACAATATACAAATTACAATATAACGAAAACAGTTATTACTAATTAAAATTGAAACAATAACAGCAATAAAATCATCTTCTTTCCCTCTTTCTTTATTCTACCCTTCCTTCCTTCTCTTGCTCCCTCCTTCCCCCTGCCTTCTTTGCACAGCCTGACCTCCACGAAGAGCTTGGTGCACTTGATGTCGATGATGAGGGGCACGGAGTAGTCCACGGCCAGGCGCCGGGTGCGGTACCCCTTGGTGACGAAGGAGGAGAGGCGCCGCCCGCCCGCGTTGCGCATGGAGAGGTTGATGACCAGGTCAAAGTGGTTCTCCGCCAGGTACTCCAGTATGCTGCGCTGCTGCTGCTGCGTCTCCTTGCCCACCGACGCCACGTCCCCGACCTCCGTTGCCGCCGCCACCGCCGCCGCCTCCTCAAAGTGCCAGTCCACCGCCTTCACCTGTCAGAGGAGGAGTGGCAGGGTTACAGGAGTGACCCAGGTCTACCATCATGGGAAGGGAGACTGCTACATACCTTGAGAATGACTGAGACATATCTCTTTTGCATTTGTTTTGTATTAAGCTACTTGATGGGAATTAAGAGCAAGTATCTGCAATCAAGGTGAAAGAAGAAAGCGCAAAAGCCGGGTTGCAGCTAAACGTCAAAAAAACCAAGATTATGGCAACAAGAATGATTGACAACTGGAAAATAGAGGGAGGAACCGTGGAGGCCGTGACAGACTTTGTATTTCTAGGTGCAAAGATTACTGCAGATGCAGACTGTAGCCAGGAAATCAGAAGACGCTTACTTCTTGGGAGGAGAGCAATGTCCAGTCTCGATAAAATAGTAAAGAGTAGAGACATCAGACTGGCAACAAAGATCCATTGCCTAGTCAAAGCCATGGTCTTCCCTGTAGTCACCTACGGATGTGAGAGCTGGACCTTAGGGAAGGCTGAGCGAAGGAAGATCGATGCTTTTGAGCTGTGGTGTTGGAGGAAAGTGCTGAGAGTGCCTTGGACTGCGAGAAGATCCAACCAGTCCATCCTCCAGGAAATAAAGCCCGACTGCTCATTGGAGGGAAGGATACTAGAGACAAAGTTGAAGTACTTTGGCCACATCATGAGGAGACAGGAAAGCCTGGAGAAGACAATTATGCTGGGGAAAGTGGAAGGCAAAAGGAAGAGGGGCCGACCAAGGGCAAGATGGATGGATTGTATCCTTGAAGTGACTGGACTGACCTTGAAGGAGCTGGGGGTGGTGACGGCCGACAGGGAGCTCTGGCGTAGGCTGGTCCATGAGGTCACGAAGAGTCGGAGACGACTGAACGAATGAACAACAACATCTGCATATTGTTGTTAGTGGGAACTGGCACCAACGTGTGCAATTAAGATAAGGGAGGGGAGCCTGGAGAGCAGGAAACCCCGGCCATTCCCCATGTGAGCTGGCCTCCAGGCAAGCAAGGTAATGTTTAGGTTTCTGAGCCAGTCCTTCAGGGCCCCAAGGAGCAGAAGGGGCCGCTTCCTATTGTTGGGAGAAGAGGCCCAAATCCCTCCTTCTGGACAATGTGAAAGGAACCAGGCCCCTTGCGACCCCTTTCATAGGCTCCCATAGTTGGGAGAGACCCCAAGGGCCACCCAGCCTGACCCCGTTCCGCCAGGCAGGAAGAGCACGACCCTGTTTCCTTCCCTCTCTGGACAATAGTGGCCGGAGTCTTGGGTCCCCCTCCCTCGCCTTGCGCCCACCTTGATGCCATGCTCCGTGTAGAAGTCGGCTGTGCCCATGCTGGCGTACAGGCTGTAGCCCAGGCTCTCCAGGGTCCGGACGGTGGAGAGCAGCTCGCTCTTGTTCTGGGAGAAGGAGAAACAAAGGTGCTTCAAGGAGGAAGGCAGAGCATGCGCATGCACACCAGACATTCACTCCCCGTTGCACCAAGAGGCCCCCTCCCAGGCAGCACAATACCCATGCCTCCCAACCCAACCCAACCCATTCTGACTTTGCCTCCTCATTGGCCCTTGGAGGGACCTTTTGCAGACTGGTCCACCTGACCACTGCAACTCTAAGCCCACTACACACTTTCTCAGCCATTCTGGGGGAGTGTCAATGTATTCATTCTATTTATTGAATGTATATCTTATCCAGAAGAGCAGCAGGAGGAAAGGGTCTCAAAATCCCTTGGGTAATGTGACCCCTGGCAAACCTCTTCCACCACAAAGGAAAACGTGATGGCCAGTGGCCGGGCACTTCCCCATTTTGCAGGCAAGAGCCAGAGTTCAAGTGCAGCCCCCACAAAAGTGGAAGGAAAGGCTTATTATTATTATTATTATTATTATTATTATTATTATTATTATTATATTAGGTAAAAGTTTTCCCCTGACATGAAGTCCAGTCATGTCTGACTCTGGTGCTCATCTCCATTTCTAAGCCAAAGAGCGAGCGTTGTCCGTAGACACCTCCAAGGTCATGTGGCCACTGGCAGGACTGCATGGAGTGCCTTTATTGTTTATTTCACACACTTCTACCCTGCCCTTCTCAACCCCTGAGCGGGGACTCAGGGCAGCTTACAAAAGGCACAATTCGATGCCGACAAAACAACAAGATAAAAATAAAACATATATAAACAGTAATTAAAACAATTAAAACGGTCACTTATATAAACCATAATCAATAAAAACCAAACTAGTGCTCAACGTTCGCCAGCTCAGAGTCCGTAAATTCATTCCACATTGTCAAATCCATCCATTCTAGGCGTCGCTTGTCCTTTGTTTATGTGCCAGATTACCCAAAAGCCTGGTCCCAAATCCATGTTTTTAATTTCCTCCTGAAGGAGAGGAGGGATGTCGATGTCCTAATTTCCCCGGGGAGTGAATTCCACAGGTGAGGGGCCACCACCAAGAAGGCCCTGCGCCTCGTCCCCACCAACCTCACTTGTGATAGAGGTGGGGCCGAGAGCAGGGCCTCCCCAGAAGATCTTAAACTCCAAGACGGGACGTAGCGGGAGATTTACCTTCCCGCCGGAGCAGTACCTATTGATCTACTCACATCTGCATGTTTTTGAACTGCTATATTGGCAGAAGCTGGGGCTAACAGCAGGAGCTCACGTCACTCCCCGGATTTGAACCTGCGACCTTTCGGTCAACTAGCTCAGCAGCTCAGCGTCTTAACCCACTGCGCCATCAGAGGCTCCATTATTATATTACTTTATCTAATCATTCAGGACCTCAGGGAGCGGTAACGCCCCCCCCCCCCCACAGCTGTGGGGCCAAGCCAGCCCCATGCAATGCACCACCCTTTGGAGGCCTTGCAGCTCGTTCCCCCTCAACATTCCAGTTACAAATCCAACACTGGAAGAGTTGTCCGGACACACTGCTTTTCCATAGCCACGTTGAGTCTCCTTCAGGAGAAATAAAGTGGGGTATTATTAGTAATAATAATAGTAATGAGCTAGCTCAGGCATGGGCCAGGCTTGAGCGAGATCCCTACAAGGAAGAGGCCTTGATATCGGGGGCACCTTGTAGCTGCCAATGGTGAGCAGGATGTTCTTCCGTGGGATCTTGAATCCGGTGCTGAGCATGGCCTTGAGGTAGGCCTCGCAGCGGTTCTCCCCAAAGCAGGCCACCTCTCCCGTGCTGGTCATCTCCACCCCCAGCACCACGTCGGCCCCCGCCAGGCGCGAGAAGGAGAACTGGGGCACCTGTGGGGGAGGGGAGAGGGAGGAAGGGAGAGGGGGTCACCAGGGGTCACTGGGAGCCCCTTGATCCCATCCCCAGGGCTGGCCATTCACTCCCTCCCTCACGTACCTTGACTCCCACGATGCCTGTGCCGGCCATGAGGCCCACGGGCTCCACCTCCTCCCCCATGGTCACTTGCGTGGCCAAGGCCACCAGGTCGACGCCCAGCGTCTTGGAGACAAAGGGGAAGGAGCGCGAGACTCGGACGTTGCACTCGATGACCTTCAGCTGGTCGTCCTGCAGGGGGCGGAGACACAGGGAAGACAGACAGGGTCAAGGGTCAGGCAAAGGCTCTCCTTCCCAAGGCAGGCTGAGGAGTGACCTGCTCACATTCATCTGCTTCTGGTTCTCATAAGTCTCTAATTAAGTGCGTAGAATGTGAAAGTACAAAGCACTTAATTAGAGACTGTTCACAAAGAAGAACAGGCATTGGTTCCATAATAATAATAATAATAATAATAATAATAATAATAGTCTTTATTTATACCCCACCACCATCTCCCTGAAGGGGACTCGGGGCGGCTAACATGAGGCCAAGCCCAAAAATAACAATACAACAAAACAAAATTCAAAGAAACAAAATAGCATCAAAATTGTCAGGTTTTACAATGTATTGTAATGTAATATAGCTGAGTCATGCACTGCTAATAGGCTTCTATTGGAAATGCTGAGTCATGCATTAACTGTATATAGAACTTCATTTGGGGAATGTGTTCTGGCCTAGTCCAGGTGATTGAGAATGATGCAATCCTGGGTTTGAGTTAGGTCAGTGAGTTGGGAACCAATCAGAGATTGCTATGTGTAAAGGTACAGAATTGTATATAAGGAAGTCATGTACAGTGTATTCTCTCTCCTTGTGCTGTGATATTGTTCATCGAAGGCTACATGTAATTAAAAGAACCTGTCTGCTAAGACAAGATATAACTGTATGCTGTGGTAAGTTTGTAATGTCATCTAGACTGGGGGGGGAGGGGGAACAATGGTAAAACTGACAATAGCCGGGCATGTGCTCAAGTGCCTGTAAAAGGTTCCAGAGTGACTGCAGTCTGTGGGAGCAGTTGACTGAAAATACTGGGCAGGAAGAAGCTACTGGAAAGTGCTGAAGTTGTGCAACTGACCTGCTGCTGAATTGAGAAGTTAATCTCAACACAAGAAATGACAAAATAAAATAAACAGTCTCAAAATAACATGGTAAAGAAATGAAACACAGGGGCGGGCCAAATGTGCTAAGAATAATATTGATACAATTGGTAAAACCCTGGGTGAGAGAAGGAAAATGTGTGTCTGAGAGAGAATGTGTTCCTAAGGGAGGAGCTCAAAAGGGACAGGCATTCATTAGAGGCGGGGGGGGGGGGGCATCTTGAGGGCAGGGCCGCCCCTAGTTTATTTTCAAGTGTAAGCAAACAGTATTCCCCCCACCCCAAAAAAACCAATAACTGAAAAATAAAACGTAGACGGTAGAGGTGAATAAAAGTTACCTTACAAACTAGAAGTTTACTAACAACATCATGTTCATATAGTTACATTATGTAGAATTAACACAAAGCGGCTGAGGGGGAAAAGGAAGGAGCCTGAGGCCATGAATTGTGGGAGTTGAAGTCCAAAACACCTGGAGGGCCGAAGTTTGCCCATACCTGATACCCTCTAAATGCAGCCTATGATTCCCTTGCATTTCAAGCAAGGTCAGTCTGCATCCATCCCATCTTGCATGTGCGCCTTCATTTGCGGAAGCCGTTGTGCTCTTTGGCAGAGAAGGGCTCAAGGCCTTGTCAAATTATGGCAGCTCAAAGCGGGGTGGAAGTGCATTTATCCCGCCGTGTAGGTCGAATGGGGGCGCTGGAGAGGCGGTGGAGGGAAGCAACCAGCTGATGGCTGAGCTCATCCAGGAGCCATTGAGGCCAGCAGGCAGAGAAAGCAATCCACCGGACTTTGCGCCAAGCCTGCCTTGCTTTTCCTTCCTTCCCCTTGTTTGGAAACCGAATGTGAGTGGCGTCCCGTTTTCTTCCCCTTTCCTTCCTCCCTCAAAGGCAAGACAAGGGGCCAGGCATCTGTTCTCCTCCTGCCCTCCTTCCCTGGAAGAAGGAGGCTTTCCAAGGAGGTGCAGCAAAGGCAGAGCAACCCTGGGCTGGGCTTCTTTCTTTCTGACTGCCTAGGAGACCCCTAAACCACAGCCATGAAGAAGCTATACCTGGGCATGGCGGGAGTCCTGGTCATGACCCTCCTCATAGCCAGCGGGTGCCTCAAGAGCGCCCCTCGGGGATCTGCGCTATACGCAGGTGCGTATTTTGCCTATTGCTTCAGCCACCCCTGCTTGAGGGCAGAAACTGAAGTTGGGACACACAATGTATCGGATATATCTTTAATCACCAAAGGCACATCAGAAGAGCCAAGTTTTTAAGTCTTTCTTGAAGGCTGCCAGGGTAGGGTCTCTGCGTGGATGTTAAAGTCTCCCAGAACTACAAGTTGCAGGGAGACCAAAGCCAAATTGGAGACCACTTCTGCTAGTTCAGGCAGGGAAACTGCTGAGTCGTGGGGTGGACGGTACACCAGCAGAATCCCCAAACTGTCCCGGGTTCCCACCCTGGACATTATTCCACAGGTGTATATACTCCACTTGATTGACCACCATCAGATCCTCTGAAGATGCCTGCCAACCACAGGTGCAGGCAAAACATCAGGAGAAAATGCTGCTAGAACACACTGGCCACATAGCCCGGAAACGACATAACACAACAGCAACACAGACTGTAGTGCACTATTCTATTCATACACACACATATGTCGATACCACTATGTAACACAATTTGAAAAATGTTCTGATCCTGGCTAGAAAGTGTTGTTTCCTGTTTAATTGTGTGATCTTTACTTTGAAAGCAGGGATGTGGGAACCTTTTAAAGCAGGTAGGGGCAAACTTCAGCCCTCCAGGTGGTTTGGACTCCAACTCCCACAATTCCTAACAGCCTACCGACACTTAGGAATCGTGGGAGTTGAAATACAAAACACCTGGAGGGAGGGCTTTCAAGCTTACTCTATACAAAGTCTGCCCTTTAAATTGGGTGGCTCTCCACTTACTCTGCCAATTTATGCCAAAACGAATCAAAGGTCACCTTGGTCAAATGGCCAGATATTTTTGTCCTAGGCATAAACAAATCCAAGAACGCCAATCAAATTTTTGATGCCCGATGCCCAGCCCCTGCCCTTCCTTGCTGACCTTGGCGATGAGCTGGAGGTTGAAGGGCCCGGTCACTTGCAGCTCCTGCCCCACGGCGTGGACGATGGCCTTGATGCGCTCCAGTGTCTTGGGGGTGATGTCCTGAGGGGGGGTCACCAGGGTCGCATCCCCTGAGTGCACACCCGCATTCTCCACGTGCTCAGAGATGGCCACCGCCACCACTTGCCCGTCGCAGGCCACCGCATCCACGTCGATCTCCTGCGGGGGAGGGGAAGGGGGTGACCTAAGTCTTGAGCCATCCTCAGCAAATCTGACCAATCCCCCCCCCCCAAAAAAATCTTTATAATTGACAGATCACTTTCCCTTCAGTGGGACACCCACAGCATCTCATAACGAGGATGAGACCGACTGTAGCAGCAAACACATGATGATGATGATGATGATGAGGATGATGAGGATGATGATAATAATAATAGTTTTATTTCTCACCTGCCCTCCTCATAGCTCCAAGTGGGTTACAGAATTATTAAAACACATAAGTATTGTAAAAATGCTACAAACACACATATTAAAATGTATTTCTATAAAAGCTACATACGAATACATATTAAAATACACAAAACAGAGATTAAACAAAGAACACGCATGTAAAATTCATGCGTAAAGACTAGCTGGGTGATGCCAGGTTCATGACTCTACTAAACCAGGACTGAATTCAGGAGGGTTAAAAATATGTCGATGAAATATTAAGTGGAGAAAGCATTCCAGCACCACCCCCTCCCCAAATCCAAGACCTTTCCTCACTGCCTAAATAATGAGGTCTCCACGCACAAAGGCAAATTGGGGGGGGGGGCATTCAGAAAGCAGCCAGTCTCCTAATCACCCCCTAACAACCCTTCTGGCTCTTTGGTGTCTTTTAGTAGCTGCCCCTCTGACCACAAGCCCCTCCTGCAATTCACTGCCCTTCTGTGGTCTTCCTGGGTCCCCAGCAACTGTCATAAAATGTTTTGTATGGTTTGAATGGAATTGTATGAAAGGTGTTAGAGAACTCCAGTATGCTGATGACAACGTCATTTGTGCGCATTCAGAAGACCTACAAGCCACTCTATGCAGAAGCATACGAGAAGCTCGGCCTGTCATTGAACATCGAGAAAACCAAAGTGCTCTTCCAGCAAAAGTCACCAGCCAGTCCCTCTCTAATGCCAGAGATACAGCTTCATGGGTTAACATTAGAAGATGTTGACCATTTCCACTCACTTTGCAGCCACCTCTCCACCAAAGTCAACATCGACACCAAAATACAACATCACCTGAGCTTTGTGAGTGCCGCATTTTTCCGAATGAAGCAGAGAGTGTTTGAGGACTGAGACATCCGTAGGGAGACCAAGGTGCTTGTCTATAAAGCTATTCCCCTCCCAACCCTGCTCTATGCCTGCGAGACGTGGACTGTCTACAGACGTCACATGCAACTCCTGGAACGATTCCATCAGCGCTGCCTCCGGAAAATCCTGCAAATCTCTTGGAAAGACAAGTGGGGAAATGTCAGCGTGCTGGAAGAAGGAAAGACCACCAGCATTGAAGCGATGGTCCTCCGCCATCAATTCCACTGGACCGGCCATGTTGTCTGGACGCCCAACCACCGTCTCCCAAAGCAGTTGCTCTACTCCGAACTCAAGAATGGAAAATTGAATGTTGCGGGACAGGAAAAGAAATTGAAAGATGGGCTCAAAGCCAACCTTAAAAACTCTGGTATAGACACTGAGAACTGGGAAGCCCTGGCCCTTGATTGCTCCAGCTGGAAGTCAGCTGTGACCAGCAGTGCTGCAGAATTTGGAGAGGCACGAGTGGAGGGCGAAAGAGAAATGTTCCAAGAGGAAGGCACATCAAGCCAACCCCGACTGGGACCACCTTCCACCTGGAAACCAATGCCCTCACTGCGGGAGAAGATGCAGGTCAAGAAGAGGGCTCCACAGCCACCTACGGACCCACCCCCAGGACAACGAACTTGGAGGACCATCATCCTCGGACTACGAGGGATTGCCTAAGTAAGTAAGCAAAGTAATGAAAGGTGTGTGGCTGGGGTCTATATATAGCCTAGAGATGCCATCCTAAGGATTGAAGCCTGGAAAACTACAAGAAGGAAGTGAAGACTCTATGGATTGTAATTAAAAACGGCTGACCTGACCAGAGACAAAAGATTAACTCTGTGGTGGGAAACAACATGTTTACATGGCCAAAGACAATGACTCTTTTAAGTAAGGAAGTGAACACAGTGGCTCCTTAAGAAGGAAAACCAATGATCGCTTAAGGAAAGCAAGTCAACATCTGTCCAGGAACTGATGGAATCAGGATGTTTTAGCTGGAAAAACACCTGTCATTCATTTACAACTTTCAGAGTCACATCAACAGAAAATGCTGCATAAAAGAGACCTTATCTCTCCACAAGTGTGTCAGACCAGCAGAACTCCATTTCTGAACACCTTTGTGAACCGCTGCCTCCTCTCAAGAAGCTGATCAACGTAACCAAGACGGATGGTAAGAATGCATGATGGATGAACAAATGATGAACGTTATAGGTGTGAATGCTGAATGTTGATGCAATGCCCCTCCCCTTTGCCTGTGTGACCAATAGAGTTATTATGAAACCCACTCCTGGAGGCTGTGTCTCCTCCTTTCTCGGAAAGTGCCTAATGCCACCAGTCTTACTGAAAAGCGGAATAAAAGAGCTGCCTTAATGTTTACAAAGTCCTTATGACCCAATGGTCAACAACACGAGGGACCCCCAGCTGCAGGGCCCCAAGCAAATGACCGATTGACCCACCTTGGCCTCCTGGATGAACTTGGAGATGACCACGGGCTGCTCCTTGGAGACGGCCACGGCGTTGCTGAGGAAGCGCTCCAGGTCGCTGTCCGAATAGGCCACGTTCATGGCGGCTCCGCTCAGGACGTAGGAGGGGCGCACCACGCACGGGTAGCCCACCTTGCAGCAGAACTGCTTGGCCGACTGCAACAGAGCGGAAGGAGGGAGAGGGGTGGGTGGGTGGGGGTAGAGTGGCCCCTGCTCCCTGGGAGATCGTGCTTTTGGGGGACACATGAATCCCACACCTTTCCCTCTGAAAACCAGCCCAAGGCATACATTCCAATGTTTTAAAACGTCTATTTGGGAGCCTGGAACAGCTTCACATTAATCACATGTAATAATAATAATAATAATAATAATAATAATAATAAGTATTAATACACAAAATATTAACACACAAATATTAATAGATGACTTTTTATTTGACTGCAATTTGGACTGATTTGGATGACATTTTAATGTATGGCGAACTGTTTTAATATATATTTATTTATTTATAGGTATTTGATTGTATTTTATTATGTGCTTATATTGTGTCGGCATCGAATTGTTGCCTGTTGGTAGCCGTCCCAAGTCTCTCCTTGGAGGTCGAGAATGGACGGGGCACAAATGTTCGATTCTAAAGTCAATTCTGATTTTCACAGAAAAAAATGTTCAAAACTTTTCGAAACTTCTGAGTCTTCCAAATCCTTTCCTCAATGAGTCGCCTGAGGGCTGAGAAAAGCGGTATATAAATAAAGTAAATAAATAGTAATAAATAATGATTTGAAAGTGTTATTTCCTGTTTCATTGGGTGGTTTTTACTGTGAAAGTAGTTGTTTTACTCCAGGAGTGGGGAAAAGCAAACGGGAGGAAATTCACCCTTCTCTGGTTTATAACTCACTTCTCTGGCTTGAGCGAGAAACAGGAAAAGCAAACGGGAGGAAATTCACCCTTCTCTGGTTTATAACTCACTTCTCTGGCTTGAGCGAGAAACAGGAAAAGGAAACGGGAGGAAATTCATCCTTCTCTGGTTTATAACTCACTTCTCTGGCTTGAGCGAGAAACAAGTAAAGCAAACGGGAGGAAATTCACCCTTCTCTGGTTTAAAACTGGCTTCTCTGGCTTGAGCCAGAAACAGGAAAAGCAAACGGGAGGAAATTCACCCTTCTCTGGTTTAAAACTGGCTTCTCTGGCTTGAGCCAGAAACAAGAAAAGCAAACGGGAGGAAATTCACCCTTCTCTGGTTTAAAACTGGCTTCTCTGGCTTGAGCGAGAAACAAGAAAAGCAAACGGGAGGAAATTCACCCTTCTCTGGTTTAAAACTGGCTTCTCTGGCTTGAGCGAGAAACAAGAAAAGCAAACGGGAGGAAATTCACCCTTCTCTGGTTTAAAACTGGCTTCTCTGGCTTGAGCGAGAAACAAGAAAAGCAAACGGGAGGAAATTCACCCTTCTCTGGTTTAAAACTGGCTTCTCTGGCTTGAGCCAGAAACAAGAAAAGCAAACGGGAGGAAATTCACCCTTCTCTGGTTTAAAACTGGCTTCTCTGGCTTGAGCAGAGAAACAAGTAAAGCAAACGGGAGGAAATTCACCCTTCTCTGGTTTAAAACTGGCTTCTCTGGCTTGAGCGAGAAACAAGAAAAGCAAACGGGAGGAAATTCATCCTTCTCTGGTTTAAAACTGGCTTCTCTGGCTTGAGCGAGAAACAAGTAAAGCAAACGGGAGGAAATTCACCCTTCTCTGGTTTAAAACTGGCTTCTCTGGCTTGAGCAAGAAACAAGTAAAGCAAACGGGAGGAAATTCACCCTTCTCTGGTTTAAAACTGGCTTCTCTGGCTTGAGCGAGAAACAAGAAAAGCAAACGGGAGGAAATTCATCCTTCTCTGGTTTAAAACTGGCTTCTCTGGCTTGAGCAAGAAACAAGAAAAGCAAACGGGAGGAAATTCACCCTTCTCTGGTTTAAAACTGGCTTCTCTGGCTTGAGCCAGAAACAAGAAAAGCAAACGGGAGGAAATTCACCCTTCTCTGGTTTAAAACTGGCTTCTCTGGCTTGAGCGAGAAACAAGAAAAGCAAACGGGAGGAAATTCATCCTTCTCTGGTTTAAAACTGGCTTCTCTGGCTTGAGCCAGAAACAAGAAAAGCAAACGGGAGGAAATTCACCCCTCTCTGGTTTAAAACTGGCTTCTCTGGCTTGAGCCAGAAACAAGAAAAGCAAACGGGTGAAATTCACCCTTCTCTGGTTTAAAACTGGCTTCGCTGGCTTGAGCCAGAAGCAGGAAAAGCAAAGGGAGGAAATTCACCCTTCTCTGGTTTAAAACTGGCTTCTCTGGCTTGAGCCAGAAACAGGAAAAGCAAACGGGAGGAAATTCACCCTTCTCTGGTTTAAAACTGGCTTCTCTGGCTTGAGCGAGAAACAAGAAAGCAAACGGGAGGAAATTCACCCTTCTCTGGTTTAAAACTGGCTTCTCTGGCTTGAGCGAGAAACAAGAAAAGCAAACGGGAGGAAATTCACCCTTCTCTGGTTTAAAACTGGCTTCTCTGGCTTGAGCGAGAAACAAGAAAAGCAAACGGGAGGAAATTCACCCTTCTCTGGTTTAAAACTGGCTTCTCTGGCTTGAGCCAGAAACAAGAAAAGCAAACGGGAGGAAATTCACCCTTCTCTGGTTTAAAACTGGCTTCTCTGGCTTGAGCCAGAAACAAGAAAAGCAAACGGGAGGAAATTCACCCTTCTCTGGTTTAAAACTGGCTTCTCTGGCTTGAGCGAGAAACAAGAAAAGCAAACGGGAGGAAATTCATCCTTCTCTGGTTTAAAACTGGCTTCTCTGGTTTGAGCAAGAAACAAGTAAAGCAAACGGGAGGAAATTCACCCTTCTCTGGTTTAAAACTGGCTTCTCTGGCTTGAGCAAGAAACAAGTAAAGCAAACGGGAGGAAATTCACCCTTCTCTGGTTTAAAACTGGCTTCTCTGGCTTGAGCGAGAAACAGGAAAAGCAAACGGGAGGAAATTCATCCTTCTCTGGTTTAAAACTGGCTTCTCTGGCTTGAGCAAGAAACAAGAAAAGCAAACGGGAGGAAATTCACCCTTCTCTGGTTTAAAACTGGCTTCTCTGGCTTGAGCCAGAAACAAGAAAAGCAAACGGGAGGAAATTCACCCTTCTCTGGTTTAAAACTGGCTTCTCTGGCTTGAGCGAGAAACAAGAAAAGCAAACGGGAGGAAATTCATCCTTCTCTGGTTTAAAACTGGCTTCTCTGGCTTGAGCGAGAAACAAGACAAGCAAACGGGAGGAAATTCACCCTTCTCTGGTTTAAAACTGGCTTCTCTGGCTTGAGCGAGAAACAAGAAAAGCAAACGGGAGGAAATTCACCCTTCTCTGGTTTAAAACTGGCTTCTCTGGCTTGAGCAAGAAACAAGAAAAGCAAACGGGAGGAAATTCACCCTTCTCTGGTTTAAAACTGGCTTCTCTGGCTTGAGCCAGAAACAAGAAAAGCAAACGGGAGGAAATTCACCCTTCTCTGGTTTAAAACTGGCTTCTCTGGCTTGAGCGAGAAACAAGAAAAGCAAACGGGAGGAAATTCATCCTTCTCTGGTTTAAAACTGGCTTCTCTGGTTTGAGCGAGAAACAAGTAAAGCAAACGGGAGGAAATTCACCCTTCTCTGGTTTAAAACTGGCTTCTCTGGCTTGAGCAAGAAACAAGTAAAGCAAACGGGAGGAAATTCACCCTTCTCTGGTTTAAAACTGGCTTCTCTGGCTTGAGCGAGAAACAAGAAAAGCAAACGGGAGGAAATTCATCCTTCTCTGGTTTAAAACTGGCTTCTCTGGTTTGAGCAAGAAACAAGTAAAGCAAACGGGAGGAAATTCACCCTTCTCTGGTTTAAAACTGGCTTCTCTGGCTTGAGCAAGAAACAAGTAAAGCAAACGGGAGGAAATTCACCCTTCTCTGGTTTAAAACTGGCTTCTCTGGCTTGAGCGAGAAACAAGAAAAGCAAACGGGAGGAAATTCACCCTTCTCTGGTTTAAAACTGGCTTCTCTGGCTTGAGCCAGAAACAAGAAAAGCAAACGGGAGGAAATTCACCCTTCTCTGGTTTAAAACTGGCTTCTCTGGCTTGAGCCAGAAACAAGAAAAGCAAACGGGAGGAAATTCACCCTTCTCTGGTTTAAAACTGGCTTCTCTGGCTTGAGCGAGAAACAAGAAAAGCAAACGGGAGGAAATTCACCCTTCTCTGGTTTAAAACTGGCTTCTCTGGCTTGAGCGAGAAACAAGAAAAGCAAACGGGAGGAAATTCACCCTTCTCTGGTTTAAAACTGGCTTCTCTGGCTTGAGCGAGAAACAAGAAAAGCAAACGGGAGGAAATTCACCCTTCTCTGGTTTAAAACTGGCTTCTCTGGCTTGAGCGAGAAACAAGAAAAGCAAACGGGAGGAAATTCACCCTTCTCTGGTTTAAAACTGGCTTCTCTGGCTTGAGCGAGAAACAAGTAAAGCAAACGGGAGGAAATTCACCCTTCTCTGGTTTAAAACTGGCTTCTCTGGCTTGAGCGAGAAACAAGTAAAGCAAACGGGAGGAAATTCATCCTTCTCTGGTTTAAAACTGGCTTCTCTGGCTTGAGCGAGAAATAGGAAAAGCAAACAGGAGGAAATTCATCCTTCTCTGGTTTAAAACTCACTTTTCTGGCTAGAGCCAGAAACAGGAAAAGCAAACGGGAGGAAATTCACCCTTCTCTGGTTTAAAACTGGCTTCTCTGGCTTGAGCGAGAAACAAGAAAAGCAAACGGGAGGAAATTCACCCTTCTCTGGTTTAAAACTGGCTTCTCTGGCTTGAGCGAGAAACAAGTAAAGCAAACGGGAGGAAATTCACCCTTCTCTGGTTTAAAACTGGCTTCTCTGGCTTGAGCGAGAAACAAGAAAAGCAAACGGGAGGAAATTCACCCTTCTCTGGTTTAAAACTGGCTTCTCTGGCTTGAGCGAGAAACAGGAAAAACAAACGGAAGGAAATTCACCCTTCTCTGGTTTAAAACTGGCTTCTCTGGCTTGAGCGAGAAACAGGAAAAGCAAACGGGAGGAAATTCATCCTTCTCTGGTTTAAAACTGGCTTCTCTGGCTTGAGCGAGAAACAAGAAAAGCAAACGGGAGGAAATTCATCCTTCTCTGGTTTAAAACTGGCTTCTCTGGCTTGAGCGAGAAATAGGAAAAGCAAACAGGAGGAAATTCATCCTTCTCTGGTTTAAAACTGGCTTCTCTGGCTTGAGCGAGAAACAGGAAAAGCAAACAGGAGGAAATTCATCCTTCTCTGGTTTAAAACTGGCTTCTCGGGCTTGAGCGAGAAACAGGAAAAGCAAACAGGAGGAAATTCATCCTTCTCTGGTTTAAAACTGGCTTTTCTGGCTTGAGCGAGAAACAGGAAAAGCAAACAGGAGGAAATTCACCCTTCTCTGGTTTAAAACTGGCTTCTCTGGCTTGAGCGAGAAACAGGAAAAGCAAACGGGAGGAAATTCATCCTTCTCTGGTTTAAAACTGGCTTCTCTGGCTTGAGCGAGAAATAGGAAAAGCAAACAGGAGGAAATTCATCCTTCTCTGGTTTAAAACTGGCTTCTCTGGCTTGAGCGAGAAACAGGAAAAGCAAACGGGAGGAAATTCACCCTTCTCTGGTTATAACTCGCTTCTCTGGCTTGAGCCACAAGTGAGAAAAGCAAACGGGAGGAAATTCACCCTTCTCTGGTTTAAAACTGGCTTCTCTGGCTTGAGCGAGAAACAGGAAAAACAAACGGGAGGAAATTCACCCTTCTCTGGTTTAAAACTGGCTTCTCTGGCTTGAGCGAGAAACAAGTAAAGCAAACGGGAGGAAATTCACCCTTCTCTGGTTTAAAACTGGCTTCTCTGGCTTGAGCGAGAAACAAGAAAGCAAACGGGAGGAAATTCACCCTTCTCTGGTTTAAAACTGGCTTCTCTGGCTTGAGCGAGAAACAAGAAAAGCAAACGGGAGGAAATTCATCCTTCTCTGGTTTAAAACTGGCTCTGGCTTGAGCGAGAAACAGGAAAAGCAAACAGGAGGAAATTCATCCTTCTCTGGTTTAAAACTGGCTTCTCTGGCTTGAGCGAGAAATAGGAAAAGCAAACAGGAGGAAATTCATCCTTCTCTGGTTTAAAACTGGCTTCTCTGGCTTGAGCGAGAAACAGGAAAAGCAAACAGGAGGAAATTCATCCTTCTCTGGTTTAAAACTGGCTTTTCTGGCTTGAGCGAGAAACAGGAAAAGCAAACAGGAGGAAATTCATCCTTCTCTGGTTTAAAACTGGCTTCTCTGGCTTGAGCGAGAAACAGGAAAAGCAAACAGGAGGAAATTCATCCTTCTCTGGTTTAAAACTGGCTTCTCTGGCTTGAGCGAGAAACAGGAAAAGCAAACAGGAGGAAATTCATCCTTCTCTGGTTTAAAACTGGCTTCTCTGGCTTGAGCGAGAAACAGGAAAAGCAAACGGGAGGAAATTCATCCTTCTCTGGTTTAAAACTGGCTTCTCTGGCTTGAGCGAGAAACAGGAAAAACAAACGGGAGGAAATTCACCCTTCTCTGGTTTAAAACTGGCTTCTCTGGCTTGAGCGAGAAACAGGAAAAACAAACGGGAGGAAATTCACCCTTCTCTGGTTTAAAACTGGCTTCTCTGGCTTGAGCGAGAAATAGGAAAAGCAAAGGGAGGAAATTCACCCTTCTCTGGTTTAAACTGGCTTCTCTGGCTTGAGCCAGAAGCAGGAAAAGCAAAGGTGGGAAACTCACCCTTCTCTGGTTTAAAACTGGCTTCTCTGGCTTTAAAGAAGGGGGGAAAGCAAACGGGAGGAAATTCACCCTTCTCTGGTTTAAAACTGGCTTCTCTGGCTTGAGCGAGAAACAAGTAAAGCAAACGGGAGGAAATTCACCCTTCTCTGGTTTAAAACTGGCTTCTCTGGCTTGAGCGAGAAATAGGAAAAGCAAACAGGAGTAAATTCATCCTTCTCTGGTTTAAAACTGGCTTCTCTGGCTTGAACGAGAAATAGGAAAAGCAAACAGGAGTAAATTCATCCTTCTCTGGTTTAAAACTGGCTTCTCTGGCTTGAGCCGAGATCAAGGACCAGAAGCGGGGGGAAAGCTGAATCATTTCCAACTCACTTTCTGAGTCGGAAAAAAAATGGTGAGACGAACTTCGGAAGGGCAAGAGGACTAAAAAAAATTCAAAATGGCTTCAAAAAGGCAATCTTTCCGACTTTATTCCGAATAACGAAGACTCCAACTGGACCTAACCATGCCTACTGCCTAGCACTGTCCTGCTCGAGAGGTGCCACGTGTTCCTAGAGGATCTCCCTTTGGCAGGTGACAGGAGAAGGCGACAAGGCCCGTGATGGGGAGCAGCCTTCCTGAGGACCATGTGGAGGCCCCCCTCCCTCCCTCCCTCCCTCATTGGGGGCCATGGGGCGGGGGAGAGGAGTCCCACCTCCATGTCGGAGAGCTCCTTCCAGAGCGGCTGGCTGATGCTGATGGTGTCCAGGAGGCGGGAGAACTTGAAGCGGTTCTCGGCCGAGTCGATGGCCTCCGGGGAGGTGCCCAGGATGCGGCACTGCTGACGGTGGAGGGCCATGGCAATGTTGTTGGGCAGCTGGCCCCCCATGGACAGGATCACCCCCTCGGGGCTCTCCAGCTCATAGATGTCCATCACCACCTGTGGGCAGAGGATGTTAGCGTTTAGCGGAGGTTTTGCACAGGCTTGGAAGAATCATGGACTCTGGAGACTTCTGGTTACAAAGCAGGTTCAATTTCCTTAGAGCACTTCAAAATACATCCATTCCAGTAAGCGACAAGGCATGAAGTAGAGAGTAGGCAGAGCCAAGGAAGTGGAAGCGTAAACAATCCTGCAGCTGCTTGGCAGATATCAGATACTCCCTAATTTCTCTCACAACTCAGCTCAGAGAGTATCTCAGGGCTACTATCTCACAGCCTCAAACATAAACATACACCACAGCAATACAACCTTCTGGCATCCATATTACAACTACATGAAATTAGTCTAGGCCTGGGTAACAACGGAAAAATTTGTTTCTAAAATCGATTCGTTTTTTGGGGGGTTTTGCGTTTCGTTACTTAAAATAATTACAAAATTTTCCTTTAAAAAAGCTCGATATTTACGAAATTTCGTAAATGTGGAAAAAAAATTACAAAACAATAACGAATCGATTTCCGAAACAATAACGAATCGATTCGTTAATGGCGGACGCGACCACGCAATACGCTAAAAAACCTCCAAATGGGACAGGGGGAACTTCTGAAGCTTAATTAAACCAAAAACAACTATAAAAACCCTTAGAAAACCAAAAACAACTATAAAACTTGCCCCAGACATGCGGAAATAATAACGAAACGACCTCAAAACAATAACGAAACGAATACAATAACGAAATACGAAACATTTACGAAACGATTTAAAAATTCGTTTGTTTTTTTTTAAAATTGCTCCAGACTGGTTCGTTATCGTTTTGTAATTGAAAAATTAACGAATTTTTTAACGAATTACGAATTAACGAAACGAAACCGCCCAGCCCTAGAAATTACATTTAAAACACATTACATACTTTAACATATTCTGACAGAGGGGAGGGGCGGAGCAAGGTTTGGGGTCAGAGGTCGGGGGTCGAGAGGAAGGACAAAGAGCAGGCCCCAACTCCCTCCTGCATCGTGATGCCCTCCCAGGGCAGGAAGCCAATCCTCCATCACCCCAAGTCCCCCAAATCCACAGGCACAGGCCCCAGGCTCTCCCCTTCGCCCCAAAGACCCTTCCTCACCAGGACCCACCTCAAAGGAGATCTCGTCGAAGTAGAGGCGGTCGCACATGTCATAGTCGGTGCTCACCGTCTCTGGGTTGTAGTTCACCATGATGGTCTTGTAGCCCAACTGAAAGAGAGAGAGGGATTACTCTCCTGGGGCCGGCCAGGATACGACGCCATGTTTGATCTATTCATGCTGCTTTAGCAGACTCTTACTTCATGTTTGGCGATGATAGGAAGTTGGCTATAGAGGGCATGGGCAGGCACGGTTTATAATATAATATAATATAATATAATATAATATAATATAATATAATATAATATAATATAATACATAATGTAATATAATATAATATAATACATAATGTAATATAATATAATATAACATAATATAATATAATATAATATAATATAATATAATATAATATAATATAATATAATATAATACATAATGTAATATAATATAATATATACACATATAATATTTATATTATTATAATGTAATACAATATTATACTGCTACTATATTGACAAGCTGGAATGTGTCCAGAGGAGGGCGACTAAAATGATCAAGGGTCTGGAGGACAAGCCCTATGAGGAGCGGCTTAAGGAGCTGGGCATGTTTAGCCTGAAGAAGAGAAGGCTGAGAGGAGACATGATGAGAGCCATGTATACATATGTGAGGGGAAGCCACAGGGAGGAGGGAGCAGATCAAGGGTCTGGAGAACAAGTCCTATGAGGAGCGGCTTAAGGAGCTGGGCATGTTTAGCCTGAAGAAGAGAAGGCTGAGAGGAGATATGATAGCCATGTATAAATATGTGAGAGGAAGCCACAGGGAGGGAGGGAGCAAGCTTGTTTTCTACTTCCTTGGAGACTAGGACGCAATGGAACAATGGCTTCAAACTACAAGAGAGGAGATTCCATCTGAACATGAGGAAGAACTTCCTGACTGTGAGAGCCGTTCAGCAGTGGAACTCTCTGCCTTCCCCGGAGGGAGTGTGGTGGAGGCTCCTTCTTTGGAAGCTTTTAAACAGAGGCTGGGGCCATCTGTCAGGGGTGATTTGAATGCAATATTCCTGCTTCTTGGCAGAATGGGGTTGGACTGGATGATGGCCCAGGAGGTCTCTTCCAACTCTTGATTCTAGGATTCCTGACTGTGAGAGCCGTTCAGCAGTGGAACTCTCTGCCTCGGCGTGTGGTGGAGGCTCCTTCTTTGGAAGCTTTTAAGCAGAGGCTGGATGGCATCTGTCAGGGGTGATTTGAATGCAATGTTCCTGCTTCTTGGCAGAATGGGGTTGGACTGGATGGCCCAGGAGGTCTCTTCCAACTCTAGGATTCTATTATTATTATTATTATTATTATTATTATTATTATTATTATTAAGCAGAGGCTGGATGGCCATCTGTCAGGGGTGATTTGAATGCAATATTCCTGCTTCTTGGCAGAATGGGGTTGGACTGGAGGATGGCCCAGGAGGTCTCTTCCAACTCTAGGATTCTATTATTATTATTATTATTATTATTATTATTATTATTATTATTAAGCAGAGGCTGGATGGCCATCTGTCAGGGGTGCTTTGAATGCAATATTCCTGCTTCTTGGCAGAATGGGGTTGGACTGGATGATGGCCCAGGAGGTCTCTTCCAACTATTTGATTATTATTATTATTATTATTATTATTATTATTATTATTATTATTAAGCAGAGGCTGGATGGCCATCTGTCAGGGGTGCTTTGAATGCAATATTCCTGCTTCTTGGCAGAATGGGGTTGGACTGGAGGATGGCCCAGGAGGTCTCTTCCAACTCTAGGATTCTATGATTCTACTAACAATATATTATAATTTATATATATAGTACAATATAATTTTGTGTCAATTTGTCCAGTGGTTTTTGAGTTCTGTTAATCCCACAAAGAAACATTACATGTTTATTGATTGTATGACTTTAATGGAATTGCTCATGGGCATTCGAGGAGAATCTGCGCTTCCAGCTGGAGCTCAAGGCCAGGCAGAGGCGGGTTGGGTCAAGGAGATCACCCCTGGGGATGATTCAGGCAGGAGGAGGAGGAGGAGGAGGGCTTTGGAGAGCGGCCCCCCACCCAAGGCCATCCAAGCGGGAAAGAAAGGTGGAGAGTGAGGTCATGCTTTGGTTGCTTTTCTCAGGAGGGAAAAGACCTTGAAAAGTGCCATGGGGAGGGAGAGCGTAGCCTGTGCAAAATGTTCAACAGAGGATCCTAGACATCCTGTAACTTTTCAAAAGTTTGTCAGTTCTGACCATTAACGGGGAGTTAGGGTAGTCTGTGCCTGTTGTTCTTTGTCAACAAAGCCCCTCTGCCCCAAATGGGCCTGTTTCTGAAGCAGCAAAGGCCTGCCGTGACACCCACCAATTCCCTCCTGACCGTCCGGCCCTCGGTCAGTTCCCCTTCGTTCCCTCTTTCTTTCCTTCCTTCACTCTCCCTTCCTTTTCTCCCTTTCTTCCCTCCCTCCCTCCCTCCCTTCTTGTCCTCCTTCTTCCTTTTCTTCTTTTCTCCTTCCCCCCTCCTTTCATTTCTCCTTCCTTGCTTCCCTCCTATATTGCTTCCTTTTCTCATTCCCTCGTTTTCTCCTTCCTTCCCACATTCCTTCTTTCTCTCCTTCCTTCCTTTTCTTCCTTTCCTCAATCCTTCCTTTTTTCCCTTTCTTCCCTCCCTCTTCCCTTTCTTCTTTTCTCCATCCTTCTTCTCTCCTTCCTCCCTTCCCTCCTTCCATTGCTCCATCCTTCCCACATTCCTTCTTTTTCCTCTTCCTTCCCTCATTCCTTTTCTCATTCCTTCCTTCCTCCTTTCCCTCCTTCCTTCTTTCCTTCTCTTCTCCCTTCCCTCCCTCCCTCCTTCCTTTTATCCTTCTTTCCTTCCTTCTCTCCTTCCTTCCTTTCTTTCTTCCATCCTTCCTTTTCTCCTTCCTCCCTTCTCTCCTTCCATTTCTCCTTCCTTCCCTCCTATATTCCTTCCTTCTCTCCTTTCTTCCTTTCCCCCTTCCTTCCTTCTTTCCTTCCCTTGTTCCTTCCTTCTCTGCTTCCCTCCCTTTTCTCCTTCTTTCCTTCCTTTTCTCCTTCCTCCCTTCCCTCCTTCCATTGCTCCATCCTTCCCACATTCCTTCTTTTTCCTCTTCCTTCCTTCCCTCATTCCTTCCTTCCCTCCTTCCTTTTCTCATTCCTTCCTTCCTCCTTTCCCTCCTTCCTTCTTTCCTTCTCTTCTCCCTTCCCTCCCTCCCTCCTTCCTTTTATCCTTCTTTCCTTCCTTCTCTCCTTCCTTCCTTTCTTCCTTCCATCCTTCCTTTTCTCCTTCCTCCCTTCTCTCCTTCCATTTCTCCTTCCTTCCCTCCTATATTCCTTCCTTCTCTCCTTTCTTCCTTTCCCCCTTCCTTCCTTCTTTCCTTCCCTTGTTCCTTCCTTCTCTGCTTCCCTCCCTTTTCTCCTTCTTTCCTTCCTTTTCTCCTTCCTCCCTTCCCTCCTTCCATTGCTCCATCCTTCCCACATTCCTTCTTTTTCCTCTTCCTTCCTTCCCTCATTCCTTCCTTCCCTCCTTCCTTTTCTCATTCCTTCCTTCCTCCTTTCCCTCCTTCCTTCTTTCCTTCTCTTCTCCCTTCCCTCCCTCCCTCCTTCCTTTTATCCTTCTTTCCTTCCTTCTCTCCTTCCTTCCTTTTCTCCTTCCTCCCTTCTCTCCTTCCATTTCTCCTTCCTTCCCTCCTATATTCCTTCCTTCTCTCCTTTCTTCCTTTCCCCCTTCCTTCCTTCTTTCCTTCCCTTGTTCCTTCCTTCTCTGCTTCCCTCCCTTTTCTCCTTCTTTCCTTCCTTTTCTCCTTCCTTCCTTCCTTCCCTTCTTCACCTTGCGCAGCTCCTGAATACACCCGACGGCGCACCAGTCGAACTCGACGCTGCTGCCGATGCGGTAGACGCCGGAGCCGATGACCATGACGTGGGGCTCTCGGAAGGCCAGGTCGTGCTCCGTCCCGTTGTAGGTCAGGTAGAGGTAGTTGGTCTGGGCCGGCCACTCGGCTGCCACTGTGTCGATCTGCTTGACCACCGGCAGGATCTTCAGGTCCTGGCGCATCTTGCGCACTGCCAACTCCGTGCTGAAACACAGCCAAAAGCGGAGGGTGTGCGTGTGAGAGAGAGGGGGAGAAGTCAAGCTCCATATGCTTTGGGACAGGGTTCCAGGCGCCGCCTCCTCCCACAGCCCTGCCTGAATCCCTGGGGAGAGGCTGACAGTGCTGGTCAAGGGGGAAGGCCAGTCCGTGCTGCTTGGCCACTTGACCGCTCCCTGGGTAAGGATCCCCCCCCCTTGCAGCCTACCTGAGGATGGCCTGGGCCACCTGCTTGTCGGAGAAGCCCAGCCGCTTGGCCAGGGCCAGGACGGAGGGGGGCATGGCGCCCGGGTCGGCCTGGCGGTAGGACTCCAGCCGCAAGGCGTGGTCGGCGATGTTCTTCATCCTGTGCAGGAACCAGCGGTCAATCTTGGTCAGCTCGTAGAGGCGCTCGATGGAGTAGCCGGCCCTCAGGGCGGCCGCCAGGACAAAGATGCGCTTGTCGGTGGGGGTCTCCAGCTCCTGCGGAGGGAAGCAGGGGGTCAGCTGGGGGGTGAGCATGGGACCCCTCCCTTTCCCTCCTCCTCCTCCTCCTCCTCTCTGACTTACCATGTCGGAGGCCGGCTTCACGGAGTGGTCGAAGCCCAGGCAGTTCTCGTCCACCATCCGCAGCGCCTTCTGGAAGGCCTCCTCGAAGCTCCGGCCAATGGCCATGACTTCCCCTGCAGACAGAGGAGGGGTCAGTCAAGAAAGGGGGCTCCAGGCCAGACACAGAGAAGGACCTCTGTTCCTAAGTTGGATTTGTATGACAATCAGAACAGTAAGAATAACTCCAGCCATATGTATACAAGTATGTGACACACACACACACACACACACACTGGGTATCACAGGGAAGGGTTGACATCCCTGTGGGGTTTCCTCACCTCACTTTGTGTCACTGTGATAATTGAATTTTGGAAAATTCGGCTTGTTATGGAAACAAGGATTGGAGATCCATCTTCATTGGAGACCCTTCCCCATCTGATCGCAACCCCTTCAGAGGGGAAGCTCTCTCTCACCTCCTGGTTTCTCAGCCCTGTCGTATGTAAGTTGGGCATCTGCAACTCGGGGACTGCCAGTATTGTTGTGGCTGAGCTAGTTTCTGACGATGAGTATGATGGGATTCAGATTCCTGTTGGGTTTCAGCTTCCTGGCTCTTTGTCTGTGCCTCAAATCTCTGAGCCTGTTTCCGAGGCTCTCACAGACAGTGCAGTGTCAACACAGCTGTTTTCACCACAAAGGAATTTTAACGAAGGAGATAGTGAGCAGGTGCCTTCCCACGATGATACCGAAAGTGTAGATTGTGACTTGATCCGAGAAGCTCGCCTTGATCTCCGGGTCAGGTGGAGTTCGCGTCTGGCAAGCAGACGGGAGGCTAGCTCGGTGAAAGGTCATCGCAATGCTTTTATGATGCTGAGAGCCTAATGTTTTGATGTTGGTATTTAGGCCTCCTGGAAACTCTGTGAAAGCGTCAGTTCAACGTAGTTTACTAGCCTGAAAGCTTCATGGAATAACCTTAGCCTGGAAAGCAGTAAGCTTGGGATTTCTTGCATGGTGATTCTTGCTTGTACCTGGGACTCTGGTTTGAACTTTGCCAATAGGATTGTGTCTCCTGCTTTTACCTGAAGATCTCTGGAACTATATTCTGCTTTTAACCTTAATCTTTTGAACTTTGGAATGCTTACTCTTTATTTTGACTTGGATTTTCTCCTCAATAAACTATAAAACTACAGCTCTTGTGTGGTGGTGTTTGGAAGCAAGGTGAAGCTTACTCTGAGTTGCAGCAGGTGTATGTTTTCAGTAACGTTAGTAGTTTCCAATGCATCACCAATATCGTTGATACAGCTACTAGGCATGGTTAGGTCCAGTTGAAATCTTCGTAATTCAGAATAAATTTGGAAAAATTTTGAAGCGATTTTGAACTTTTTTAGCAAACCAGGAGTCCCTTTGCCCTTATGAAGCTAGTCTCGCCATTTTTCTTCCGACTCAGGAAGTGAGTCGGAAATTATTCTGGTCTTTGGCCTCGGCTCAAGCCAGAGAAGCCAGTTTTAAACCGGGGAAGGCTGAATTTCCTCCGCTTGCTTTCCCCCCACTCCTGGAGTAAAACAACTACTTTCAAAGTAAAGACCACCCAATGAAACAAAAGGATTCGGAAGTCTCGGAATTTTCGCAAAGTTTTGAACATTTTTTTCTGTGAAAATCGGAATCGTAGTCTCGCCATTTTTCTTCCGACTCAGGAAGTGAGTCGGAAATTATTCTGGTCCTTGGCCTCTGCTCAAGCCAGAGAAGCCAGTTTTAAACCGGGGAAGGCTGAATTTCCTCCTTTTGCTTTCCTCGCTTCTGTCTCAAGCCAGAGAAGCCAGTTTTAAACCGGAGAAGGAAGGATTTTCCTCCGGTTGCTTTCCCCCCGCTCCTGGAGTAAAACTACTACTTTCAAAATAAAGACCACCCAATGAAACAAAAGGATTCGGAAGTCTCGGAAGTTTAGCAAAGTTTTGAACATTTTTTTAGAATTGAACCACCGGCGCCCCCGACATCCGAAACGAGTTTTGAACTATGTTTTTGGATCAAAAAGCCTAACAGCTACTAACACTAATTAATGACACTAATAGCCATGCCTCTCTGGCCACTCACCCACACTCTTCATGGAGCTGCCGATCTTGGTGCTGACCCGCAGGAACTTGCTGAGGTCCCAGCGCGGGATCTTGACCACGCAGTAGTCCAGGCTGGGCTCAAAGCAGGCCGTGGTGGAGTTGGTCACTGAGTTCCTGGGGGATGGAGAAAGGTCAGGGAAAAGTCGGGGGGTCAGCACACCACCTCTCCCCTCGTGGACAGACAGGGTGACCCCATTCCGCCCTCCACCCAAGGGAACACCTTCAGGCCAACTCCAAAGTTGCTAAGAATCAGAGCTAATTGTTCATGGACTAAACCCTAAGAGAGGAGCAGACTCATAAGGGGCTCAAGAGTGACCTCAGAGTGACCCCTGGGTCACCTCCTTTATTTCCCTCTGGCACCAGGTCAGGGGTTACCTGAGGACGGGCAGCGGGATGCCCAAGGCCAGTTTGGCAGCCACGTAGGCCAAGGGGTAGCCGGTGGCCTTGCTGGCCAGTGCCGAACTCCGGGACAGGCGGGCGTTCACCTCAATGATGTAGTACTGCGCGGGAGAGAGAAAGAAAGAGATGCAGTTGCTGGACACTTGGACAAATGGCCTGGGGATCCTGCCCACCTTTGGAGGGGGTCGGGCAGCGTCCAGAGAAGGACGCTGCAGGCCATGCTTGTGGCCCTTCCCCTTCCTCCCCCCCCCCCAAATGGGCGTAGTCTCACCTGCTCGGACTCGGGGTTGAGGGCGTACTGGACGTTGCACTCGCCCACGATGCCCAGGTGCCGCACCACCTTGATGGCCGTGGTGCGCAGGAGGTTGTACTCGCGGTTGTTGAGGGTCTGGCTGGGGGCCACCACAATGGACTCCCCCGTGTGGATGCCCAGCGGGTCCAGGTTCTCCATGTTGCACACCTGGGAGGCAGAGGAAGAGGGAGGGGTCACTTCAGAGTCCATTGTGTGTCCTCTTTCCAAGCTATCCCTGCCTGTCCTGCTAAATCCATACCTTTAAGTAATTCCTGATTTAATTGTTGTTGTGACCTAAAACTCCCATTAGCACTGAATCCATGTTTGCTTGACGTGATAATTTAAATATCGAGTATAAGCCTAGTTTTTCAGCCCCTTTTTTAGGCTGAAAAAAATCCCCTCGGCTTATACTCGAGTCAAGGTTATTTATTATTTTATTCTGCTGTTAGTATTATTTTTATTACATTTATTATTTTACTCTATTATTATTATTACATTTACATTATTTTACTCTATTATTACTTTTATTAAATTTATTATTTAACTCTATTATTATTACATTTACATTATTTTACTGTTTTATTATATTGATTGCATTTATTATTTTACTTTATTATTGTTATTATTACATTTATTACTTTATTATTATTATTACTATTATTATTAAATTTCCATTATTTACTCTATTATTATTTTAATTACATTATTACATTTATTATTTTACTCTATTCTTATTACATCGACATTATTTTTCTCTATTATTATATTGATTGCATTTATTATTTTACTCTATTATTGTTATTATTACATTTATTACTTTAATATTATTATTACTATTATTATTAAATTTCCATTATTTACTCTATTATTATTTTAATTACATTATTACATTTATTATTTTACTCTATTCTTATTACATCGACATTATTTTTCTCTATTATTATATTGATTGCATTTATTATTTTACTCTATTATTGTTATTATTACATTTATTACTTTAATATTATTATTACTATTATTATTAAATTTCCATTATTTACTCTATTATTATTTTAATTACATTATTACATTTATTATTTTACTCTATTCTTATTACATTGACATTATTTTTCTCTATTATTATATTGATTGCATTTATTATTTTACTCTATTATTGTTATTATTACATTTATTACTTTAATATTATTATTACTATTATTATTAAATTTCCATTATTTACTCTATTATTATTTTAATTACATTATTACATTTATTATTTTACTCTATTCTTATTACATTGACATTATTTTTCTCTATTATTATATTGATTGCATTTATTATTTTACTCTATTATTGTTATTATTACATTTATTACTTTAATATTATTATTACTATTATTATTAAATTTCCATTATTTACTCTATTATTATTTTAATTACGTTATTACATTTATTATTTTACTCTATTATTATTATTACATTTATTATTTTACTCTAGTATTATTACATTTACATAAGTTTACTGTATTATTATATTGACTGCATTTATTACTTTACTCTATTATTGTTATTATTACATTTATTACTTTATTCTTATTATTATTGCTATTATTAAGTTTCCATTATTTACTCTATTATTATTATTACATTTATTATTTTACTCTATTATTGTTACATTTACATTATTTTTCTCTATTATTATATTGATTGCATTTATTATATTACTCTACTATTGTTATTATTACATTTATTACTTTATTATTATTACTATTATTATTAAATTTCCATTATTTACTCTATTATTATTTTAATTACATGTTATTACATTTATTATTTTACTCTATTATTATTACATTTACATTATTTTTCTCTATTATTATATTGATTGCATTTATTATTTTACTCTATTATTATTATTATTACATTTATTACTTTATTATTATTATTATTATTACTATTATTATTAAATTTCCATTATTTACTCTATTATTATTTTTATTACATGTTATTACATGTATTATTTTACTCTATTACTATTATTACATTTATTATTTTACTCTAGTATTATTACATTTACATTATTTTACTCTCTTATTGTTATATTTATTACTTTATTATTATTACTATTATTTTTAAATTTCCATTATTTACTCTATTATTATTTTTACTACATGTTATTACATTTATCATTTTAGGTAATAGGTAAGCCCATTTACATTGAGGGAGGTTAGAATAATGGTTGAATCAGAGTTGGGCAGTCTTACCATAAATTACAGTTTAGTGTAAATACTCAAAAACATTCAACCTATTGACAATTACCAGTAGCAGCGACATTTCCCAGTTTTTTGTAGTAAAATTAGGTCCCTCGGCTTATATTCGGGTCGGCTTATACTTGAGTATATACGGTAGTTTTTCCCCATTTTCTTCAATATTTTCCCCCAAAAGGCTATTTGTTATCTTCGCACATTCCCACCATATAGAAGCGTATCATTTATGTATTTATTTATTTATTGACAATATTTATATCCGTCCCTTCTCACCCCGCAGGGGACTCAGGGCGGATCGCAATGCACATATACATGGCAAACATCCAATGCCATAGACACAAAACATATATAGACAGACACACAGAGGCTATTTAACTTTCCAGCTTCATGAGGGTATGCTTTTTTAAAAAATTCCAGCCACCGGGGGAGCTGTTGCTTCACCATTCACTTATGACAGTAATGGAGTACTTCCTCATTCTTTTGCATGCTGCTGGAAAGTTTTATGTCGTCGTAAATTAGTTAAATTAGCCTCCCCATATAAGTGGTACCTATAACTTTCCAGCGTCATGAGGGTATGCTTTTTTAAAAAATTCCAGCCACCGGGGAGCTGTTGCTTCACCATCCGCTTGTGACAGTAATGGAGTACTTCCTCATTCTTTTGCATGCTGCTGGAGAGTTTTATGGCGTTGTAAATTAGTTAAATTAGCCTCCCCATATAAGCGGTACCTAAAACTTTCCAGCGCCATGAGGGCATGCTTTTTTAAAAAATTCCAGCCACCGGGGGAGCTGTTGCTTCACCACTTGTGATACTGATGGAGTACTTCCTCATTCTTTTGCATGCTGCTGGAGAGTTTTATGGCGTTGTAAATTAGTTAAATTAGCCTCCCCATATAAGCAGTACCTATAACTTTCCAGCGTCATGAGGGTATGCTTTTAAAAAAAATTCCAGCCACCGGGGGAGCTGTCGCTTCACCACTTGTGATACTGATGGAGTACTTCCTCATTCTTTTGCATGCTGCTGGAGAGTTTTATGGCGTTGTAAATTAGTTAAATTAGCCTCCCCATATAAGCAGTACCTATAACTTTCCAGCGTCATGAGGGTATGCTTTTAAAAAAAATTCCAGCCACCGGGGGAGCTGTTGCTTCACCACTTGTGATACTGATGGAGTACTTCCTCATTCTTTTGCATGCTGCTGGAGAGTTTTATGGCGTTGTAAATTAGTTAAATTAGCCTCCCCATATAAGCAGTACCTATAACTTTCCAGCGTCATGAGGGTATGCTTTTAAAAAAAATTCCAGCCACCGGGGGAGCTGTTGCTTCACCACTTGTGATACTGATGGAGTACTTCCTCATTCTTTTGCATGCTGCTGGAGAGTTTTATGGCGTTGTAAATTAGTTAAATTAGCCTCCCCATATAAGCAGTACCTATAACTTTCCAGCGTCATGAGGGTACGCTTTTAAAAAAAATTCCAGCCACCGGGGGAGCTGTTGCTTCACCACTTGTGATACTGATGGAGTACTTCCTCATTCTTTTGCACACTGCTGGAGAGTTTTATGGCGTTGTAAATTAGTTAAAGTAGCCTCCCTGAATCAGCGGTACCTAAATTTCCTACTTGACAGATGCAACTGTCTTTCAGGCTGCAAACGTCGATAGCAAGCTAGGATAAATAAACAGAAGCTTTTATTGCTTCTATTGTGATTTTATATTGTTTTAATGTTTAATTTGTACTTTGTTGTTATTTATTTATTTTATTTATTTATTTGTATTTGTATACCGCCCCTTTCAGCCTTCCGGCAACTCGAGGCGGTTTACAAGGCAAAATTCAATACCACCAAAACACAGTTGCAATATAAGAACTTTAACATCAATAAAATCATAACAGCTGTAATAAAACATAATTCAATATTCATTAAGACAATGTCCAATCCATCTTGTAGCTGATTCCGTTGTTATGTCCGTTACTCAGTATTCGCAAATGCCTGCTCGAATAGCCATGTTTTGATTTTTTTTCCAAAATGCTAAAAGCGAAGAAGCCAATGTAATCTCCATAGGAAGGGCGTTCCATAGCCGAGGGGCCACTACTGAGAGGGCCCTGTCTCTTGTCCCCGCCAGCCGTGCTTGTGATGATGGCGGGACCGAGAGCAGGGCCTCTCCAGACGATCTTAAGGTCCTCGAAGGTTCATAAGAGGAGATGCGATCGGACAGGTAAATGTACTGACTTGTTGTAAACCACCTTGAGTCGCCATTAAGGCTGGGAAAAGCGGTATACAAGTATTGTAAATAAATAGACAAATGGTCGGGAGCTCACTCCGACCCGGGTTGGCTTTGAACTCTTGACCTTTCAGTCAGAAGTGATTTCAATGCAGCTGACTCCCAACCAGGTGCGCCACTACCTGGTCCTTCCTTTGTTTACTGCCAACACCACATTGGACTCCTCCCTCTCACCGTATATGAATGTTGGGCTGGGGTCCTCTACCATTACATATTGACTAGAGGTGCATCTAGATCAGGCTTGGGCAAACTCTGTCCCTCCAGGTGTTTTGGACTCCCACAATTCCTAACAGGTGAAGGGCCGAAGTTTGCCCATGCCCAAGCTAAAGGGAGGGCCAAAGGGCCGTGATGCTCACCGTGATGCAGTTGTCATAGGCGTCGCGCACCACTTCATACTCGATCTCCTTCCAGCCCTTGAGGGACTTGTCCACCAGCACCTGGTTGGTGTGCGCAAAGGCCTGGCTGACCAGCGCCGCCAGCTCCTCCCGGCTGTTGGCAAAGCCGGAGCCCAGGCCGCCCAGCGCAAAGGCCGAGCGCACCAGCACCGGGAAGCCCAGCCGCTCCGCCGCCGCCTGCGCCTGTAAGGAAAGCGGGGCGAGAAGGGGGCTGAGGAAGGAAGCAGCAACAATAACACCTGGAGGGGGGCACACAAGGAAATCAGGAGCAGAGGGGACCATGGGGCACAACTCGTCTTGTTTTCACCTCCATTTCTGTCAGTGTATTTTGATGTATGTTATGTGTTTAAATGTAATTTTATGCAGTAGAAATATGGCTGCCACAAGACTGTATTGCTAGGATGTATGTTTATATTAGAGGCTGTGAGAAAGTAACCCTGAGACACTCTCTGTGTGGAGCTGTGAGAAAATTAGGGAGTGCCTGGTATCTGCCAAACAGCTGTAGGATTGTTTGCACTTCAACTTCCTTTGTCCTGCGTACTGTGTACTTTACGTCTGCTCGCTTACTGTAATGGATGTGTTTGGAATTGCTCTAAGTAAAATTGAACCTGCTTTGGAACCAGACGACTCCAGAGCCCATGTTTTCTTCTAAGCTTGTACAAAACTTCTGCTGACGCTAACACTTTCCCAGATCAGTGCAACCCACTGTGCTTTTGCTTCCTGTCTGCCTGGAAAGGCCACTTCCCCCTTTCTTCTTCTTCACCCCAAACATCTTTAGAATGTGCTATATGACCCCTTTTGTTATTGTTTGAGAAGGAGGCACCACGAGGCTCCTCTTCGCCTCAAGATGCATAGACAGGAGTGTCGTCAGCATTAAGGACTCCTTGACCCAAGTTAGGGAACACTTTGCTTGGTCTGTCTACTCTTTTATCTGAAACTAGCCATCCCCTGCCACGCGTTGCTGTGGCCCAGTCTGTGCATATGTGTGTTTATGTATTTGTGTTTATATGTGGTTTTGCACATGCGTTGTAATGTTTTTTTTGGGGGGGCTTGCTTTTAAAGTCTCTTCTGTTGTGTTTTCTGTGTTTTTAAAAAGGACCTTAAAACCTGGCTCTTCCGCTGCGCCTTTGGTGAGTAGGTATACAACCTCATACTACTCCTCAGCCTCAATGTTCTGTCCCCCCCCCCCTTGTAGGAAAAATTGATTCCACAACCTCCGCTATAATGAGCCCTCCTCTGCAAATATACACAAATATGACCCCTTTTGTTATTGTTTGAGAAGGGAGCACCACAAGGCTCCTCTTCGCCTCAAGATGCATGGGCAGGAGAGTCCTCAGTGTTAAGTACATGCGACCCGCTCTCTGCCATTATGATTGGTTTTCTATGTTCTGTGTATATTGTTTTATATGTTCTGATGTTTTATACTTTAATGTTATGTTGTTTATTTTACTGTAATTTGTATTTTTATATTGTAGTTTGTTGTTCGGGCTTGGCCTCATGTAAGCTGCTCCAAGTCCCCGTTGGGGAGATAAATAAAGTATAAATAAAGTTGATTATTATTATTATTATTATTAGGGACTCCCAACCCAAGTTAGGGAACACTCTGCTTGATCTGGCTACTCTTTTACCTGAAACTAGCTGTCCCCTGCCACGTGTTGCTGTGGCCCAGTCTGTGTATATGTGTTTTGTGTGTGTACATATGTGTATATGTGTGCTTATGTATTTGTGTATATGTGTATGTATGTGGTTTTGCACATGCATTGTAATTTTTTTTGGGGGGGGGGGTTGCTTTCTGTTGTGTTTCCCAGTGTTTTTCTGAGTGGTGGTCACTTGTTGGCCTGAGAGGTGTCTTGTGTCCAACTTTGGTGTCAATTCCTCCAGTGGTTTTTGAGTTCTGTTAATCCCACAAACGAACATTACATCTTTATTTATATAGACTAGCTGTACCCTTCCCTCCCTCTTTCTCCTCCTTTCTTTCTCTCCTTCCTTCCCTCCCTCTTTTTCTTTCTCTTCTTCTTTCTTCCTTCTCTACCTGTTTCTTTTCTCGCTTCCTTTGCTCTTTGGTTTTAACCTTCCTTCCTCCCCTCCCTCTTGCTCTCTTTTGTTCCTTCTCTCCTTCCTTCCTTCCCTACCTTTCTTTCTTTCTTTCTTTCTTTCTTTCTTTCCTTCTCTCCTTTTTTCCCTCCTTCTCTCCTTCCTTCTCTATCTTCCTTTCTTTCCTTCTTTCTCTCCTTCTCCCTTCTTTCCCTCTTTCTCTCCCTTCTTCTCTCCTTCCTTCCTTCTCTGCTCTTCTTTCTTTCCTTGTGTATGTGCTTTGTGTGTGTATATGCATATATGTGTGTATATATGTGTGTTTGTGTATATATATGTGGTTTTGCACATGCGTTGTAATTTTGGTGGGTTTTTTTTTTTTTGGCTTTTTAAGTCCCTTCCGCTGTGTTTTTCAGTGTTTTATGAGTGGTGGTCATTTGCTGGCCTGAGAGGTGTCGTGTGTCCGAATTTGGTGTCAATTCGTCCAGTGGTTTTTGAGTTATGTTAATCCCACACTGCCCGCAATAACAGTGAAGTTAGCATTTACAAACCCACCCAGAACTCACTATGTAACAACATTTGAATTTTTTTCTTCCCCTTCTGAGTGCATGCAAATGTTTTGTGGGGGAAACTGTTTCTCAACATGAGGGCAGCCTCCCCTGGCCCAGTGAGACCCGGCTGGCCCTTTCCCGGTCCGAGCGCCTTGCCTGTTCCAGGGAGGAGGCGGCCTCGCTGGGGGCCACGTGTTCCCCGATCTCCTCCATCTTCTCCACAAAGACCTTGCGGTCCTCGGTCATCTCGATGGAGGCCACGGGGGTGCCCAGGACGCGGACTCGGTAGCGCTCCAGAACCCCCGCCTTGGTCAGCTCCACGCCGCAGTTGAGGGCCGTCTGCCCCCCAAAGGTCAGCAGGATCCCGTCCGGGCGCTCGTTCTTGATCACCTGCGGCCAAAGAAGGGGGCGGGGGAGACGGTCAAGATAACAGCACAGAGAAAGCAACTCAGAAGGAAAGGGGGTCACACACAACTGCAGGCCCTGGGCGGACCCAGACCAACGCACCCCTTGGAAGAAGGCCTGCCCACAAGACCCCCAGGATGCCAAGAGAGCACGGACTGGAAATTACTGTAAGTATTTGTTATTGAATTATATCACCTGAGATTTAAAAAATAAAGTGTCATGCGGAACCTTGGAGACTAATCTATTTCAGTATAAACATTTCATGAAGTTGTTTTTATACGGTTTATATTATATGTTAATGTTTTAACTATATTTTATGTTGTTGGGGGCATTGAATTATGCCGACTGTAAACTGCCTTGATTTGCCTCCAGGCTGAGAAAAGTGGTTGTTGTGAGTCAGCGTCTGTCTCATGTACCTACTAGTAGTAGTAGAAGGAAACGTGGTTTAGAAGAAGAAGACGCTCAGCAATAGCTGAAACGTATTAGAGACTTGTTCTTAGAGCCTACGGATGAGGAGGATTTTGAGGGTTTTACTCCCGAGGAAATGGAGCTGGAGGATTACCGCGGTGTAAAGCGAGTAGCAAGCAGCTCAGATAGTGATGTGGGATCTGTTTCTAAACGCCTTAGAGATGTTGCTGATTGTGAGGAGTTTGACAGCGAAGAGGAAGAGCTGGACTGGACCAAGGTTCAGGAAGTGTTAGATGTGATTAATGCTCCCACATCTAGCGATGAATTCCAGGGTTTTAATGACACTTGGGTTTCAGATAATACTTTGCAGGATGCAGTCCGAAGTACAGACTGGCAGCAATGGCGAAGTCGGGATTCACCTGTGGAAATGGATGCACCTGAAAGTAACTCCAGCGACTCGGATGAGATTTAAGGAGCAGTTTGGCAACAGACCAGTTGCAGAGTTCAAAGTGTCGCGTTACCGTGTGCCTTGTGTTTAACTCTTGCCCTGAGCTCCTGCTTTCAGCTTCGTGGATTCCTGATCGTGTGGACAACCTTGCCGGAACTGGATTCGTGAGTCTTCTCCTGCCCTGACCCTCGGACTGCCTGACTACTCTACGCCTCTGCTAATCCCTTGGTGACTTCGTTGGACCGCTCTTCATGCGGATTGCTGTTTGCTGTTTTGTTTGGCTTTGAAATGAACTGAGTTTTTGCTGCTGAATTCAAGCTGCTCTGCCTGTGTTTTGGCTGCTTTCCTTTTTCCAGCGAGGACTGACTGGGACTTGGTTTGTTTACATTCTTGCTGACCGCAAGCCCTTTTGTGTTTACAGCTCTGCCTTTAAGAGCCCTTTTTGTTGTGTTAATAGACATTAAAGACCTTTGTTTAACTCCTTAACTGCCGTTTCGCCTTTCTGGTCCGCCTGGGTCTTGACAGTGGTACATAAATATGGTAACATAAAATAAATAAATAAAATGCATAGATCAATATCGTGACCGCATTTCTGTGAACGAAACCACACGATCTCTTCAATCATCTGGAGAGGCCCTCCTTGCGCTCCCACCTCCATCGCACGCGCGATTGGTGGGGATGAAGGAGAGGGCCTTCTCGGTGGTGGCCCCCCGACTCTGGAACTCACTCCCCAAGGATATCAGGCATGCCCCAACTTTGGCAATTTTTAGGAGGAGCTTGAAAACATGGTTGTTCCAGTGTGCCTTCCCAGAATAAGGAAACTCCCAGCAATATATCCTCTAAATGGGTTCCGGCCCAAGCTACCTTTCCGACCGCGTCTCGGTCTATGAACCCACCAGGACTTTGAGATCTTCCGGAGAGGCCCTGCTCTCGATCCCACCAGCTTCACAAGCACGGCTGGCGGGGACGAGAGATAGGGCCTTCTCGGTGGTGGCTCCCCGGCTGTGGAACGCCCTTCCCACAGACATTAGATTAGCACCATCTCTAATGGTATTCCGCAAAAAAGTAAAGACCTGGTTATTTCAGCAGGCATTTGAATAATTAGTGCAATGACTGGTAATGACATAGGAATGGAACAATGGATGACGAATCTGGATCATGTTTTTAGTGATGAGATGCTAGTGATTGGTTATTATAGTAATTTGTGTACTAACTGTATATTGATTAGGTTGTTAACTGTTTTTATATTGGTGTATTGAACTTTGCTGTTTCCTGTGTGTTATGAACCGCTGTGAGTCGCCTCCGGGCTGAGAATAGCGGTATAGAAGTAAAGTAAATAAATAATAAATAAATAAATTATTAGTGATCTAGAACTGTCTGTATGCCCCATTCTTTTCCTAAATTATATCCTAGTTATATTTCACCTAGTCTTGTCCAGCATTATTTCTAAATTTTAACTATTACATTTGGCCCAGCCATTGGTTTTTAAATGTTATTGTGTTACTGTCGATGTTTACTGCCTATTTTTTGTTTATGAGTTTTACTTTATTGTTTTGTAGTATTGTTGTTGTTGTTGTTTTTGCTGATGTACTGTGGGCTCGGCCTCATGTAAGCCGCACCGAGTCCCTTGGGGAGATGGTAGTGGGGTATAAATAAATTATTATTATTATTATTATCTTTATATGATGACGGGATCTGAAAAGTATGTGGGAAACGGAGTTACAAATCTCAGAACAAGAAATGAGAAATGTGGCAGAGACAATAGGGATGGAAAGGAATTCCAAAGTACAAGAAATGAGGAGGGAAATATTACACAAATGGTGTCATACACCCTGCCAATTAGCATGCTACTATAAAAAGGGGAGTAGTCAGTGCTGGCATGGATGCCACCAGAAAGGGCGCTTTATGCACATGATGTGGGAATGTGAATATGTACAAGATTTTTGGCAGACTATACAAAATGAGTCAAACCAAAAACTAGGAAATGAGTGGGTCATAACAAAGGAAATAGCGGTATTAGGGAAAAGAGCGGAAACGGTAAATAAAAGGGAAATAAAAGAAGCAATAATAGAATGTGCACAAGCAGTAATAGTATTAGGGTGGGAAGATAAATCAAAATGGACAATAAACAAATGGCAGCAATATATATATGGTGGAGCAAATGGAATTTGAAATTATGAATGTGAAATTAAATGATTTAAAAATTAAGAAAAATAGAATGAGAAAAATGGAAGAAAGATGGACAAGGGTAAATACCATAAGCTATTATGAATCTTTTCGGAGATCAAGCCATAAGAAATAAGATACAAATGTTATATAGCATACAGGATGGAAACCTATAAAGATAAAGATATAATGATTGTCTCAAAAAGAAATGAATATGTAAAAGTAAACAATCCTCGTGCTGGTGGTGGGAATTGTAAATGTTTTGTCTGTGCACTGTATGTATTTTTTCTCTATTGTAAAAATAAACATTCTTTAAAAAAATATATATTTTATATGATGGACACTGAGCCTGTACACTAGGCATGGGCCAACTTTGGTCCTCTGTCCAGGTGTTTTGGACTTTAACTCCCACAATTTCTAACATCGAGTATACCGTTAGGAATTGTGGAAGTCCAAAACACCTGGAGGAGGGCCGAAGTTGACCTTTGCCTTCTCTAGTTGGAGGGAAGTCCTAGTCCCACTCCCTTCTGCTTTGGTCAAACCTCCTCACCAGGAACATTAATACTGTGTCCAGATCTACTCTGAAAAACAAATCAAGATGCAAGATGGGTTTGAAGGCAACAGGAACAGAGGTTTATTGCTTTCAGGCCTGAAAGGATGTCTGAAGCAGAGTCTGCGCTCAAAAGGACCAGAGTAGGGACTGTGGCGCAGCTGTCTGCGTGTCAGCTGCATTAAGATTACTTCTGACCAAAAGGTCATGAGTTCGAAGCCAGCCCGTGTCAGAGTGAGTTTCTGACCAATTGTGTAGCTTGTTTTCGACCTTTGCAACCCGAAAGACAGTTGCATCTGTCAAGTAGGAAATTTAGGTACCACTTATATGTGGGGAGGCTAATTTAACTAATTTACGAGGTCAAAAAAAAGACGCCAGCAAAAAAGCCTGCGGGAAATGCGGAAATACTTCATCAGTGTCGCAGATGGACGATGGAAGCAACAGCTCCGCTGGCGGCCAGAAAAGTCAAATAGCCTCTGACTGTCTGTCTATATGTGTCGTGTGTCTTTGGCATTGAATGTTGGCCACATATGTGTACATTGTAATCCACCCTGAGTCCCCTGCAGGGTGAGAAGGGCAGAATAGAAATACTGTAAATAAAATAAATAAACATTAGAAATTGTGGGAGTTGAAGTCCAAAACAACTGGAGGGATGGCCCAGTTTGGGCTTCTGAAGAAGCATGTTGCAGTTGACAAAATCTTATGAAGAGATATACACAGAGCCAGGGAAGAGGCGCCCGCCCCCACCTTGCCAGCCCCCCGGATGCCTCACCTGTGCCACGTAATCCGGGGTGATGGGCAGGAAGTAGACCTTGTCGGCCAGGCCCTTGGAGGTCTGCACCGTGGCGATGTTGGCGTTGATCAGCACCGTCTGGATGTTCTCCTCCTTCAGCGCCTTGATGGCCTGCAAATGGAGGAGGGGGCGCGGGGGGGGGGGGAAGTGTCTCTGGGGTCCTAGGACTCCCTGCACATCCACCCCACGGGAGGAAACCACAGAGGAAACCCCAAAGGATGAACCTGCGAAGGAGCCGATGCCGCTCCCTTGCACGCACTCACCTGGGAGCCGGAGTAGTCAAACTCCCCTGCCTGCCCGATGGAGAGCCCCCCCGAGCCCAGGATCAGCACCTTCCGGGGCCGGGCCACCTCGCTGTCCGGAGGGGCTTCGTCCGAACGCAGACGCTGCTGGATCCGCTCAGAGACTGCAGGGGGGGAGGGGAGCGGGAGGGGACACAGGGGGCAGCCGTTGGCCTCTTGGGGGGGACAGACTAGATGTCCCCTGGGGTCCCCGGGAGGCCTAGGATTCCACAGTTTGGCTACAGGGCCCCTTCCCTGTATTGTGGCTGATATGTTATTTATAAAGGTTTTGTACTGTATATTATGTTTTGTTTTGTTTTATTACTGTGTTGGTTTATACTGATGTATTGTATTGTTGGGCTTGGCCTCATGTAAGCCGCCCCGAGTCCCCTGGGAGAGATGGTGGCAGGGTATAAATAAAGCATTATTATTATTATTATTATTATTATTATCATCATCATTATTATTCTTATTCTTTTAACTTGTTTTTAACTGTTTTTATCATGTTTAAGTATTGTATTTGCTTTGTTAACCACTCTGAGTTGCCCTGAGGGCTGAGAAGAGCGGTATACAAATATAGTAAATAAATAAATCAGTAATGCTAGCTGTACCCGGCCACGCATTGCTGTGGCCCTCAGAAAACAGAGGATTTGCAGACATGAAGCAATCTGGGTTAGGGAACTCCTCCCACCAAAGGTTTCCAGCTGGCTAGTAGAAGCCAGGCTGTTAAGGTGCAAGGTGGTATGGAAAATAAAGGAATGAGAAGCAGCCACTGAAGCTGCAAGGCTTTTCACTTATATTCATGCTGGCCAAAACACTCCAAAAAAAGGGGTTTTTTTGGGGGGGGACACTGAAAGGGGGGATAAGGAGCCCAAGTGGGAAAGTTGCTGGCCTTCTGATGGCTTGCATCCTCCCTTCACCCAACGGCGGGGGGAGGAGGAAGAGTTGCCTGGTAGTCACGTGGGCCTCATGGAGCCTCTGCGGTGGCTCCAGCTGCTGCCAGGGCTTGGACCAGCTCTTCTCCTTCCTTCTCTCTTCCCTTTCCTCAATCCCTCCCCTCCCCAAAAGAAAAAGGGCTCTGCTTTCCTGCATGGAAAGGGATTCCATGGTGAGGCTTCTCTTTCCTCACAATGGTTGGTGCTTCATTCTTCTCGCGCAATGGGGAGAGGGGCTTTTTGCGCATGCTCTGTAAGGCATTTTTGGGGAGTTTTAAGTTATTTCCCCTTCATTTTTTTGGTTTTTTTTTTTCAAAAGACATAGATCGGATTAGAATGTGTTTTGCTGCCAAATTTGGTGTCAATTCATCCAGTGGTTTTTGAGTTCTGTTAATCCCACAAATAAACATTACATTTTTATTTATATAGACTAGCCGTCCCCTATTCCTTGAGGCTCGGCATTGGGCCAGGTAAGCCTTTGGGGCGAATGCCGAGCTTCAAGGAATTGTGGGAGTTGAAGTCCACCACAGCTGGAGGGCCAAAGGTTCCCTACCCCTGCTGTTAATCCCACAAACAAACATTACATTTCTATTTATATAGATTATTATTATTATTATTCCCCTCTCCTATGGGGCCAAGAAGGGGGAATGGATTCCCCCCCTCCCCGCCAAGCCAGGGCTCCCCTCCTCCCTCCTGCCCAGCACCCACCGCTCTTGGGGTCCGGCCCCCCATCCATGGTGTCCTTCACCATCTGCAGGAAGACGTCAAAGAGGCACTCCAGGTCGGTGGGCCCCGCATTGTGCTCCGGGTGGAACTGCACACTAGGAAGGGGAAGAAGCATCCACACGCATAGAATCCTAGAATCCTAGAGTGGGAAGAGACCTCCTGGGCCATCATCCAATCCAACCCCATTCTGCCAAGAAGCAGGATAATCGTGTTCAAAGCACCCCCGACAGATGGCCATTTAGCCTCTCTTTAAAAGCCTCCAAAGAAGCAGCCTTCACCATATATTGTTATCATAATAACCATGTATTATTACACTATTAATAAATGTAATATAACAATAAAGTAAAATAAATGTAGTAATAGTAATGAAGTAAAATAACAAATGTAATAATAATAATAATAATAATAATAGAGTAAAATAATGGAAATACAATAATAGAGAAAAATAATAAATGTACTACTACTACTACTACTAATAACAATAATAACATAATAATAGAATCCTAAAGTTGGAAGAGACCTCATGGGCCATCCAGTCCAACCCCATTCTGCCCAGAAGCAGGGAAATCGTGTTCAAATCACCCCTGACAGATGGCCATCCAGCCTCTGTTCAAAGCTTCCAAAGAAGGAGCCTCCACCACACTCTCGGGCAGAGAGTTCCACTGCTGAACGGCTCCTCCTTTCAGGGCCAGCCGTGCACTCCATGCCAACCCAGTTGCAGTGCCCCCCACCCCACCCTGCAGCCTCCCCCCTGGACACGCCCCCCGCTTAGGCCCCTCCCACCTGAAGAAGGGCTTGCTTCCGTGGGCCAGGCCCTCGTTGGAGCGGTCGTTGGCGTTGGTGAAGAGCGGGGCCCACCCGGGAGGAAGGCTCCTGGGCTCGACCGCGAAGCCGTGGTTCTGGGAGGTGATGAGGCAGCGCTGGGAGTCCTCCAGGAGGCAGGGCTGGTTGTGGCCACGGTTGCCGTACCTGCGCACGTGCGAAAGGGGGGGGGGGAGAGAGAACAGGTGAGGGGGGCACATGTAGGAGAGAACACCCTACATGTGATCAATCGAATGACATTGTATGGCTGGGGGTCTGGTTAAGACTGGAGACACCATCCTTCAATTAAAACCTGGAAAATGGGATTATTGGCTTTTTAAGCAGGCCTCCCCAAATATGGCCTAGATATATGACATTATGGACAACTGATGACACAACCGGACAATGATTTGAGATGGAGACGCTTTGACAATGTTTTTAAATGCCTGTATGATTTTTATTTTTTATACTACTGCTCGTATTTTAAAGTATTTATCGTGGTTTTAATTTGCTGTAACTGTACCGGCATCAAATTGTTGGCTATTGTTAACCACTCCCAAGTCACCCTTGGGCTGAGAGGGGCGGGATACAAATGTAGTCAATAAATAAATAAATAAAATTATGGAGGAGGTGAAGACTTGATGAACTTTGGCATAAAAAGCTCCTTCACTAGAAACGTTCAAAAAGGACCTTAAAACCTGGCTCTTCCACTGTGCCTTTGGCGAGTAAATGCACAACATGACACTATTGCTCCCCTCAATGCTTCTGCCATTGGAGTAAACGCCCTGCAAATGGGAAGTTTAGTTCCACAACCCTGTGCGTTTTTATGAGCTCCCTGCTCTCAGTCCCGCCATCATCACAAGTACAGTTGGCGGGAACGAGACAGGGCCTTCTCAGTGATGGCCCCTCGGCTATGGAACATCCTTCCTAGGGAGATTAGATCGGCTTCCTCGCTCCTATCATTTCAGAAGAATCTTAAGAGATGGCTATTTGAGCGGGCATTTGAAAATATGGAGTAACAGATATAATAATGGAATAACTATATGGTGGAACTGGTCATTGTTTTAATGATTATCGATTGAAGTATGTTTCATTATAATGTTTGATTTTATTGTTGCTGATGTTTTTTATATTGTATATTGTAATTGTGTCCTTGGTGGCATTGAATTCCTGCCTTGTAAACCGCCTCAAGTCGCCAGAAGGCTGAGAGGGGTGGTCTAGAAATGTACAAAATAAATAAATAATATAAATAATATAAAACCATAACAAGAATATGAAAACATAGATCATTTGCATCTCTTAATAGAAAACATTGTCCCATCTCGACATCCCGTCGTTCCAATTCCCATGTCTTTTACACTGCATTTTCAAACAGTCAAGTCTTGACTCTTTTCTGGAATGTTAAAGAGGGAGGGGGCCGATCTAATGTTCCCAGGAAGGGCGTTCTATAGCCGAGGGGTCACCACTGAGAAGGCCCTGTCTCTCGTCCCCACCAACCATGTTTGTGATGCAGGCGGGATCGAGAGCAGGGCCTCCCCGGATGATCTTAAAGTCCTATTAGGTTCATAAGGGAATATTTGTTCAGACAGGCACGTTGGGCCAGAAACAACTAGTATTCATGGCATCCGGATGCCTTCAGAGGCAATTACTTCCTTATGTTAAGTAAGTTAAACAACATCTGTTCCAGAATTGCTGGAGATTCAGCAAGTCTCAGCTGAGTGACCAAATGGATCTCCCTCTATGGACCATCTCAGAGATTCAGATCATCTGGGGAGGCCCTGCTCTCAGTCCCACCTCCTTCACAAGCGCTGTTGGTGGGGATGAGAGTCAGGGCCTTCCTGTTGTATCTCAGGCTAAAATTCACCTTGCTTTCTCTGACAAACCAGCCAAACTTATGAAGAAAGAAGTTTATTGTGAAGTTTCAAACAAATCAGAATATAAGCAGTACAAAGTCCATAGTACAAGGTAAAAATCCAATAGATTCCCTTTGAGTCAAAGCAGGAAACTTGAAGCAAGAAGCAGCATAAAATCCAGGAAATAGCATGAGGTTACATGAAGCAGGCTTTCTTCCCCAAGGCCCAAGCCCCAGAGCAAGAGACAAAGCGAGCCATTTTGCAACGTTGGAACTGACGCCGAATCAGCTCCCAGGCAGTTTACTTATAGGTAAAACATCAAAACATTGAACATTAAACAGACAGCTAACAAGCAGTTTTCCCACTCAAGACTTGGCCGCAGTTCGTAAACTCCTTCTTAACACCTGCGGCACAGTCTGACCTTCACCAGCTGTCTTATCAGCCACATTCCGTTCCTGTGATAACAATGGTCTCTCTCTAGCTACAGACTGTGGCTGAGAAAACTGAGAAATCTGAAATCCCACACCTGCATCTGTATTCCCATTCCCATCATGCTCATCTGCACTCTCAGTCCCATCATGCTGTTGCTGCTGAAACACAACACTTCCTTCCTTCTCAGTGGTGGCCCCCCAGCTATGGAGCTCCCTTCCCCAGTGACATCAGATCAGCCCCCTCCCTCCTGGCCTTCAGGAAAAGAGTGAAAATGTGGCTTGGGGATCAAGCCTTCAGAGAACTGCAACAGAAGGATATGGAATATGTGCGATGACTATTGGAATGGCCCCAGATTACGATTGTGGATAGCGTGGTTTTAGAAACAGATGTCATGTTTTTAAGTGTTTCCTGTGTATTAATTTTAATCTTAATTTAAATGTTTATTTGTTTTTAAGGCATTGAATGGTTGCCTATGGGTAAAGCCGCTTTGAGTCCCCTTCAGGGTTGAAAAGGGCGGGGTATACATAGGGTAAATACATTTATTTATTTATTTATTTATTTACTGTATTTGTATACCGCCTTTCTCAGCCAATTGGCGACTCAAGGCCATTTCCAACAAATCAGTATGCATAAAACATAATGTAGATTAAAAAAACACTAAACAGTACAAGACATCACAAAAGTAATAAAAGCAATATCATCAGCGTCTCATTATTTTCAAGCATTGTCCAGTTCCATTGTCAGGTCATTCCATTTCCCATATTAGCTACTCTGTATTTGTAAACGCTTGCTCGATAGCCATGTTTTAACTTGCCTCCGAAACGTCAAGAGGGAGGAGGGGGCAGATCTAATTTCCCTAGGGAGGGCCGAGGGGCCACCACTGAGAAGGCCCTGCCTCTCGTCCCCGCCAAACGTGCTTGTGACAACGGCGGGACCGAGAGCAGGGCCTCCCCAGATGATCTCAAGGTCCTCAATGGTTTGTAAGGGGAGATATGTTCGGACAGGTAAGTTGGGACAGAACCGTTTAGGGCAGTGGTTCTCAACCTTCCTAATGCCGCGACCCCTTAGTACAGGTCCTCATGTTGTGGTGACCCCCAACCACAATATTATTTTCGTTGCTACTTCACAACTGTAATTTTGCTACTGTTATGAATGGTAATCTAAATATCCGATATGCAGGATGTATTTTTAGTCACTGGACCAAATTTGGCACAAATACCCAATACTCCCAAATTTGAATACTGGTGAGGTTGGGGGTGATTGATTTGGTCATTTGGTAATGCTGGAGTTGCTGGGATTTATAGTTCACCTACAATCAAAGAGCCTTCTGAACTCCACCAATGATGGAATTGAATCAAACTGGGCACACAGAATTCCCATGACCAAGAGAAAATACTGGGAAGGTCTGGTGGACATTGACCTTGAGTTTTTTTGGAGTTGCAGTTCACCCGCATCCAGAGAACACTGTGGACTCAAGCAATGATGGATCTGGATCAAACTTGGCACAAATACTCAATATGCCCAAATGTGAACACTGGTAGAGTTTGGAGAAAATAGGCCTTGCCATTTGGGAGTTGTAATTGTTGGGATTTATAGTTCACCCACAATAAAATAGCATTCTGAACCCCACCGATAGAATTGGACCAAACTTTCCACACAGAACCCCCATGACCAACAGAAAATACTATGTTTTCTGATGGTCTTTGGCGACCCCTCTGACACCCCCTCGCGACCCCCGTGGGGGTCCCGACCCCCAGGTTGAGAAACACTGGTTTAGGGCTTTATAGGCCAAAGCCAGCACTTTGAATTGGGCCCGGTAGCAAACTGGCAGCCAGTGGAGAGGGCGCAACAGAGGAATAGTATGCTCCCTGAGCATAATAAATACTCAAAACAATCAAGAACAACAACATAAGAAATATAAGGAGAGCCTTTTCTCTTCAGAAAATGTGTCAGATCTGCGAGGAATACAGCCTCCTTGCAAGATGGGCTGAATGAAGAGAGACGGTGAGTAGGAATGTGGAACGAATGTATGTGGAGGGAATGCTGAGTAAATGTGATGTTTCTCCTTTGTGTCTCTGTTATCAATACACCTACATTAAAACCAGTACTGGGTCCATCTGTGTGCCTACGTCTTTCTCCCACTGAAAACAGATTAAAGGTTGATATAGTATTCGTGGCATGTGGATGCCTCCAGAGACAGGAAAGTGGCAGGACAAGAGCAGGATGGTTTCCATCAAAGCGGGGCCGCCTCCTCCACCAAACCACCCACATTCTGCCATGTAGCCCCCCCCCCCCCACAAGTGCCCCCACCCCCACTCCGTCTCACTTCATCTTGTAGGTCTTGGCCCCGATGGCCAAGGCCAGCAGCTGGTGTCCGAGGCAGATGCCGAAGACGGGCTTGGGGCTGGGCAGGTCCAGGACGCGGCGCAGGTTGGTCACCGTCTCCTGGCAGAACTGGGGGTCCCCGGGACCGTTGCTGACAAAGAGCCCGTCAAAGTCTGGGCACAGAGAAGGAAGAACAGAAAGAGGGCACTGGGTTGGATTCAAGGCACTGAATGGTTGCCCGTCAGTGTATGCTGAAATATTATTATAAATAATATAATATAACATATTATAATAATATCATATAATATAAACAATATAATTATTTATTTATGTATTTACTTTGCTTCTATACCGCTGTATCTCAAGCCCGAAGGCGACTCACGGCGGTTCACAAACAGTAAAAACAGTAGAAACAGCAGTGGTTCCATACAACATATAACAATTGACTTAACACATTATCCATAAATTACCAATAAGCAATTACAATGCACAATTATTACAAAAAACAACCGTACCCAATCTTCTCATCATCCAAGCGTAGTCCAGATTCGTCGTCCCTTGTTCCATTCCTATGTTCCATTACCAGATTGCACTAAATTACTCAAACGCCTGCACAAACATCCAGGTCTTCACCTTTTTGCGGAATACCATTAGAGATGGTGCTAGTCTAATGTCCGTAGGAAGGGCGTTCCACAGCCGAGGAGCCACCACCGAGAAGGCCCTATCTCTCGTCCCCGCCAGCCGAGCTTGAGAAGCAGGCGGGATCGAGAGCAGGGTCTCCCCGGAAGATCTCAAAGTCCTGGTGGGTTCATAGGCAGAGATGCGGTCAGATAGGTAGCTTGGGCCCAGAACCGTTTAGGGCTTTAAAGGCCAACGCCAGCACTTTGAATTCAGCCCGGTAGCAGATCGGTAGCCAGTGGAGTTGGCACAATAGGGGGGTCGTCTCCCCCTTCCCCCTCCTTCCTTCCCTCCCCCACTTCCTCAACCCGCTGTAGACCAGTGCGAGTTCGCCTGCCCTCTCTTTTTTGAAAGCAGGGGTGGTTTTCGTTTTTGGTTGTTATTATGCTCCATAGCAGCTCTGTCCATTAAACTGTAGTGATAAACTCACCTTTACAGGCTGCACCTTGAGTCTTCGCCGTCTTGGACCCTAGTATTGGAGTTCCCCCCGCGCTGTCATTGATCAAACGCGCCCCAACCCACAGTAGAGGTACGCGTCCCTTTTTCCCCCCCTTGCACAAGTAGGGTGATTGTGCCTTCACGAGTTAACACACCGGCGATGTCAAACCACCACCGCAGCCCCCCCCCCCCCGGGAAAGACTAACGTGGCCAAGTCAGACTCCCACCAATCCGTCCACGGGACACGCAGCTCCTGGCGCCCCGCCACAAGCTCTTCCCCCTAGCTCTCCCCTCCTCCCGGGGCAACTGGTGCAAGTGCTCCCGGTCACCACCGGAGAACCTGGGGTTCCAGGCTCAGCGATGAGTCCAGGATCACACCCAAGCTGCGAACCTGCGTCTTCAGGGGGAGTGCGACCCCGTCTAACACAGGCTGTAACCCTATGCCCTGTTCGGCCTTGCGACTGACCAGGAGTACCTCTGTCTTGTCTGGATTCAATTTCAATTTGTTCGCCCCCATCCAGACCGTCACAGCGGCCAAGCACCAGTTCAGGACCTCGACAGCCTCCTTAGTAGCAGGTGGGAAGGAGTGACAGAGTTGGACATCATCCGCATACAGATGACAATATAATAACAGTATTTTAATAACAACAACAATAATAATAAAACGATCTTGACAGATTAGAGAGATGACGGGCCAAAACTAACAAAATGAAGTTCAACAGTGACAAATGCAAGATACTCCACTTTGGCAGAAAAAATGAAATGCAAAGAGACAGAATGGGTGACGATGAGGCCTGGCTCGAGAGCAGTACGTGTGAAAAAGATCTTGGAGTCCTCGTGGACAACAAGTTAAACATGAGCCAACAATGTGATGTGGCGGCAAAAAAAGCCAATGGGATTTTGGCCTGCATCAATAGGAGCATAGTGTCTAGATCTAAGGAAGTAATGCTACCCCTCTATTTTGCTTTGGTTAGACCACATCTGGAATATTGTGTCCAATTCTGGGCACCACAATTCAAGAGAGATATTGATAAGCTGGAATGTGTCCAGAGGAGGGTGTCTAAAATGATCAAGGGTCTGGAGAACAAGCCCTATGAAGAGCGGCTTAAGGAGCTGGGCATGTTTAGCCTGAAGAAGAGAAGGCTGAGAGGAGATATGATAGCCATGTATAAATATGTGAGAGGAAGCCACAGGGAGGAGGGAGCTGATCAGGGTCTGGAGAACAAGCCCTATGAGGAGCGGCTTAAGGAGCTGGGCATGTTTAGCCTGAAGAAGAGAAGGCTGAGAGGGGATATGATGATAGCCATGTATAAATATGTGAGAGGAAGCCACAGGGAGGAGGGAGCTGATCAAGGGTCTGGAGAACAAGCCCTATGAGGAGCGGCTTAAGGAGCTGGGCATGTTTAGCCTGAAGAAGAGAAGGCTGAGAGGAGATATGATAGCCATGTATAAATATGTGAGAGGAAGCCACAGGGAGGAGGAGGGAGCAAGCTTGTTTCTGCTTCCCTGGAGATTAGGACGCAGAACAAGCCCTATGAGGAGCGGCTTAAGGAGCTGGGCATGTTTAGCCTGAAGAAGAGAAGGCTGAGAGGGGATATGATAGCCATGTATAAATATGTGAGAGGAAGCCACAGGGAGGAGGAGGGAGCAAGCTTGTTTTCTGCTTCCCTGGAGACTAGGGTCTGGAGAACAAGCCCTATGAGGAGCGGCTTAAGGAGCTGGGCATGTTTAGCCTGAAGAAGAGAAGGCTGAGAGGAGATATGATAGCCATGTATAAATATGTGAGAGGAAGCCACTGGGAGGAGGAGGGAGCAAGCTTCCTTTCTGCTTCCCTGGAGACTAGGACGCCATGGAACAATGGCTTCAAACTACAAGAGAGGAGATTCCATCTGGAAATGAGGAAGAACTTCCTGACTGTGAGAGCCGTTCAGCAGTGGAACTCTCTGCCCCAGAGGGTGTGGTGGAGGCTCCTTCTTTGGAAGCTTTGAAACAGAGGCTGGATGGCCATCTGTCAGGGGTGATTTGAATGCAATATTCCTGCTTCTTGGCAGAATGGGGTTGGACTGGATGATCCAGTCTACGATTCTATGATTCTATGATTCTAATAGTATATTTGCGTGTTCATTTTCCACTTCCTTTGCAGGTTTATGATCCCACCAGTTCTTTACTGCTGGTAGGTGGTACTTGAGACATAAGTAATAATAATAATAATAATAATAATAATAATAATAATAATAATAATAATAATAATGGCGGGACGGAAAGCAGGGCCTCCCGGAGGACCTTAATCTCCGTAGTGGTTCACAAGGAGAGATGTGTTCGAACAGGTGAATTGGGCCGTGGCCGTTTAGGGCTTGATAGGCCAAGGCCAGCACTTTGAATGGTGCCCCGTAGCGAACGGGCAGCCAGTGGAGCTGGCATAACATGGGAGTCCTTGCTACCTATTGTTATTGTTATGGCTGTTTCAAAGCTAATTGTATTGTTTTTAATCTATTTCTGTAAACCGCTCCAAGCCAAATTGGGAGTAGCGGTATACAAGTAAAATAAATAAAATAAAAAATAAAAACAGGGGAACTCCAGACAGCAAGCAATCAAGGGCCAGTTCACCCCTCACAAACAGAGGGTGCCTCCAGGCAACAAAGGCCATGCTACCTCCATGCAGAGACCCTCACTGATTGACTTTACAGCTGCAAGGCTACTCAATGCCATTCAAGCTTGCTAACTGCAACATTGACACTTGCTGCAAACAGACAAGGGTTCTTCTTCTAATAATAATAATAATAATAATAATAATAATAATAATAATAATAATAATAATAATAATTTATTTGGCAGTATACAAAACTACCAAATAAATAAATAAATAAATAAAAATGATAATAACAACAATAATAATAATCTTTATACCCTGCCACCATCTCCCCAAAGGGGACTCAGAGCAGCTTACGTGAGGCCAAGCCCAGTGATACATTACGGCAGGGGTCCACAAACTGTTTAAACAGAGGGCCAGGTCACAGTCCCTCAAACTGTTGCAGGGCCGGATTATAATTTGAAAAAAAAAAAGAACGAATTCCTATGCACACTGCACATATTTGTAGTGCAAAAAAACCCACTTAAAACAATACAATAATAAAAATGAAGAACAATTTTAAGAAATATAAACTTATTAGTATTTCAATGGGAAGCGTGGGCCTGCTTTTGGCTGATGAGATAGGGTTGTTGTTGTTGTTGCTGTTGTTGTTGTGTGCTTTCAAGTGGTTTCAGACTTAGGTTGACCCTGAGTGAGGGCCGGGTAAACGACCTTGGAAGGCCGTATCTAGCCCCCGGGCCTTCGTTTGAGGACCCCTGCGTTACAGCAAAATAAAATATAAACAACAAAATAACATCACAATAAAATAAATAAGCCATTCAAGTAAAAAAAAAAAGTGCAAAATAACCTAATGGAAAATCAAACACAGTGGGTGGGCCAAATGAAAAAACTCTGAATGAGATAGCAATGAAAAAGGTGTATTTGTGGGGGAGGAGACACCCTGGGCATTATTCCACAGGTGTATATACACACTCCACTTGTCTCACGAATAACAGAACCTCCGAAAATGCCGTTAGCCACAGATGCAGGCAAGACGTCAAGAGAGAATGCATCTGCAACATGGCCAAACTGCCCGAAAAATTCACAGCAACCCATTGATTCCAGCCATGAAAGCCTTCGACAACACATTTACAACTTCTTCTTCCTCACTACTCCGAGTAGTAACTCTCCAACACACTCTCCAAACCACTCTCCATCCCCCATCAACTCTCAGCAAAACTTACTGAGTGTAACTACAACCTATATACTATTCCCATTGCATTAACCACCACACCCTAATGACAGTGGCTGAACTCTTTCACTGGTGGTCAGGCCAGAGGCGTTATCTCTGCTCTCATTTGAGAAAATGGCAGGTAGTTCCAAATCCTGACAAAGCCCAGAGTTGAGGAAGGGCCTGGGGAGACCCTTTGCCCACTCTGCTCACCTGCGCTGTCCAGGGGGTGGTCCCAAGGCACCACCTGCACGGCCGCACCACGTTCGCAGAGGCACCGAATCTGGTTGTACTTCAAGCCGCAGTCGATCGCCATGATCCGCGGGGATCCTCCCGGGTTGAAGAGGCGGGGCTCCTGCAGGGGGAGAGCCGGGGGAGGACGGTACGGAGGGTCACCTTCGGGCCCCATTTGGAGACACAGCCCCCCCCCCCCGCTCCACATTCCCCGCTCCTACCTGCACAGAGACCTCCTTCACCAGGTGCCTCTGGTTGGGGTCCTCGAAGGGCAAGTGCGGGCTGTGTTGGCCCTCCGGCACCAGGCGGCCCAGCAGAGTGCCCTTCTCCCGGATCCTCTTGGTCAGCGCCCGCGTGTCCACTCCTGTGGGAAATGAGGAAGTTGTTGAAGCTGTTTGCAATATGGAATGTAGATTTCAAAGTATGTATGTATGTTTGTGCCAAGCGTATTCCTGCGTGGAAAGAGTTAACTGAATCATGGAGGGAATGGCATTCCTAGAGAGGTCATAAATCAAGTGTATAGAACTAATGGAGGCAGTGTTGTGCGTCGTACTCATACTTCACTCTGGAATGCAAGAGGTGTGGACTAGTACTGATAACAGAGTTCATGTGTTCACCATGTTACTGTCAGGATTAATTTAGTTATGTATGTGTTTTAAATGTGCTTCTATGTATTGCCAAGATGGATGCTACTGTGATTTAGAAATGCTGTGCAGAATGTTTACACCATGAGGCTGTGATTAAGTGAACTTGAGAAAAGTAAGATAAGGTTTGATCTTGCTGGGAACAGAAGGGAGTAACCAGTCTCAGCAAGAGAGATAAGCAGACGTGAAGAGGCTTTCGTTTTGACTAGTTCCTCAATTGTAGCTCGCTGTAGTAAGACGTGTCTGATGTGTGTGCTTAGTAAACTTAGTTTCTTTTGTAACTCAAAGCCTGCAGAGTCCTTATTTTGCAACAGTGTCTGCTGATCTAGCATTCCTTCTGCTGGGCATCGTCTGAACTCTGACAGTTACGATCAGACGGTAATAGAAGCAAGTTTACAATGTGCTGAGTGTTAAATAGCTTCTAATGTATATAGCTGTAAAATAAAGTAGTTTACAGCCTAAGGTGGCTGTGATCAATCTGTTTCCTGCCTTGCTGAAACAACAGCAAGAGATACTGCACTGTAAGAGACACTTTACTAATCCAAAATTGTGGCAGACTGGAGGAGTCTTGTCCACCCGCCATCTAGAAAGAGATGGCATATTCGCAGAATGGCAGCTTCGCAGGGAACACGATCTGGCCTGTGTTTGGTTCTCTTTTCCAGGAGAAGGAGGAAGAGATGAAAATGTATACATGATGGGGAGGAAATTCCTAACAGCCGGTATGTGGGAGTTGAAGTCCAAAACACCTGGAAGGAGGGCCCAAGTTTGCCCAGGCCTGCTCTAGAGTGTGTGTGTGTCTTTGTTTTTTCTCCGTAAAGTGACTAATACTCTGTCTCATTGTGAACCTCTGTAATGCTTTCTGAGGTATTTACGACTGCTGCGCCTTGAGCCCCTTTATTTACCTTCCAGGCCGGGGACCCCCTGCTCTTGCAGCCACTTGTCCAGGGAGCGGGTGGCACTCCAGTGGCTGGGGTTCCGGGAGCACTCCCCCACAATCAGGGCGGCCGCGTGGATGCGGTGGGACTCGAACCACTGGAATAAAGGAAGGACAGGACACAAAACGCAACACGAATCAGTGCACAGGAAAGAACTCTAATACTAATATTGTGCTATGCTCATAATATACTATATTGTATTTACAAATAACTTGTAAACCGTTCTGAGTCCCCTTCATGTTGAGAAGGGCGGCATATAAATGTGATATTTATTAAACCTTTAAGCACAGAGGCACACTTGAGGCAGATGTAATGAACCATAAATCAAGGAAGTTTATTGAATAGAACAGGAACAATGCAGGTATTAAGCTTGGTTGTTTCAGAGATTTGTCTTGAAAGCATGTGGTTACATAAACAGTTGATTTATGTATTTATTGACAGTATTTATATTTTGAACTTCTTCTCACCCCACAGGGGACTCAGAGCAGATCACAATGCACACAGACATGGCAAACATTCAGTGCCATAGACACACAACATATATAGACAGAGACACAGAGGCTATTTAACTTTCCAGCTTRATGAGGGTATGTTCAAATTCCYGCCACCGYGGGAGCTTTCGCTTCACCGTCCACTTGTGACACCGATGGAGTACTTCCTCATTCCTTTGTGCACTGCTGGAGTTTTTTATATGGTGTCGTAAATTAGTTAAATTAGCCCCCCTGCATAAATGGTACCTAAATTTCCTACTTGACAGATGCAACTGTCTTTTGGGCTGCAAAGGTTGACAGCAAGCTTGACAAAAGGTCGGAAACTCACTCCGACCCGGGCTGGCTTCGAACTCACGACCTTTCGGTCAGTAGTGATTTTTAATGCACCTGACTCCCAACCAGCTGCGCCACAACCCGGCAAATAAATAAACAAATAAATAAATCCCATCAGCCTCTCTCCAAATCTAGCATAGCTAATGGAGGAAGACACTTAGCAGCACTCCAGCAACATTTGGAGCCATGAGAGGGGCAGAGGGGCCTGCATTCTCAGGTGGAGGGCAAGGGGGTCTTGTAAACGGAGTACAGCAGCACACCTGGGCATCTGTTTTGTCTGATTCTGTGGCTACTGGCATCTATACAGGTATGATGGCGGTCAAGGAGGTAAGGTAGGGATACCTGTGGAATAATGTCCAGGGTGGAAGGAAAGGACCATTGTGTGTTGAACTAGAGTGAAGAGTGCAATTTGCAAGCTTGCTTGACTACCATCGGATCCTCTAAAGATGCCATCAGCCACAGATGCAAGCACAACGTCAGGAGAAAATGCTGCTAGAACACGGAAACCCCAGTCATTCCAGCCGTGAAAGCCTTCGACAATACATTGGCACCTCTAATTCCAGAATATAGAACAGGCCTGGGCCAACTTGGGCCCTCCCTCCAGGTGTTTTGGACTTCAGCTCCCATAATTCCTAACAGCTGGTAGGCTATTAGGAATTATGGGAGCTGAAGTCCAAAACACCTGGAGGGAGGACCCAAGTTGGCCCAGGCCTGATTAAAATGAATTCGTATTGCTCAATGGGAGACCCACAGTGGCTTGTGTGTGTAAATAACTCAGAGACGTTGACTAGCTTGATGTTTTCTCGTGGCTCTTTCCTTCCTTCCTCCTTCCCTTTCTCTGGCTCTTTCCCGGTCTAGGGATCCCGATGCCCCCGCTCCAACTCACTCACCCGGCTGAGGCCGTACTGGTCCGTCTCGTCCGGAGGGACGCCATAGTTGCCCACCAGCGGGTAGGTCAGCACCAGGATCTGGGACTTGTAGGAAGGGTCCGTCAGCGCCTCCGGGTAGCCCACCAGCCCCGTCTGGAACACTATAAGAAGGGGGACAGGAAGGGAGGGGGAGTCACATGACTCTGATGAAGAAAGGGACAAGAACCTGAGGGCCTCTCCCCTCCCCAAACACAGGACTATGATGGTGGTTGGGGGGGGGGGGGGCTCTAAAGTAGAGAGCAAGAGAACCAAGGGCAATGTTGGGGTTCAGGCTGTGATAGACGAGGAGAATTTAGTCAAAACAGGAGAGCTGAGCAATGGCTTTGGCGCTCTGCCAGGCTTCGGCAGAAAACAATAACAAAGCCTCAAGTAAAGAGAAACCAATTTCTGACCGCCAGTGACCTAGCCAATGAGGGGATAAAAGTCTCAAGTTTGGGATGCGTAGTCAGATGAAGCATTGTTTAGAATCAAGCCAAGTTCTCGTCCTTGTTTTATGAAAACCTTGCTTTGAAGTTTCATGCTAAGATATTTCTCGTTCATGGTTTTGGATTCCTGTATTTCATGATTGCTTACCCAAGCCTTGGATCAATGTATTCCTGATTTTCTGGATTGTATTGGAGATGTGTGGACTTTGCTTTTATAGACATTGCTGAACTCTACCTTGGACTAATTTGTTCCTGCTTATCTTCTTACCTAATTGGATTTACCTATTTCCTTATAGTGCTTTTTTACTTTGCTGCTTTTTACTTATCTTCAATAAAAGGATTGTTTTTTTCCTATTCAACATGTGGTGTTTGAAGTCAGAGGGTTATTCCAACAGGCTATGCCTGAGCTTGTAAATATGTAATTGTCCTATTATAATGAACTTAAGTACAGATACCAGTTTAAGTAACTGTCATAGTACATATAGGACACACTTTGATAGTGCAACAAACACAATATATAAGATTTGCAAAATAATTACATAGGTCAAATAGATCAATTTCAGTATATCCACAAAGTTTTCAACAAATATTAACGAGGTGTTCCACAAACTTGGGAATATAGTTCACATTGAATATATCAAACTTAGAAACAATTCATATTGTGTTCAGCAAACTTGGGAATACACTGGAGTGTTCCATAAACTTGGGAATATTGTTCACGTAGAGTACATCAAACTTGGAAACAATTCGCATTGTGTTCAGCAAACTTAGGAATACACAACAAGGTGAACACAATATGAATTGTTTGTAAGTTTGATGTACTCTATGTGAACGATATTCCCAAGTTTATGGGAATATATGTTTGTTTGTGTGTGTGTGTGTGCGCGCGCGCAAACACACATATACACATACACACACAAAACACATAAACACAGACTGGGCCACAGCAACTGGGCCACAGCAATGTGTGGTAGGGGACAGCTAGTAGGAAATAAAATTAGTATTATTGTTATTATAGATCTTTCTGCAACCTCACAGCATAAAACTAAATCTCCCTCTGAGTAAGTAATTAGTTCTTATTTAAGAAATAAGTTTATTTATTTATTTTATTGTGTCAGGAGCAACCAGACATTTGTATTATATTTTAAACACATTTAAAACAAGCTTAATTATTATATTTTAAACAAGCTTAAGCGGTTGAGTGGGAAAAGAAAGGGGCCCGAGGCTGTGAGGAATGCTGGGAGTTGGAGTCCAAAGCACTTGGAGGGAGGGCCCAAGTTTGCCCATGCCTCTTCTAGTGCCAGCAGGAGAGGGAATGAGCTTCAGAAATTGCAGTTGCTGCTGGCCGAAGTACCTAGGCTGGCCTTCAAAGCAAACACATAGGGAGAGAAAGGAAAGGGCCTGAGGCTGTGAGGAATGGTGGGAGTTGGAGTCCAAAACACCTGGAGGGAGGACTCAAGTTTGCCCATGCCTCTTCTAGTGCCAGCAGTAGGGTGAATGAGCTTCAGCAATGACAGTTGCTGCTGGCCGAAGTATGTAGCCTGGCCTTCACAACAAACACATAGGAAGAGAAAGGAAAGGGCCCAAGGCTGTGAGGAATGCTGGGAGTTGGAGTCCAAAACACTTGGAGGGAGGGCCCAAGTTTGCTCATGCCAGCGGTAGAGTGAATGACCTTCAGCAATTGCAGTTGCTGCTGGCCGAAGTACTTAACCTGGGTTCAAAACAAACACAAATAGGGGGAAAAAGGAAAGGGCCTGAGGCTGTGAGGAATGGTGGGAGTTGGAGTCCAAAACACCTGGAATGAGAGCCCAAGTTTGCTTAGTCCTGTTCTAGTGCCAGCAATAGAGTGAATGAGCTTCAGCAATGACAGTTGGTGCTGGCTGAAGTACCTAGCCTGGTCTTCACAACAAACACAAAGGGGGAGAAAGGAAAGGGCGTGAGGCTGTGAGGAATGATGGGAGTTGGAGTCCAAAACACATGGAGAGGAGGTCCAAGTATGCTCATGCCAGCAGTAGATTGAATGAGCTTCAGCAATGACAGCTACTGCTGGCCGAAGTACCTAGCCTGGCCTTCAAACAAACACATAGGAAGAGAAAGGAAAGGGCCCGAGGCTGTGAGGAATGCTGGGAGTTGGAGTCCAAAACACTTGGAGGGAGGGCCCAAGTTTGCTCATGCCAGCAGTAGAGTGAATGAGCTTCGGCAATGACAGTTGCTGCTGGCCAAAGTATGTAGCCTCGCCTTCAAAACAAACAAACAAACAGGGAGGAAAGGAAAGGGCCTGAGGCTGTGAGGAATGGTGGGAGTTGGAGTCCAAAACACCTGGAGGGAGGGGAGACCGACGAAGATGACTGAGACCTGATCTGGAAACAGAGACCTCTTTGCGTCCTCCCCCTCCTTTCCCTCCCCCCCAGGACAGGAAGTTGCAGCATGAGAGCCCTTCATCTCCCCTTTGGAGGCTGCCTTGGGCCGGGGTCAGGGGGCAAGGAATGGCCATGGGCTGCCCAGCATCAGATAAGGTTGCAAACACAAGCCCAGGGACAAGCTGAGCGCAAGGCCACAGAAGCGCTCTGCCCCCTCCCAGGTGAGAGGCCAGGTATCAGGTGCCACCTTCGCCCAGGTGACACTTCTCTCCTATTGTGCCTTCCTGCCTGGATGCCTTGGCCCTATTATTATTATTATTATTATTATTATTATTATTATTATTATTATTATTGTTATGTTTATTATTATGTTTCTTACCCTTGGCTTCTTCTCTCCCTGCCAACTCTAGGAGTCTATGGCTCCTTCCACACAGCTGCATCAAACCCACATTAAACCGGATTATATGGCCGTGTGGAAGGGCCCCATGACCCTCTGCTGCCCCCTCCCCAAAGAGCTGGAAGGCCACCTAAGACAAGCATCATACTTGCGGCGGGGGGGGGGGGGGTTGTTGTGCCAAGAAGAGCTCCAAGGACCCAGGGGAGGGGCAATGAGCCCACCTTGACCGCCAGGAGAGTGGCTGGCTCGGCTTTCCTTCGGCCAGGTGGACAGGTAGAGTGGGCGTGGTCATTGTGTTGGGCAAGAGAACAGGGATTCCCCCCCCCCCCCCAATCCCATTAGGGTCACTGAGTTTGGCTGGAAAACAGGGAAGGAAGGAAAGAATGAAGAATGGAGGAAGGAAAGGATGGATGGATGGAAGAAAGGGCAGCAATAAGGATACATGGATGGAAGGAAGGAAAGACGTAAGCATAGATGGCAAAGCAGCTGGCCTGGATGACCTACGGATGGAACACATCAAGAACTTTGGTCCCAAAGCAAGGCGCTGGCTGCTGGAGCTGATGAACAACGGCACGGCATCCTGTCAGATCCCCAAAATCTGGAGGAAAGCAAGAGTCATCGCCATCTTGAAGCCAGGCAAAGACCGCCATGACCCAAAAAGCTATAGACCAATCTCCCTGTTGTGCCACCTCTACAAAGTTCTGGAGAGACTTATTTTGCATAGAATTATGGAAAAAATAGACCCCTGTCTGATCCCACAGCAAGCTGGCTTCAGGAAAGGCAAAAGCTGCACATCGCAAGTGCTGAACCTGACTCAGCACATAGAAGATGGCTTTGAAAGGCAGCAGATCACAGGAGCTGTCTTCATAGACCTGTCAGCAGCTATGATACTGTGAACCACTGCCTCCTCCTGAGAAAAATGTATAATATCACAAAGGACGACCACCTCACCCGCCTCATAGGAAACCTGCTACAAAACAGGAGCTTCTTTGTTGAGTTCCAGGACCAGAGAAGCAGATGGCGGAAACAGAAGAACGGCCTGCATCTGGGGAGCGTGCTTGCTCCATCCATGTTCAACATCTACACAAATGACCAGCCACTGCCAGAAGGGACAGAGAGTTTCATCTATGCTGATGATCGTGCCATTACCACTCAAGCAGGGAGCTTTGAGATGGTTGAGCAGAAGCTCTCCGAAGCTCTAGGTGCTCTTACTGCCTACTACAGGGAAAACCAGCTGATCCCTAATCCATCTAAAACACAGACATGTGCCTTTCACCTTAAGAACAGACAAGCATCCCGAGCTCTGAGGATCACCTGGGAAGGAATCCCACGGGAGATTTGCAGCACACCCAAATACCTGGGAGGAGTCACTCTGGACCGTGCTCTTACCTACAAGAAGCACGGCCTGAACATCAAGCAAAAAGTGGGCGCTAGAAACAATATCATATGAAAGCTGACTGGCACAACCTGGGGATCACAACCAGACACAGTGAAGACATCTGCCCTTGCGCTGTGCTACTCTGCTGCTGAGTATGCATGCCCAGTGTGGAACACATCTCACCACGCTAAAACAGTGGATGTGGCTCTTAATGAGACATGCCGCATTATCACGGGGTGCCTGCGCCCTACACCAATGGAGAAATTACACTGCTTAGCCGGTATTGCACCACCTGACATCCGCCGGGAAGTAGCAGCCAATAGTGAAAGGACCAAGGCAGAGACATCTCCAGCTCATCCCTGTTTGGGTATCAGCCAGCACGTCAACGACTTAAATCCAGACATAGTTTTCTAAGATCTACAGAGACACTCGCTGGAACACCTCAGCAAGCGAGAGTCCAAAAGTGGCAGGCTCAAACCCAGCACCTCAACCAAACGAGAGACTCCCCCCTGGGCACACAGAAGACGGGGCGACTTGGAAGGCGTTGAACAGACTGCGTTCTGGCACCACGAGATGCAGAGCCAACCTTCAGAAATGGGGCTACAAAGTGGAATCCACAACATGCGAGTGTAGAGAAGAGCAAACCGCTGACCACCTGCTGCAATGCAACCTGAGCCCTGCCACATGCACCATGGAGGACCTTCTTGCAGCAACACCAGAAGCACCCCAAGTGGCCAGATACTGGTCAAAGGACATTTAATCAACTACCAAACTTGCAAATTTTGTATTTTGTCTGTTTGTTTGCTTTGTTCTGTTAGAAATGTAATATAATTTGACTGGTTGTCCTGACACGACAAATAAAATAAAATAGCATAGATGGATGGAAGGAGGAAGGAAGGAAAAGATAGATGGAAGGATGGCAAGAAAGGAAAATTGATGGAAGGGAAAAAGAATGGATGGAAAGAAGGAAAGAATGAAGAAAGAAGGAAGGAAGAAAGAGGATGGAGGGAAGGAAGAAGGGAAAAGGAAGGAAGGAGGAAGGAGGAAGGAGAAGATGTAAGCATAGATAGATGGAAGGAGGAAGGAAAGGATAGATGGAAGGAAGGCAGAAGAGAGAATGGAAAGAAGGAGTAAAAAGAATGGAAGGAAAGAAGGAGGAAGGAAGGAAAGAAAGAAGTCAAGGAGGACTGATGGATGAATGGAAGGAAGGGAAAATGGATGGAAGGAAAAAAGGAAAGAATGAAGAAAGGAGGGAGGAAGGAAAGGATGGATGGATGGAAGAAGAATGGAAAGAAGGAAGGAAAGAAGGAAAGAATGAAGGAAGGAAGGAAGGAAGTCAAGGAGGAGGATGAAGGAAGGGAGGGAGGGAGGGAAATCCAGGTAAGAAAGGAAGAAAAAGATAGGTGGAAGGATAGATGACAAGAAGGGAAAATGGAAGGAAGGAAGGAAGGAAGGAAGGAAGGAAGGAAGGAAGGAAGGAAGGAAGGAAGGAAGGAAGGAAAGAAGGAAGGAAGAAGGATAGATGGATGGATGGATGGAAGAAGAGTGGAAAGAAGGAAGGAGAAAGGAAGGAAAGAATGAATGAAGAAAGGAGGAAGGAAGAAAAGGATGAATAGAAGAAGAATGGAAAGACGGAAGGAGAAAGGAAGGAAGTCGAGGAGGACTGATGGAAGGAAGGAAGGAAGGAAAAAAGGGAGGGAGGGAACAGGGGAGGAAGTAAGGAAAGTAGATGGAAAGATGGCAAGAAGGGAAAATGGATGGAAGGAAGACAAGAAAGGAAGAAAAAAGGAGGAAGGAAAGGATGGATGGAGGGAAAGATGGATGAAAGAAGAATGGAAGGAAAGAGAGAAGGAAGGAAGTCAAGGAGGACTGATGGAAGGAAGGGGGAGAAAGGAAGAAGACGACAGGTGAAAGGGTGGATGGCAAGAAGGGAAAATGGATGGAAGGTAGGAAAGAATGAATGAAGAAAGGAAGAAAAGGATGGATGGAAGAAGAATGGAGAGAAGGAAAGAATGAAGAAAGGAAGTAGAGGAGGACTGAAGGAAGGGAGGGAGGGAAATCCAGGGGAGAAAGGAAGGAAAAGATAGGTGGAAGGATGGATGACAAGAAGGGAAAATGGAAGGAAGGAGGAAGTATAGATGGATGGATGGAAGAGTTGAAAGAAGGAAGGAAAGAATGAATGAAGAAAGGAGGAAGGAAGAAAAGGATGGATGGAAGAAGAATGGAAAGAAGGAAGGAGGAAGGAATGAATGAAGAAAGGAAGGAAGGAAGAAAAGGATGGATGGAAGAAGAATGGAGAGAAGGAAAGAATGAAGAAAGGAAGTAGAGGAGGACTGAAGGAAGGGAGGGAGGGAAATCCAGGGGAGAAAGGAAGGAAAAGATAGGTGGAAGGATGGATGACAAGAAGGGAAAATGGAAGGAAGGAAGAAAGGAAGAAAGGAAAGAATGAATGAAGAAAGGAAGGAAGAAAAGGATGGATGGATGGAAGAAGAATGGAAGGAAGGAATGAAGAAAGGAAGTCGAGGAGGACTGAAGGAAGGAAGGAAGGAAGGAAGGAAGGAAGGAAGGAAGGAAGGAAGGAAGGAAAGGAGGGAAATCCAGGGAAGAAAGGATGAAAAAGTTAAGTGGAAGGATGGATGGCAAGAAGGGAAAATGGAAGGGAGGAAGTATAGATGGATGGATGGAAGAGTGGAAAGAAGGAAGGAGAAAGGAAGGAAGGAAAGAATGAATGAAGAAAGGAGGAAGGAAGAAAAGGATGGATGGATGGAAGAAGAATGGAAGGAAGGAATGAAGAAAGGAAGTCAAGGAGGACTGAAGGAAGGAAGGAAGGAAGGAAGGAAGGAAGGAAGGAAGGAAGGAAAGGAGGAGGGAAGGAAGGAGAGAAGGGGAGAAAGGAAGAAAAAGATAGGTGGAAGGATAGATGACAAGAAGGGAAAATGGAAGGAAGGAAGGAGGAAGGATAGATGGATGGAAGAAGAGTTGAAAGAAGGAAGGAGAAAGGAAGGAAGGAAAGAATGAATGAAGAAAGGAGGAAGGAAGAAAAGGATGGATGGATGGAAGAAGAATGGAAGGAAGGAATGAAGAAAGGAAGTCAAGGAGGACTGAAGGAAGGAAGGAAGGAAGGAAGGAAGGAAGGAAGGAAGAATGGAGAGAAGGAAAGAATGAAGAAAGGAAGTAGAGGAAGGAAGGAAGGGGAAATGGATGGATGGAAGGAAGAAAGGAAGGGATGGAGGGATGGAAAAAAAGAATGAAGAAATGAGGAATGATGGACTTTGATATGGATAGTGTATGAGAAAATGGATGGAATGAGAAAAGGAGGAAGGAAAAGAGGTAGCATAGATGGATGGAAGGAGGAAGGAAGGAAGGAAGGAAGGAAGGAAGGAAGGAAGGAAGGAAGGAAGGAAGGAGATGGATAGAAGGAAGGAGAAGGGAGGGAGGCAAAGGAAGGGAAGGAAGGAGGAGGAAGAAGGAGGAAAGAAGATGGATGGATGGATGGATGGAAGAAGAGTGGAAAGAAGGAAGGAGAAAGGAAGGAAGAAGAATGAATGAAGAAAGGAGGAAGGAAGGAAGGAAGGAAGGAAGGAAGGAAGGAAGGAAGGAAGGAAGGAAGGGAAATCCTGGGGTAGGGGGCGGGTCCTCCCCCCGGCTTCTCCGCCCCCTCCCCTCCCCTCCCCTCCCCCTCCCCCCCAGGGGAGCACATGGCGGGCGCGTCGCCCTCCTCCCTCCCCCCCCCCCACCCCCCAAAAGGTCGGTGGGGGCGGGGCCCGAGGGACACGTGTCCTGGAAGGAAGGGGAGGGCCCCTCAAGGGCACCCAGGCGCTCCCCCTTTTCCTCCCCCCCCCCTCTCTCTCTCTCTCTCTGTGCATGCTCAGAGGCACTCTCTGCCTCAAGACTCACCGACTTCCCCGGCGGCGGCGGCGTGCCTGCGCGTGTCCCCGAAGGGCCTCCCTCGCAGGACGGTCCCGTCCTCCAGGACCAAGCTCAGGCCTCCCCGGAGAAGGAGGGGGGGGGTCTCCATGGCGAAAGGAGAAGGAAGAGAGAGAGAGAGAGAGAGGAGAGGGAAGGAAGGGGGCGGGGCCAGCTGCTGCTGCTGCTGCGGATGCGAAGGAGCTGGGAAAGAAGGGGGCGGGGCCCCAGGAGGAGGAAATGACTCACCCAGACTGGGCGGAGACTCCCGGGTGGGGACACGCCCCCTCCCCCCACCAAGGAGGCGGGCCCAGGGGGAGTGTAGCCACGCCCCCCTTCTGGCAGGGTTCTTCCCAAGCAGCCCACCTTTGCAACCTTCCCTTAACCATTCTTATTGCTTTTGAACAGACTGCATTCACACCTGGAATCCCAATCTGGGACCCACAACTGAAGGGAGGGGTGGGCTCTCAGCTGGAATACTGTCTCAAAGGATACAGGGTATGGAGGACAAGCCCTATGAGGAGCGGCTCAAAGAGCTACTGGGCATGTTTAGATAAGAGAAGGCTGAGGAGAGACACAAAGGATCCAGGGTATGGAGGACAAGCCCTATGAGGAGCGGCTCAAAGAGCGGCTGGGCATGTTTAGATAAGAGAAGGCTGAGGAGAGACACAAAGGATCCAGGGTATGGAGGACAAGCCCTATGAGGAGCGGCTCAAAGAGCGGCTGGGCATGTTTAGATAAGAGAAGGCGAGGAGAGACACAAAGGATCCAGGGTATGGAGGACAAGCCCTATGAGGAGCGGCTCAAAGAGCTACTGGGCATGTTTAGATAAGAGAAGGCGGAGGAGAGACACAAAGGATCCAGGGTATGGAGGACAAGCCCTATGAGGAGCAGCTCAAAGAGCTTCCGGGCATGTTTAGATAAGAGAAGGCTGAGGAGAGACACAAAGGATCCAGGGTATGGAGGACAAGCCCTATGAGGAGCGGCTCAAAGAGCTGCTGGGCATGTTTAGATAAGAGAAGGCTGAGGAGAGACACAAAGGATCCAGGGTATGGAGGACAAGCCCTATGAGGAGCGGCTCAAAGAGCGGCTGGGCATGTTTAGATAAGAGAAGGCGGAGGAGAGACACAAAGGATCCAGGGTATGGAGGACAAGCCCTATGAGGAGCGGCTCAAAGAGCGGCTGGGCATGTTTAGATAAGAGAAGGCGGAGGAGAGACACAAAGGATCCAGGGTATGGAGGACAAGCCCTATGAGGAGCAGCTCAAAGAGCTTCCGGGCATGTTTAGATAAGAGAAGGCTGAGGAGAGACACAAAGGATCCAGGGTATGGAGGACAAGCCCTATGAGGAGCGGCTCAAAGAGCGGCTGGGCATGTTTAGATAAGAGAAGGCTGAGGAGAGACACAAAGGATCCAGGGTATGGAGGACAAGCCCTATGAGGAGCGGCTCAAAGAGCTACTGGGCATGTTTAGATAAGAGAAGGCTGAGGAGAGACACAAAGGATCCAGGGTATGGAGGACAAGCCCTATGAGGAGCGGCTCAAAGAGCTACTGGGCATGTTTAGATAAGAGAAGGCTGAGGAGAGACACAAAGGATCCAGGGTATGGAGGACAAGCCCTATGAGGAGCGGCTCAAAGAGCTTCCGGGCATGTTTAGATAAGAGAAGGCTGAGGAGAGACACAAAGGATCCAGGGTCTGGAGGACAAGCCCTATGAGGAGCGGCTCAAAGAGCTAAGCATGTGTTAGCCTGCAGAAGAGAAGGCTGAGGAGGGACAGGATGATGAGGGCCATGTAGGTATATCGTCAGAGGCTTTCGTGGCCAGAATCACTGGGTTGTTGTAGGTTTTTTCAGGCTATATGGCCATGTTCTAGAGGCATTCTCTCCTGACGTTTCGCCTGCATCTATGGCAAGCATCCTCAGAGGTAGTGAGGTCTGTTGGAACTAGGAAAAAGGTTTATATATCTGTGGAATGACCAGGGTGGGACAAAGGACTCTTGTCTGTTGGAGCTAGGTGTGAATGTTTCAACTGACCACCTTGATTAGCATATAATGGCCTGACTGTGCCTGGGGAAAATCTTTTGTTGAGAGGTGATTAGATGTCCTTGTTCGTTTCCTCTCTGCTGTTTTGCTGTTGTAATTTCAGAGTTTTTTTAATCCTGGTAGCCAGATTTTGTTCATTTTCATGGTCTCTTCCTTTCTGTTGAGATTGTCCACAAGCTTCCTGTGGATTTCAATGGCTTCTCTGTGTAGCCTGACCTGGTGGTCCAGCACTTCCGTGTTCTCAAACAATCTGCTGTGTCCAGGTGGGTTCCTCAGGTGCTCTGCTATGGCTGACTTGAAATAGTCCGCAGTGCCTTCCATGTTCCTTGATTCATGTTTGAGCCATGCTTCTGCGTTTGGGGGTCCCTATGGAGACTTCTTGTCCACAGCTCACCCTGGTCATTATTCCACAGATATATAAACCCTTTTTCCTAGTTCCAACAGACCTCACTACCTCTGAGGATGCTTGCCATAGATGCAGGCGAAACGTCAGGAGAAAATGCCTCTAGACCAGGGGTCCTCAAACTTTGGCCCTCCAGCTGTGGGGGACTTCAACTCCCACAATTCCTTGAGGCTCGGCATTCGCCCCAAAGGCTTACCTTGGCAATGCCGAGCCTCAAGGAATTGTGGGAGTTGAAGTCCACCACAGCTGGAGGGCCAAAGGTTCCCTACCCCTGCCTCTAGACCATGGCCATACAGCCCGGAAAAACCTACAACAACCCAGCCATGTAGGTAGGTAGGCGAGGGGAATATGTCCTAGGGAGGAGGAGGGAGCAGGATTCAAATGACAACATAGGAAGGAGATGCCCCCTGAACATCAGGAAGAACTTCCTAATTGTGAGAAGGGCTGTTCAGCAGTGGAACTCTCTGCCCCAAAGTGTGGTGGAGGCTCCTCCTTTGGAAACTTTTAAACAGAGGGTTTATGATGGCCATCTGTCAGGGGTGCTTTGAACACAATTTTCTTGCTTCTTCAAAAAACAGGAAAGAGGAGATTCCATCTGAACATTAGGAAGAACTTCCTGACTGTGAGAGCTGTTCAGCAGTGGAACTCTCTGCCCCAAAGTCTGGTGGAGGCTTTTAAACAGAGGCTGGATGGCCATCTGTCAGAGGTGATTTGAATGTGATTTTCCCGCTTCTTGGCAGAATAAGGTTGGACTGGATGGCCCATGAGGTCTCTTCCAACTCTATGTTAGCCCCAGCTCCTGCCAACCTAGCAGTTCAAAAACATGCAAGTGTGAGTAGACCAATAGATACTGCTCCATCTGAACATTAGGAAGAACTTCCTGACTGTGAGAGCTGTTCAGCAGTGGAACTCTCTGCCCCAAAGTCTGGTGGGGGCTTTTAAACAGAGGCTGGATGGCCATCTGTCAGAGGTGATTTGAATGTGATTTTCCCGCTTCTTGGCAGAATAAGGTTGGACTGGATGGCCCATGAGGTCTCTTCCAACTCTATGTTAGCCCCAGCTCCTGCCAACCTAGCAGTTCAAAAACATGCAAGTGTGAGTAGACCAATAGATACTGCTCCATCTGAACATTAGGAAGAACTTCCTGACTGTGAGAGCTGTTCAGCAGTGGAACTCTCTGCCCCAAAGTCTGGTGGGGGCTTTTAAACAGAGGCTGGATGGCCATCTGTCAGAGGTGATTTGAATGTGATTTTCCCGCTTCTTGGCAGAATAAGGTTGGACTGGATGGCCCATGAGGTCTCTTCCAACTCTATGTTAGCCCCAGCTCCTGCCAACCTAGCAGTTCAAAAACATGCAAGTGTGAGGAGACCAATAGGAAGGTAATAGCACTCCATGCAGCGTTGCCAGTGGCCACATGACCTTGGAGGTGTCTATGGACAACGCCGGCTCTTTGTCTTAGACATGGAGATGAATACCAACTCCAGAATTGGACACGGGTAGACTTTATTCATGTCAAGGGGAAATCTTTAATTTTACCTAATGCATTAATAATAATAGTAATAATTATTATTATTATTATTTCATGCAGGAAAAGCACCACCAAAGCACCCCCAACAGATGGCCATCCATCCTCTTCTTAATATTATTACATAATATATGAGCCCCCTGGTGGCGCAGTGGGTTAAACCACCGAGTTGCTGAACTTGCAGGTAGACATCCAGGGAGTGGGGTGAGCTTCTGCTGTCAGCCCCAGCTTCTGCCAACCTAGCAGCTCAAAAACATGCAAATGTGAGTAGATCAATAGGTACCGCTCCAGCAGGAATAGCACTCCATGCAGTCCTGCCAGTGGCCACATGACCTTGGAGGTGTCTACGGACAGCGCCGGCTCTTTGTCTTAGACATGGAGATGAACACCAACCCCAGAATTGGACACTGCTAGACTTCATTCATGTCAAGGGGAAACCTTTACTTGTACCTTATGCATTCATAATAATTCTTTCATGCAGGAAAAGCACCATCAAAGCACCCTCAATAGATGGCCATCCAGCCTCTGCTTAATATTATTATTATATTATATAATCAGCCCCCCCCCCCCCGTGGTGCAGTGGGTTAAACCACCGAGCTGCTGAACTTGCTGACCGAAAGGTTGCAGGTTTGAATCCGGGGAGCATGGTGAGCTCCCACTGTTAGCCTCAGCTTCTGGCAACCTAGGTAAAGGTTTCCCCGTGACATTACATCCAGTCGCGTCCGACTCTGGGACTCTGTTGCTCATCTCCATTTCTAAGCCGAAGAGCCGGCGTTGTCCGTAGACACCTCCAAGGTCATGTGGCTACTGACATGCCTGCATGGAGTGCTGTTACTTTCCCACCGAGGCAGTACCTATTGATCTACTCACACTTGCATGATTTTGAAAACTGCTAGGTTGGCAGAAGCTGGGGCTAACAGCGAGAGCATTGTCCATAGACACCTCCAAGGTCATGTGGCCATTGGCATGACTGCACGGAGCACCATTACCTTCCCACCGAAGCGGTACCTATTGATCTACTCATATTTGCATGATTTCGAAAACTGCTAGGTTGGCAGAAGCTGGGGTTGTCAGCAGAAGCTCACACCACTCCGCAGATTCGAACCTGCGACCTTTTGATCAACAAACTCAGCAGCTCAGTGCTTTAACCCACTGCGCCACTGCCAACCTAGCACAGTGGGTTAAACCCCTGTGCCGGCAGGACTGAAGACCGACAGGTCACAGGTTCGAATCCGGGGAGAGGTGGATGAGCTCCCTCTGTCAGCTCCAGCTCCCCATGCGGCGACATGAAAGAAGCCTCCCACAAGGATGATAAAAACATCAAATCTTCCGAGCAACGTCCTCTGGGCAACGTCCTTGCAGACGGCCAATTCTCTCACACCAGAAGCGACTTGCAGTTTCTCAAGTCACTCCCGACCAAAAAAAAAAGCAGTTCGAAAACATGCAAATGTGAGTAGATCAATAGGTACTGCTCCAGCAGGAAGGTAAGGGCACTCTATGCAGTCCTGCCAGTGGCCACATGACCTTGGAGGTGTCTATGGACAACGCCAGCTCTTCAGCTTAAAAATGGAGGTGGGCACCAGAGTCGGACACGACCGGACTTCATGTCAAGGGGAAACCCTTTACCTTTAACTACACATGATACTGACAACATTTTCAGGTGGACACCGATGATTCTGCTCAAACCACATTCATGAATCTTAATTCATGCCTAATTATTTTAATTTTGGGTATTTTATGGAAATAGGTTTATTTACATAGACATATATTTGACCGAGTGTTTCAAAACAAACATGCGCTTGGTGATGCTGCAACCCGCCTCCAGAAATAAAAACAGGACAGGAAATACTCTGAAAATGGGAATTCCAGACAAGGAACAATCAGGGCCAGCTAATCACCTCCCAACCAGGGATTCCCCCAGGCAGGAAGCAGCCAGGCTTTTGAGGTGCAAGGCTTTGCAGTCTTGATCAAGGTGGCTCAGGGCAATATTCACACTTGCCTCCAGCCGACAAAGAGTTCTTTCTTCCCCCCTGGACCTTCGATAAATATATAAACCTCCCTTTCCTAGTTGGAGTCCCCAATGGCGTTAAATCCTTGTGCCAGCAGCTCAGAGGTTCAAATCTGGGGGAGAGCGCAGGTGAGCTCCCGTCTGTCAGCTCCAGCTCCCCATGCAGGGACATGAGAGAAGCCTCAAAACATCCAGGCAACATCCTTGCAGACGGCCAATTCTCTCACACCAGAAGCAAATTGTTCCTCATGACACACACACAACTTTCCTAGTTTCCAAGAGACCTCACAACCTCTGAGGATGCCTGCCATAGCTGTGGGCAAAACGTCAGGAGAGAATGCTTCTGGAGCATGGCCAGACAGCCCGAGAAACCTACAACAACTCAGTGATTCCAGCCATGAAAGCCTTCGACAACACAATAAAACTATTATTATTATTATTATGGAGTCCCCAGTGACGTAATGGGTTAAATGCTTGTGCCAGCAGGACTGCTGACCAAAAAGGTGGCAGTTCAAACCTGGGGAGAGCATGGATGAGCTCCCTCTGCCAGCTCCAGCTCCCCATGCAGGGATATGAGAGAAGCCTCCCACAGGATGGTACAACATCAAAACATCTGATCAACATCCTTGCAGACAACCAATTCTCTCACACCAGAAGCAAATTGTTCCTCCTCACACACACACACACACAAACCTTCCTAGTTTCCAACAGACCTCACAACCTCTGAGGATGCCTGCCATAGCTGTGGGCGAAACGTCAGGAGAGAATGCTTCTGGAGCATGGCCAGACAGCCTGAAAAACCTGCAACAACTCACAACCTCTGAGGGTGCCTGCCATAGCTGTGGGTGAAACGTCAGGAGAGAATGCTTCTGGAGCATGGCCAGACAGCCTGAAAAACCTGCAACAACTCACAACCTCTGAGGATGCCTGCCATAGCTGTGGGCGAAACGTCAGGAGAGAATGCTTCTGGAGCATGGCCAGACAGCCTGAAAAACCTGCAACAACTCACAACCTCTGAGGGTGCCTGCCATAGCTGTGGGTGAAACGTCAGGAGAGAATGCTTCTGGAACATGGCCAGACAGCCTGAAAAGCCTACAACAACTCAGTGATTCCGGCCATGAAAGCCTTCGACAACACAATAAAACTATTATTATTATATTATTATTTTTATGAAGCCCCCAGTGATGTAATGGGTTAAACTTCCTTGTGCCAGTAGGATTGCTGACTGAAAGGTTGGCGGTTCGAATCTGAGGAGCATGTTGAGCTCCCGTCTGCTATCTCCAGCTTCCCATGCAGGGACATGAGAGACGCCTCCCACAGGATGGTAAACATCAAACATCCGGGCAACGTCCCCTGGGCAACATCCTTGCAGACGGCCAATTCTCTCACACCAGAAGTGACTTGCAGTTTCTCAAGTTGCTTCCGATACAGAAAAAATTATTATTATTATTATTATTATTATTATTATTATTATTATTGTTATTATTATCAATTGCGTAATTCCTTCTCATTTCTTGTAAACGAATGCCTTGCCCTTCATTTCCTTTTACATTATTGCAAACTGTTTGGGTCTCGCTCCACAAATTCAAATAGATAGAACAAATCCTGCAGCAGGAAGTCCCTCCAGTTCTGGAAGTCGGTGGACCAGGCCCAAACGGGGAGCATCCCAATTTGCACCCCAATAGCACCAGTTCATTACGAGCCCCTTTATTATTAGTCAAAGCCAATGTCCTGCAAGAGGCAGACCTCACCCAATTGGGGTAGGAATCAAGTCCAGCCCCATAAGTCTGGATCCTGGTTGTTGTTGTTGTTGTTGTTGTTGTTGTTGTGGTGGTTGTTGCAAAGTCCCCTGCTTGGCTGTCCCAGTCCAGGTCCAAGGAATCCTCCCCAAATTGCCTGGGGAGACTTAAGGCAAGGGCCACGTAACAAAGCCTCCTCTCCTTTGCTGCTTCTTCATCATCCTCATCATCATCCTCATCTGCTTGGAGTTGGTTGGGGGTCATTCCGGCCTAGGAGGTCTTGGCCTTCCGCCGCTGAGTGGTCCAGAGCAGGACGGAGAGGGCGGTCGTCACGGCCCCCAGAGAGCCAAAGAAGAGCAAGTACGGAAAGGAGCCCTGGAAGGGAAAAGGCCGTGGCGGGGGGGGGGGGGGGGGGGAGTCAGTCAATAGCAGTTGTATCTAACAGTGGGGGTCACAAAAATATCATAAATAAATATGGATTTAATATAATGTGTATGGGAATGAATGGAAGAATGTATGGAGCTCATAATTTTGCAAACACCAGTAAAAGACCCAGCCCTGCAATGACTAACTAGCTGCTTCCTGGACTATAATTAAAAGTTGCTAATGAGAAATGAAAAGTAAACTCTGATAAATGAATGGAAGAATAGATGTATGTATGTATGGAGGTCATAATTTTGGAAACGCCAGTAAAAGACGCAGGCCTGCAATGGCTAACTACCTGCTTCCTGGACTATAATTAAAAGTTGCTAATGAGAAATGAAAAGTAAACTCTGATAAATGAATGGAAGAATAGATGTATGTATGTATGGAGGTCATAATTTTGGAAACGCCAGTAAAAGACGCAGGCCTGCAATGGCTAACTACCTGCTTCCTGGACTATAATTAAAAGTTGCTAATGAGAAATGAAAAGTAAACTCTGATAAATGAATGGAAGAATAGATGTATGTATGTATGGAGGTCATAATTTTGGAAACGCCAGTAAAAGACGCAGGCCTGCAATGGCTAACTACCTGCTTCCTAGACTATAATTAAAAGTTGCTAATGAGAAATGAAAACTCTGATAAATGAATGGAAGGATGGGTGGATGTATGGAGGCCATAATTTTGGAAACACCAGTCAACGACCCAGGCCAGCAATGGCTAACTACCTGCTTGCTGGACTATAATTAAAAGTTGCTAATGAGAAATAAAAAGTAAACTCTAATAAATGGATGGATGTATGGAGGTCATAATTTTGGAAACACCAGTCAAAGACCCTGGCCTGCAATGGCTAACTACCTGCTTGCTGGACTATAATTAAAAGATGCTAATGAGAAATGAAAAGTAAACTCTAATAAATGGATGGATGTATGGAGGTCATAATTTTGGAAACACCAGTCAAAGACCCAGGCCTGCAATGACTAACTACCCGCTTGCTGGACTATAATTAAAAGTTGCTAATGAGAAATGAAAAGTAAACGCTGATAAGAACAGGGACAGTGATCGTAGAAATGTCCCCTACGAGCTCCTCCCCCACAAATATACCTTTTTCATTGCTATCTCATCCAGAGTTTTGTCATTTTATGTCGTGCATTTTGCTTGTCCTCTGTGTTTGATCTTCCATTATGTTATTTTGCACTGTTTATTTTACTTGAATGGCTTATTTATTCAATTGTGATGTTATTTTTGTTGTTTATATTTTATTTTGCTGCAATGTGTTATCAGACTTGGCCTCATGTCAGTCACTCCGAGTCCCCTTTGGGGAGATGATGGTGGCGGGGTATAAATAAAGATTATTATTCTGATGATGATGATGCAAGATTCTATGATTCTCTGCTGCAGGGGCCACTCACCTGGCGCAGGCACTTGTAGCCGTGGAAGGGGCTTGCACAGAGGCACTGGGGCAGGCCAGGCCCATCCGGGGCACACAGGGAGTCCTCGGGGCAGAGCCAACCTGCAAAAGAGAGCAGGGTCACGAGGGGATCCCTCCCCAAAGACCCCAGAGCAATTTAAGCGGTGCCAAGCGGCACGAATTCTACAGTGCACGAAGAGGGGGGGAAGCGGAACTCCACTGCACCAGAGACCAAGGGCCAACCCCGGGCCAATCTAGAATTGCATTGGCTTTTTTTTGTTGTTGCTTTCATATCAGTTTGTGGTCTCCCAAGACTCTTAGGAGCTCCACTTCCAAGCTCAATTCAAAGTGCTGGTTTTGACCGGTAGGCTGTTAGGAATTGTGGGAGTTGAAGTCCAAAACACCTGGAGGGAGGGCCCAAGTTGGCCCATGCCTGCTCTAAAGACTCCTAGATACCACGTACTGCTATCAAGCCAAGTGTCCATCATCCTTATCCTGGGTTACGTCCCTAATCCAGACCTAGCATCTTTATTGATGCAGCCTGGGATCGCGTTGGACTTTTTTGATGCCGCATCACACTCTGGACTCACGTTCAGCTCGTGCTCTCTCTCTCTCTCTCTCTCCTAAGACCTCTAGATCCCCTTAACAGGGGCTGTTTCCAAGCTGAGGCTTCACCCATCCCATAATAGTAAGACTCCCCTGCCCTTGCCACCAGGCAAGACCCCTCCCCTCTCCTTGCAGGTCCCAGTCAGGAGACGAAGAGGAAACTTTGCCTCTTGCTTTACAAATCTGTATAGAAAGCTGTAAAGAAGAACTTCCTGACTGTGAGAGCCGTTCAGCAGTGGAACTCTCTGCCTGCCCCGGAGGGAGTGTGGTGGAGGCTCCTTCTTTGGAGGCTTTTAAACAGAGGCTGGATGGCCATCTGTCGGGTGATTTGAATGCAATATTCCTGCTTCTTGGCAGAATGGGGTTGGACTGGATGGCCCTTGAGGCCTCTTCCAACTCTTTGATTCGAGCCGTTTAGCAGTGGAACTCTCTGCCCCGGAGGGAGTGTGGTGGAGGCTCCTTCTTTGGAGGCTTTTAAACAGAGGCTGGATGGCCATCTGTCAGGGGTGCTTTGAATGCAATATTCCTGCTTCTTGGCAGAATGGGGTTGGACTGGATGATGGCCCAGGAGGTCTCTTCCAACTCTAGAATTCTATGATTCTATGAATCCCCACGAAGTGGAACTCTCTGCCCTGGAGTGTGTGGAGGCTCCTGCTTTGGAAGCTTTTAACCAGAGGCTGGATGGCCATCTGTCAGGGGTGCTTGAATGCAATATTCCTGCTTCTTGGCAGAATGGGGTTGGACTGGATGGCCCAGGAGGTCTCTTCCAACTCTTCTAGGATTCTAGGATTCTATGATTCTATGATTCTATGTGGCTCCCCTCCACCCACCCTGCAGGGCGCCCCCCCCCCCCCCCGTGGCAAGGCCTTGCTTGTACCCATTCCGGTGGAGCTATTGCAGGGGTTCCTCTGGCCTTGGCAGACCCGGCTGCCCTCTTGGAAGGAGGTGCTGTTCCATCCGTCGCTGCCCCCGGGGCAGTCCAGCCTCCCAGGAAGGACCCTGCAGGACAGAAAGGCTGCTCTCATTCAAGGCCTGATATGGGGGGGGGGGGGCAGGGGCCAGGCTGGCTGACCTTCTCCAAGCAGGACCCAGAAGCCATGCACGGAAGCCCCTCCCCAGTCGAAAAGGTGCTGAGCCCCGGCCAGCCTCCAGCCCACTCCCCAGATCCCCTGCCCCAAGGAGGAGAGGGGCCCAAACCACTTTGAGAGAAAAGCAGGGCATAAATAAACACCATAATAATCATCACCCCACCCACCGCCCACTCTACGCCACTCACAAGGTCTCCAAGTGAGAAAATCCACGAAAGGCCTCTCCTGGGAGGGATTCCAACGGGTTGTCACTCAGATCGCTGCAAAAGGGGGAAGAAAAGGGGTTTCTAGGGTTTTCCTGGGCAAGGAATTAATAACCAATAATAATAATAATAATAATAATAATAATAATAATCTTTATTTATACCCCGCCACCATCTCCCCAAGAGACTCGGAGCGGCTTACATGAGTCCAAGCCCAATAACACATCAAAACAGAAAAGCAATAAACAAAACAATACAATGCGATACAAAATAATGCCTCCCACAAGGATGATAAAACATCAAATCATCCGGGGTCCCCTGGGCAACGTCCTTGCAGACGCCATTCTCTCACACCAGACACGACAAAAAAAAAGTTCAAAGCTGTCTTCTCGACCTCTGAAGAGGGACTCAGGCTGGCTAACAGCAGAAAAATCATACACAAATAGAATAAACATAATAGCATCGTAATACATTAATACATAAAATACATTAAAATACAGATCATGCAATTACAAAAGCCAGGTTGTCAAAGTAAAATCACAAATTCATCACCATCCGCCTTTAGTGTGGTCAGCCGTTATTGACTCGATCATCATTCTGCAAATGCTATATTCCAAAGCCAGGGTTTGACCAGCTTTCTGAAAGTCAGGAGGGAAGGGGCAGATCTAATCTCCAGCGGGAGAGAGTTCCAGAGCTGAGGGGCCACCACCGAGAAGGCCCTGTCCCTTGTTCCCACCAGACGCAATTGCGAGGGTGGTGGGACCGAGAGCAGGGCCCCTCCGAGATCTTAACAACGTATTGTCGAAGGCTTTCATGGCTGCAATCACTACGTTCTTGTGGGTTTTTTCGGGCTATAGAGCCATGTTCTAGAGGCATTTCTCCTGACATTTCGCCTGCTGCATCTATGGCAAGCATCCTCAGAGGTAGTGAGGATGCTTGCCATAGATGCAGGCGAAACGTCAGGAGAAATGCCTCTAGAACATGGCTCTATAGCCCGAAAAAACCCACAAGAACCTAGTGATCTTAACAACGTTGATGGTTCATAGGGGAGAATCCGTTCGGACAGGTAGACTGGGCCGGAGTCATTTAGGGAACAACACAACAATAAAAACAAAAAGCAATACACAAAAACAATACATACAATACAATTAATATAAATCACATATAAACAATAACCAATAAACAGTAGCACACAAGGAATGAACACTCAGGGAGGGGCTTCTGCCAGTTCCTTTCCTTCACATCAGAGTCTAATTATTGTTTATTTATTGACGACATTTCTAGGCCGCCCGTCTCACCCCGAAGGGGACTCGGAGTGGCTTACAAGATTGTAATTGTTTGTACTGGCATTGAAATTTTGCCATTACTTATGTGTAAACCGCTTTGAGTCCCCCTTGGGGTGAGAAAAGCGGTATACAAATACTGTAAATATATATATATATATATATTGTGGATTTTAAATGGATGTGCTTTCAATGTAAGATGTTTGAACCTCTTTGTGGAGAGAAAAAGCAGAGTATAAACTAACATAATAATAATAATAATAATAATAATAATAATAATAATAATAATAGCTGTATATTTGTGGATTTTAAATGGAAGTGCCTTTAATGTAAGGCAGTGGTTCTCAACCTTCCTAATGCCGCGACCCCTTAATGCAGTTCCTCATGTTGTGGTGACTCCCAAACACAACATTATTTTTGTTGCAAAACTGTAATTTTGCTACTGTTATGAATCATAATGTAATATCTGATATGCAGGATGTATTTTCATTCACTGGACCAAATATGGCACAAATACCCAATACACCCAAAAGTGACCACCACTCAAAACATTACGATTTTTGTCATTTGGGAGTTGTAGTTGCTGGGATTTATAGTTCATCTACAATCAAATAGCATTCTGAACTCCACCAATGATGCAATTGAACCAGACTTGGCACACATAACTCTCATGACCAACAGAAAATGCTGGAAGGGTTTGGTGGGCATTGTCCTTGAGTTTGGGAGCTGTAGTTCACCTACATCCAGAGAGCACTGTGAACTCAAACAATGATGTATCTGGACCAAACTTGGCACAAATACTCAATATGCCCAAGTGTGAACACTGGTGGAGTTTGGGGAAAATAGACCTTGACATTTGGGAGTTGTAGTTGCTGGGATTTATAGTTCACCTGCAATCCGAGAGCATTCTGAAGCCCACCAATGATACAATTTGGCCAAACTTCCCACACAGAACCCCCATGATCAACAGAAAATACTGTGTGTGTTTTTATCGTCTTTGGTGACCCCTTTGACACCCCCTCGCAACCCCCCCAAGGGTCCCGACCCCCAGGTTGAGAAACACTGATGTAAGACGTTTGAACCTCTTTGTGGAGAGAAAAAGTGGAGTATAAACATAATAATAATAATAATAATAATAATAATAATAATAGCTGTCCATCCTCCCCCCCCCCCCCCCAGCACCAAGCCAGTAGGATCCCAAATGGTCAGAGACTCACATGACGATGGCGGTGCTGGCCTCCCTGAAGCTGGAGCAGAGCGTACGGAGCGAGCAGTTCCCCAGGTCCAGCCTGGAAAAGGGTCACAAAGAGGCAGAGAACACTGAGCCGCTTGAGGTCAGCAGCGGCTTTCCCTCCCCCCCCCACTGCTGTCCGAGAAGTGTGTCCAGTTCTGGGCAGTATGAGTCAAGACAGAGATAGACGAGAGGGAGGGATTTCCAGAGAAGGGCCACCAAAAGGGCCAAAGGTCTGGCGATGTTTTGCTTGGAGAAGAAAAGGCTGAGGCCCTGCCATACCGTCATATAATACCCAGGTGATCTGCTTTGAACTGGATGAGAAGACAGTGTGGACTCATATAACCCAGTTCAAAGCAGACAATGTGGATGATCTGCTTTGATAATTTTATTTATTTATTTATTTCAGACGGGACGACTCAGGGCGGCTTCCAGCCAGCAGCGATTTGATGCATCCATAATAAACACACAATACAACCAATAATTGCAAACAATGAAAACATTAAATCAATTCAATTAAAATATACTTCAATATAATATCTTTGTGGCCTTATTTAGCCAAATTCTGCGGTTGAAGACTCCATCAGGATGGAGTTATATGGCAGCATAGAAGGGACCTGAGAGAAAGGGGCATTTATTTATTCATTTACGACATTTATATGCCGCACTTCTCACCCCGAAGGAGACTCAGAGCAGCTTACGAGTAAAATATAAACACAATATATTATATAATTACCATAACACAATATTATTATATATTATTATATTGTACTATAACATTATACTGTAATATTATTAGTAATATTACATTTACTATAAAATATATAATCGTAGAATCAGAGTTGGAAGAGACCTCCTGGGCCATCATCCAGTCCAACCCCATTCTGCCAAGAAGCAGGAATATTGCATTCAAACCACCCCTGACAGATGGCCATCCAGCCCCTGTTTAAAAGCCTCCAAAGAAGGAGCCTCCACCACACTCCGGGGCAGAGAGTTCCACTGCTGAATGGCTCTCACAGTCAGGAAGTTCTTCACAATCAGGACATATTTATACATGGCTATCATGTCTCCTCTCAGCCTTCTCTTCTTCAGGCTAAACATGCCCAGCTCCTTAAGCCGCTCCTCATAGGGCTTGTTCTCCAGACCCTTGATCATTTTAGTCGCTCTCCTCTGGACACAGTATTCCAGTTTAGAGTCAATATCTCTCTTCACATTGAACTGGAATATATGGCAGTGTGGACTCTGATCACCCAGTTCAAATCTTGTGGGGTTTTCTGTTTTGCTATTCTGGATTATATGGCTGCGAGGAAGGTCCCTGGGCCTGGTGGAGTCCCTTTCTCTGGAGGTTTGTCAGCAAAGGCTGGGTGGGCCTCTGTCAGGAGGGCTCGGGTTGGGCCTCCCTGCCTGGCAGATTGAGGCGGGCCTGGATGGCCTTCAGGGTCTCCTCCAGGTCTGGGAGTGTGCGGGCCCTTCTGCACTGCCACATAATCCAGAATATCAAGGCAGATAACCCGCATTATGTGCTTTGAGCTGGGTTATCTGAGTCCACACTGCCAGAGAGCCCAGCTCAAAGCAGACCCTCTGGGTGTGAGGCCTCTGTGTGGAAGGGGCCTATGGCGTATGGCTGGGCCGGGGTCTCACCCGAGGAGGCGCTCCGCTTGGGCCTGGTCCCGGTCCCGGAGGAGGAGGCAGCACCTTCCCCGCAGCGCCGCGCCCGCCCTCCCGGCGCAGAAGGCCCACACCGGGGAGCTCTCCCGGGCCTCCCCCGAGCAGCAGTCCCCGCCGCACAGCCCGGAAGGAGGAGAGGCCGAGGAGGAGGAGGAGGCCAGGCAGGCCAGGAGCGGGAGCAGAGGCGCCAACAGCCGGCCGGGCGCAGCCATGTTGACTCCGACGGCCTCACGTGACTCCCCAGGCGGATGGTCACGTGGCGCCAGGAGGGCACGCGCTCTCTCTCTCTCTCTCTCTCCCATAAAGAAGGCCGGCAGCGCCCCTGGTGGCGGTAGAGGGAACGGCACCCTCAGCTCATTCCATAGACAAACATTCATAGAATCCTAGAACCAAAGAGTTGGAAGAGACCTCATGGGCCATCCAGTCCAACCCCCATTCTGCCAAGAAGCAGGAATATTGTATTCAAATCACCCCTGACAGATGGCCATCCAGCCTCTGTTTAAAAGCTTCCAAAGAAGGAGCCTCCACCACACTCCGGGGCAGAGAGTTCCACTGCTGAATGGCTCTCACAGTCAGGAAGTTCTTCCTCATGTTCAGATGGAATCTCCTTTCTTGTAGTTTGAAGCCATTGTTCCACTGGTCTCCAGGGAAGCAGAAAACAAGCTTGCTCCCTCCTCCCTATGACTTCCCCTCACATATTTATACATGGCTATCATGTCTCCTTTCAGCCTTCTCTTCTTCAGGCTAAACATGCCCAGCTCCTTAAGCCGCTCCTCATAGGGCTTGTTCTCCAGACCCTTGATCATTTTAGTCGCCCTCCCTGTGGCTTTCTCTCACATATTTATACATGGCTATCATATCTCCTCTCAGCCTTCTCTTCTTCAGGCTAAACATGCCCAGATCCTTAAGCCGCTCCTCATAGAGCTGTTTCCTCCCTCCTCCCTGTGGCTTCCTCTCACATATTTATACATGGCTATCATATCTCCTCTCAGCCTTCTCTTCTTCAGGCTAAACATGCCCAGCTCCTTAAGCCGCTCCTCATAGGGCTTGTTCTCCAGACCCTTGATCAGTTTAGTCGCCCTCCTCTGGACACATTCCAGCTTGTCAATATCTCTCTTGAATTGTGGTGCCCAGAATTGGACACAATATTCCAGATGTGGTCTAACCAAAGCAGAATAGAGGGGAGCATGACCTCCCTGGATCTAGACACTAGGCTTCTATTGATGCCTGAGGCCAAAATCCCATTGGCTTTTTTTGCTGCCACATCACATTCCTGGCTCATGTGTAACTTCCTGTCCACAACTGTCCTTGACTGAACAGTCAAGGAAAAGGAACGCCAAGTGTTGTCCAAGGAAGGCTTCCATGGCCGGAATCAATAGGCTGCTCTGAGTTTTCCGTAGGGCTGCCTGGCCACCTTCCAGAAGCATTCTCTCCTGACGTTACGCCCACATCTCTGGCTAAAGGCACTATAAAGATGGAGAGGAGGGCGCAAGCTTCCTTTCTGCTTCCCTGGAGATTAGGACATGGAGCAATGGCTTCAAACTACAAGAAAGGAGATTCCACCTGAACATGAGGAAGAACTTCCTGACTGTGAGAGCTGTTCAGCAGTGGAACTCTCTGCCCCGGAGTGTGGTGGAGGCTCCTTCTTTGGAAGCTTTTAAACAGAGGCCGGATGGCCATCTGTCAGGGGTGCTTTGAATGCAATATTCCTGCTTCTTGGCAGAATGGGGTTGGACTAGATGATGGCCCAAAGAAGGAGCCTCTACCACACTCCCTCCAGGACAGAGAGTTCCACTGCTGAACGGCTCTCACAGTCAGGAAGTTCTTCCTCATGTTCAGATGGAATCTCCTCTCTTGTAGTTTGAAGCCATTGTTCCATTGCGTCCTAGTCTCCAGGGAAGCAGAAAGGAAGCTCCCTCCCTCCTCCTCCTAAATATGTGGCTTCCTCTCACATTTTTATACCTGGCCCTCATCATGTCTCCTCTCAGCCTTATTTTTATTTACTTCATTTATATACCGCTTTTATCAGACATTAGGGAACTCAGAGCGGTTCTTCAGAGTAAACATGTTGTACGTCTTCTAAATGTGCACAGACTATGTTATCATCAGCATAATGAAATTCTGTAACAGATGTAGGTCTTCTTCTGAATTCACACAGACTACGTTATCATCAGCATATTGGAATTCTATAACAGATGTTGTATGTCTTCTGAATGTGCACAGACTACATTATCATCAGCATATTGGAATTATATAACAGATGTTGTATGTCTTCTGAATGCACACAGACGTTACGATCAGCATATTGGAGTTATATAACAGATGTTGTACATCTTCTGAATGCCCAGAGTACATTATCATCGGCATATTGGAATTCTATAACATGTTGTAGGTCTTCTTCTGACTGTACAGACTATGTTATCATCAGCATATTGGACTTCTATAACAGATGTTGTATATCTTCTGAATGCGCACAGACTACATTATCATCAGCATATTGTAATTATATAACAGATGTTGTATGTCTTCTGAATGCACACAGACGTTATCATCAGCATATTGGAGTTATATAACAGATGTACACCTTCTGAACATGCACAGACTACTTTATCATCAGCATATTGGAATTCTATAATAGATGTTGTACATCTTCTGAATGACTACATTATCATCAGCATATTGGAATTATATAAAAGATGTTGTATGTCTTCTGAATGCACACAGACTATGTTATCATCAGCATATTGGAGATCTATAACAGATGTTGTATGTATTCTGAATGCGCACAGACAACATTATCATCAGCATATTGGAGTTCTATAACAGATGTTGTATGTATTCTGAATGCGCACAGACAACATTATCATCAGCAGATTGGAATTCTATAACAGATGTTGTACGTCTTCTGAACGTGCACAGATTACATTATCATCGGCAAATTGGAATTCTATAACATGTAGGTCAGTGGTTCTCAACCTGGGGTCCCCAGATGTTTCTGGCCTACAACTCCCAGGAATCCCAGCCAGTTTACCAGCTGTTAGGATTTCTGGGAGTGTAAGGCCAAAAACATCTGGGGACCCCAGGTTGAGAACTACTGATGTAGGTCTTCTTCTGACTGTACAGACTATGTTATCACCAGCATATTGGAATTCTATAACATGTTGTAGGTCTTCTTTTGAATGCACACAGAGTATGTTATCATCAGCATATTGGAATTCTATAACAGATGTTGTACATCATCTGAATGCGCACAGACTACATTATCATCGGCATATTGGAGTTCTATAACAGATGTAGGTCTTCTAAATGTGTACACTACGTTATCATCAGCATATTGAAATTCTATAACAGATGTACATCTTCTGAATGTGCACAGACTACATGAACATTCTGAATTCTATAACAGACTTCTGAATTCTATAACAGTTGTACATCTTCTGAATGTGCACAGACTACGTTATCATCAGTATATTGGACTTCTATAACAGATTTTGTACATCTTCTGAATGTGCACAGAGTACGTTATCATCAGTATATTGGAATTCTATAACAGACTTCTGAATTCTATAACAGTTGTATATCTTCTGAATGTGCACAGACTACGTTATCATCAGTATATTGGAATTCTATAACAGATGTTGTACATCTTCTGAATGTGCACAGACTATGTTATCATCAGTATATTGGACTTCTATAACAGATGTTGTACATCTTCTGAATGTGCACAGACTATGTTATCATCAGTATATTGGAATTCTATAACAGATGTTGTACATCTTCTGAATGTGCACAGACTACGTTATCATCAGTATATTGGACTTCTATAACAGATGTTGTACATCTTCTGAATGTGCACAGACTATGTTATCATCAGTATATTGGACTTCTATAACAGATGTTGTACATCTTCTGAATGTGCACAGACTATGTTATCATCAGTATATTGGAATTCTATAACAGATGTTGTACATCTTCTGAATGTGCACAGACTACGTTATCATCAGTATATTGGACTTCTATAACAGATGTTGTACATCTTCTGAATGTGCACAGACTATGTTATCATCAGTATATTGGACTTCTATAACAGATGTTGTACATCTTCTGAATGTGCACAGACTATGTTATCATCAGTATATTGGAATTCTATAACAGATGTTGTCCGTCTTCTGAATGCACACAGAGTACGTTTGTTGTTGTTGTCGTTCATTCGTTCATTCGTCTCCGACTCTTCGTGACCTCATGGACCAGCCCATGCCAGAGCTCCCTGTCGGCCGTCACCACCCCCAGCTCCTTCAAGGTCAGTCCAGTCACTTCAAGGATGCCATCCGTCCGCCTTGCCCTTGGTCGGCCCCTCTTCCTTTTGCCTTCCACTTTCCCCAGCATCATTCCCTTCTCTAGGCTTTCCTGTCTCCTCATGATGTGGCCAAAGGACTTCAACTTTGTCTCTAGTCTCCTGCCCTCCAGTGAGCAGTCGGGCTTTATTTCCTGGAGGATGGACTGGTTGGATCTTCTCGCAGTCCAAGGCACTCTCAGCACTTTCCTCCAACACCACAGTTCAAAGGCATCTCTCTTCCTTCGCTCAGCCTTCCCTAAGGTCCAGCTCTCACATCCGTAGGTGACTACAGGGAACAGAGTACGTTATCATCAGCATATTGGAATTCATTGCATGTATTCATCCTGGAGTGAGGACAACCTTTAATTTAGAGCAGGCCTGGGCCAACTTGGGCCCTCCTTCCCTCCCTCCCTCCCTCCCTCCAGGTGTTTTGGACTCCAACTCCCACCATTCCTAACAGCCTACCATCAGCATGTTGGAATTAATTGCATGTATTAATCCTGGAGTGAGGATAACCTACCGGCTGTTAGGAATGGTGGGAGTTGGAGTCCAAAACACCTGGAGGGAGGGAGGGAGGGAAGGAGGGCCCAAGTTGGCCCTGACCCCTTTGGTAGATGATTCACCAGCTGGGCAAGGTCAGGCGTGGAGGTGGAATTCTATAACACATGTTGTACATCTTCTGAATGCGCACAGAGTACGTTATCATCAGCATACTGGAATTCTATAAGACATGTTGTACATCTTCTGAATGTGCACAGAGTATGTTATCATCAGCATGTTGGAATTAATTGCATGTATTAATCCTGGAGTGAGGATAACCTACCGGCTGTTAGGAATGGTGGGAGTTGGAGTCCAAAACACCTGGAGGGAGGGAGGGAGGGAAGGAGGGCCCAAGTTGGCCCTGACCCCTTTGGTAGA